TCAGTACAGCATAATTGGTTAATACCACAAAGAGCCATTTCATTAATTTCATAGCATTCTGATAACGCATAGCATTTTTAAGTTTATGAATTCTATCTACAAACACCATCAGCAGCAACAGTTAAATAGCAATTAGTGTAATCAGCGATAGATGAGCATTTTTGTTTGTTGTCTGCATAAGAGAGTTCTTTACAAAATTAGCCATCAGTTTAAGTGCATCTTTGTGAATAGAGCAGACACGTATAGGAATTAGATCCAGGTAATTTGTCACAGGAAGTAAAAGGTAAACATTGCATAACATCTTGATATTAGATCCAATGGCAATTATAATTTTGAACACAAAGATTTCTAGATTTCAACATAGAACAATCTAACACTACACACTACGATTTTTCTGGATTCCATAGACAACTATCATAAGCAGTGGCACAATCTTTTTAGTAGATCAATTAATCACATGAACACCATTTGCGTTTATTAGGAATTATGACGGCAGCACATTAGGTACAGACTCCTACTTTCTAGTCTAGACTACTCCATCTATATTGTCCTTGACTAGATGTGTAACAAGATGAAAAATCTAATTGATATGGTTTTTCATCATCACAATAGCCCTCCTAAGAGTTCCAATAACAATATTTATAGGATGCATCATAATAATCAAAATAGTAGGTGCAATCAGAGGCAGATGTGAAATATGAACAATTGATAGGGTAACAATAATACCCAGAATAATAACATGAATGCTTTAGTCTTAAGCAATCTTACATGCCAAAACTATAACACGAAGATGAATATTAGCATTGGTTTTTACTGTAATTCCATAAACACTGCCCTTAACCAATTATTGCATTACCACAATTATATGCATTACCTTATTATTTACAGAATATTGAATTATCAATTGGAAGTGCAGTGCAATATTGTCCATTACTACTTGGACATTAAAATGATTATGAAATACACTAGAATTGATTGCTGCCTTTAATATCTGAGCATTTGGTGAAAGGAAAACAGCCTTTGCCAAAAAGATACATACAACCAGGTGATTAAGCGCACAATGACTATTAATCATTAAATAAATTGCATTCGCTGCTTACACACTTATTCGATTGCCATGTACAGATTTTGGCGGAGATACAATCCATTTAAGCTACCAATTATTCACATAAGCAGAGGTCTTACTTTTTAACAATTCTAAAAGTACATGGGAAACAGATGCCTTGTACTTATTATTTGTTTTCAGCTATCCAATGATATGTACCTATGGTATTAGAAAAGCAAGTTTCTTCAGTCAAATTAGATGTATTTGATGCATTTCCACAAGTTTTTGAAAAGGCATTCCATGAACATAAATAATATTAATCCTGATTAAATACCGTTTAAACAAATTTACAATTGGATTCGGTTGTAATATCACTACAAGTCATTTGAACACATAATCCATTGTTATTGATATGGCAATATTGTCCTTATGAATATATTGATTCATATGGTTTATAGTTATTGCACATATTTAAAGGAATTTATTGACAATTTTGGTAAAAACTACAGGCATTTTATGTTGTCCATTAGCACTTGCCTTCCTTACCCATTGTACATTATTCTTAAGTTTAGTATGTATTGCAATTAGGTAACTCATCAATTGTAGTGCAAAGTCCTATTGTTCCATAACACAATAAATTCTATTATTGACAAGTTAGACCCGGTTGCCCTTCTAATTAATTACATTTCACATCTGTCTTCGAAGATAGGCAATAATCCCCATTCCAAATACAATTTTTTACGAGAACACAATCTGCAGAGGTAAGGCCATAGCAATTTGTAGTTTTACATAATCCAACATTTTATTAATTCACTGACCAATAACAATAAGGATAAAGCAAATTGCATTCTGTATCTACTGCAATTTAGGAACATTAACACTAATTTTTGAAAGATAGCACAACTTAGGATTTTGCCAACTGAAGTATAATCAGCAAGCCAATGATCTAGATTTTCATAATTATTATAATTATTATTAATATTAGAAAGAAGAATGGCCCGCATTAAACATCCTACCTTTTTATTGCGAATAAACTAAAGTATATCTCATTAATGAATCACAATTCCACATTATTATATAATTTATATACCTTTCTCTACTTTTCATTCCAAAGACGATTCAAATTCAAACTATTCTTTGATTAAAATACGCTTTCATTTATACCAATAGGTTGGCATATTCAAAATAAAAAGAAGTAGTGAATTTATAAAGAAAAAAAGCCTGAGTTGGCATTTTCTACATAATTCCATATCTTCAATACTCTACTACATTAAGAGCAAATTAAATGATTTATAAGGGATTCATAAGAATTTGAGGAAGATAAATAAAATAATTAGATGAAAATCTTTTGGGCAATAATCGTCGTATTGCCAATAGTATTAAGTCAAACAATTGTTGTGTCTCCATCTACGACATGCACATGCCAATAATTTTTGAATTAAAGCGGATGTAACAATAATACACTCGGATAATGCTAATGGAATCAAAAGAATTAGGTATGCCAACAAGCAAGTTGTGGAAATATATAATTATAAAGTGAGTGTTTAATATCTAAAATAAATTGTTATTGGAATGGTCAAAGTTGCGTTGACTTTATATCCTGTTCTAAATTAACTTCTAAGATTGGATTGATTTGCCCATAACAAAATGTCTCATGTTATGGCTCAAATATTAATTAATGTTAAAGTATTTCATAATTACCAAAATGCTCAACTTATAAATTAGGAACTTGTGGTTAACAGGGAGGCTATGGTGGTTATGATGGATTGTGTGCTTGGAATAATACTCTTTAATAATGTGTTGTGGCTACTAGTTGCAGTTAATTATCAGATCAATAGGTTTGTAATACTTATATCTAAAATGCCTGTATTTGGGATTATTAGAATTTAGTATGTACTTAAGCTACATGCGCATAGTTACCAACCCAATAAAGTTGTAAATTCGTTGTTGGCAATTTGGATCCGTAACAAGTGTATCCATGTTTTTACAATGGTAATTAATGTTTGGATGCTTCGTTTGAATTGTTCTAGAATTAAGATTAATGCCAAACTAATACTCTATTAAATTACAGATGGGTTGGAACTTAGACTTAAGGTATTTGTGTGAGTTGCGCTCAATAATTATTTGAACCTGCAAATAAATGTGCTTGTGAGCAATTTATGCTCCAATCAGCTTGCAATTAATCATAATATTGTTAATGGAATTAAAATAGTTGTTAAGATATTCCATGCTCCAATATTACAAATTAATTATAATGTAGTAACAATAAAAAATGTTTTTGGAGTTTATAACAACAAAATTGCTAGGTCTTTTATTCTTGCTACTAAATAACAGGATTAAATTCTTTGGCTTGTTTGGCTTAATCAATTAATTGTCCAAATTATTAGCAATAAAGTTGCAATTCCTCTTTTAACTCATGCAATTAAATTCCTTAATCATCCTGCGATGGATACGTTTCAAATTAGGGAGTTTGCTATTGGGAACAATCTACTTAGGCTTGCAAAAATTTGCAATCTTGCTCAAATATAGTTGATGAGAAGATATGCAATCAACTGACAAGACTCTGCTAATATTCCGTATTACTCGCTAAGTGTTAACAACTAACTTGTTAGAATATTAAGTCTTAGAAATAATGTACTTTTGTGTTCAATTAATTAAATGGTACAGATATACAGGTATGTGAATGGACAAACAATTCTTGTTCGAATGCTAAAAATATTTTAACTCTTAATGAGGCTCAGTGCAGTTATAATTCTTAGAATACTTATTTGTATACAGGATCTAAATGTGTAAAATGTATATAAGGATCTCTCATATTGCCTGAATAATGCACTTGCTCATAATTGTATTTGGCCCAAGATTGTTAGGCTAATCCACTATGTACTTGGAATGGTTCTTGTTAGTTGGCAAATTGTTTATCCATACCTAATCAAGACGTATGTGTTTAAAGCACTCATTGCCAATGGACAGAATTTGGTTGTTCTGAATTTTAATCATGTATTTTATTAGTGGGATCGAATCCAAAAGAATGTATATCCCAATCAATCAACTGTCCTTATAGTGATGGGGCAAAATGCTAAAATAAATTCTACTATTCTCCATGCCAAAGTTACACTCAACCGGTATTTTGTACAAATTAATTGGGAACAGATGGTCTTTGTATTTGGAATGCCACAAGTGGCAGTTGTTAAGTCTTATCAAAATGCAACTAAATCTTAAAGTCTACTTATTGTGGGATCTATTAATACGTCTGCAATTGGTCAAATGATTCCTGCAATTAATCGACTTGTAGCACTTATACAACTCCAGAATAATGTAAGTATTATTATCAATCTTTGAATTCATTTACTCCAATAGGATGCAGATGGAATATAACTACTAGTACTTGTGAATAAGTAGGTTCGACTTTGACATCTTACAATAGTGCTAATTGTTATACAAATACTGCAAAAACAGCTAGATGGAGTTAAGCATCAAATCAAAAAGGTGTTTGTATCAGTTGTGGAGTCAAATATTTACCCAATCCTTTATAATGCAATTGTCAATAACTTATTTCATAATTGAATTGTGGTTAAAACTAATTATGCTATTGGGATCAAGTCTCAAAATCTTGTAAAGAATATGAATGTTCAGTGTTGGCCGAAAACCTATGCATAACTAGCATGAAATGCTAGTGGTCTAACAAGGGTTGCATAACATTCACTTCATGTAGTCAAATCAAAGGAGAAACAATTGATGAATGCCTATCATATTCATTATACTGTCCGTATAGTCCTGCATTAAAAAGTTGTTCAACTTTAAAAAACATGCCAAAATGCGAAGAACATAAAACATAAGGTGTTTGTAATTCAGTAAAACGTCAAGGAAAGGAAATCTGCTTCTGGAACTAACAATTTGATAAATGCACAGTATTAAAAAGTTGCTATGGATTATCTCAAATGGATTGTGCATATTATTCATTGTATTGTGCATGGATAAGCACTCCTAACTATGGTTATTGTGAAGAGAGAAAATGCCTGAATTATAGCACTAAGTATTCTTGCACATATGTTCTGAGCATAACCGATGCAAATTTAGTATAACCTTGTCAATGGCTGAATGGAAATTGTCAACCATTAATTATCGCATAAGCCAAAGATGCTAACACTTGTTACGTTAATTCTAATGGTACTAGTCGCTGGACCTCAGATTCCCCAATTTCAGGATTTTGTGTGCCTTGCAATTTGCCATCATATGCTGTCCAGTATTAAAATAAGTGCTCCTGTTCATAAATACTTAATCAAAGTGAATGTCAGTACCCTTATTGTTCGTGGTCAAACAATTAATGTACTCAAAACTCTTGTTCAAAAATTTATAATTCACTTGAGTGTTCTCAATAAAGATAATGCTATTGGAATCTCAATTAAAATTAATGTAATACCATATCAATATCTGTAAACTTCTGCACAACATTAAAAGGAAGTTCATCCTTGGAATGTTTTGCTTAAAGTATTAATTGTCCAGGCTCATTGTATGGAGTTTGCCAAGATAGTGCAAGTTTATAGACCTGTAGCAGTATAACCACTCAAGCGGCATGTGCCAACAGTATTGGATAAGAGGGTTATTGTACATATGATGATTAGGCATGTCACGTGATTTCTTCATGTCTAGCAATTAAAACTTATATCTATTGTGTTGCTATGTAAAAATTCTGCGTTTGGAATGAAGCAACCAATTAATGCTTTACCACTACATGTTCTAATATAACTGAAAAATAAGAGTGCACATACATTTATGAAAGTTTGAATAGTTCTTCAATCTAATTATGCGAATGGAATTAGGCTACTAGTATTTGTCAAAATGCCTCATCACTCACTTTGTCTAATAAAAACATAGAGAGTTGTCATATCGAAACTGGAGGCACTTATCATTGGTCTAATGCTCAACCTAACGGATATTGTATCTCATGTTCTTTGGATCTTATCAAATTGCCTAACACTTGTTCATGTGATTAATTAACTAGCATTGAATGCTTAACTGCAAAACCCAAATGCAAATTGGTTGATTCTACTAGTTGTGTAAATTCTTAATGCATAGATATCTTTGATTAAGGTAACTGCTCTACTCTGCCATATTGTATGTGGTATAACTAGACTTGCGTATAATTTACTTCCTGTTCCAGTCTTTCAGGAACAACTGCTTTGGATTGTCTGGCTTAATCTACAAATTGTCCAGCCATATCAAATGGCAGTTGCAAAGATAAAAAATCTTTAGGCTCTTGCAGTTCTTATCTAACAGCAAATGAGTGTACTTTGGGCATTCCGTCTTCTAATGGATTTTGCTACTGGAATAATAATGGATGTTAAGAGATGATTAATTGTGATGCTATATCCTAAATAACACAATGCGATGCACTTTATAGAATATGTTCATGGAGTGCTGCATTTAATAAATGTGTTCCCTTCAAATGTCAAAATTATAAGAACTAAGATTAATGCACATTTGTAGTTGTAAACTTCAAAGATTCCTATATTGAATTATGCTAATGGTAGAATAAGGTGTGCTAATAGTATACTGAAAAATACTATAGATTTGATGAGCAAACATGCTATTAAAATTCGGGACACACCTATAGGTGGGTTGAAGACGAGAAACGTGGATCAAGATGTTAAGAATGTTATTCATTATTAATAACAATTACGATGGTAATCTATTTAATTGCATTTTGAGATTAATATCTATATTATTATTATTATTAATATTATTAAAAGATTAGTTATAAAAAATATATAATAATGCTATATTAATATAGAATACTCAAAATTATTCACAAGTCTGCATCATATGAATATTAAACCTCCACAGGTTGAACAAATTTATCAATTCTTCTAACTCTGGACTCTTTTAATCCTTGGAGTTGGAAATCTTAGAAAAATTTGAATTCCTCCTTAATTTAAGCAAACAATTCATTTGCATACTTTTATGCTAATACAAATTTATTCCATTAGTTGCCAAGCAAAATCAACTAGTTTTCAGATTCTCTAAATAATATAGGAATTTACATTCATCAACCAATAGTTTTACATCCAACTCTTATTTAGAACTTGTATTCTCCTTACTTTAAAATGCAAATGCTTTCTCCACTAAATACAATATTCTGATTATATTCGAACCCTTCAATCCCAATATTCTTTACTTGATATTGAAGTCTTTCTAAAACGCATCTACATCAATTTCAAAGATTGATATATATTTATAGTCTTTTTCCAAATTATCGAATAAATCTGGAGTCTTCCTAAAAATTTATGTATCTTACCTTCTGTATAGTCAATCCTTCTTCGGTCAGACTTCTATGATTGAATTAATAGATGTGATGAACTGAGGAATCCTCAAAACACAGTTGCACTTTAAGAGTATGGATCTGATTGGTTCCAAATCTACCAGGCAATTCAATTGGAGTGTTATTCAGTAGTTTGACTGCAATCCAACATTCAACAATACTCCTCATTAATATATAGGCTATTTTATCCTTATTGATGACTTTAAGTATCTCGTATAATTGAATGATTAATTACTTATCCGAAATGCTAAAAGATTGTTTCAATATCAATTGTATCCACTGGATAATAACTTGGAGGATCTAAAGTTAATGCAACCAAAGGCAAATAATAGAACTCTTTTAAATCTTTGTTTATATTGTGTGCTTTAATAAGGAAATCATTCTATAAATTGGGATCAGAAACTAACTTCTCTATCTTATCTCTGCAATCTATATTTGAAGATAAAACTTCCTCAAATGTCATTTCTTGGTTTTAATTAATCTCATTACTAATCAATAACATAATACTTTTCATCTTATTGTCTATTCAGTTTCTTTAAGAATCTCTTCTCTCCATACAAGAAGGAAGCATCTAATCATGATCAAATTTAAATATTACCTAACATTTTTGGTAACATTCGAATTAATTTATATATTTTATAAATAAATACACAAAAAAATTACACCAGCTTTTGCTTCAAAGTTAGAGCAAATTAAATATTGCTCATCTTCTTAATTATATATCTATACTTTAAGCCAACATTTCCATTTAAAAATAAACTTCGTTAAGATCTTAGGATTATACTAGCACTATAATTATAACTGGTATAGATATATTATAAATAATCCAAATTATTTGATTGAAATTTGCTAGCATCTCTATTTTTAATTAGAAAATTATTATTATTTTTGTAAAAGTATTTACCAATTATCCATCTCTAAATGAGAATAACAATGCTTTTTTTTAATTTTTTTTCTAATTTTGATTATTCATTTTTAGATAATGCTACATGGTTTAGTCTATCAAACATAAGCACATTTAACTACTAAGTAATTTTAAGATCTTAATATTTTAAATGGATTCATGATGAACCAATTATTATTTTAGAGAATATGTAAAAAGCAATTATATTTAATTATCTGTGATTTATAAATATATATTGAAAGCTTTGCGATAGTGTTATAATTTCATTATTTGATTAAAGTATCTAAAACTTATTGAGCAGATGGTCTTTTTTATGGATTTTTATTGATCATTTTTAGTATTAATTCTGCCTCAATAGGGTGATCCTTAAATAAATCAATAGGTAAGATAGAATCTTTGGTAAGAGCTGTTATCAATCTAAATTTAATGTTAATTAATTACCTTGTTTTTTCATAATGAGTTTTTATCTTCCACATCATTTCAAATAATATTATTCCTAAAGGGTAGATGTCTGCTGCCTAACCATATAGATCATCTTTGACTTCTGGAGCCATGTACATTGGAGTACCAACATTATTGGTGTATTCACCAGAATTAGAAGTGAGTTCATCATCTATTTTAATGATTAAAGAATTGCAGAGTCCGAGATCTCCAATTTTGACTTCATTCTTTGAATTAATAAATATATTCTAAGGTCTAAAGTTTAAATTAAATAAGTTACTTTAAATCTCTATGAATATATTGATTATTATGCATATATATGATTCCTTCCAATATTTAGATAAATATAGATTTAATTAGAAGATAATCTTTTTTTCTATCAACCTTATCAATGAAATCTTTCAATGTATAATCACATAATTCCATCTAATTTATCAAAATAAAAAATTACTTCAATGTATAAGGTGAACAGTTAGAATTATTCATCTTTTAAATTTGGATTAAAGTGATACCTTCTCATTTTAGATTGAATCTAACTGCTGTAATCTGAGAAATGAAAACTCTGCACAGTTTTGGATTATTTAGTAATTGTTTAAATTTATTATTCATTTTCTGCATCATTTCCTCCAACAAATTAAACATAATCATTCATAGATGACATATCATCCATCAATTGAGGATAATATGAATTCTATGACTCATTTTATTTTGCCTATTATTGTTCAGCTACAATTTAATTTAATTTTGCAATATCTGCTATATTTTCATTCGTCAACTCCTAAATCCAACTAGTATAATATCTAACTATATTTTTGTGATTGATTTCTTAAAGTGATCCAACTTCTCTAAAGATTGGATGATCTCTTAAGGTTTTTTCATTTTTCACTTTAAAATAAATTCTTTTAACTGCATATTCTTTGAGATCTATAATTTTTTGACATTTGTAAACTTCTCCGAAAGTCCCTTTGCCTATAAGAAAGGGGGAAGTGTACAATTTCTGGAACTTTCCATTTTCACAATATCTACTCCAATCTGTTAGGAGATTTAATATTCTTTCTGATTGTCCAAATGCATTTTCCTACTCTATCATGTGCACTCCTTTAGCATTTTTCTAATTTAAATCTACAAACTAAGAAGTAACAAATTATAAATGCTCATCACTAACTTTCATTTTCACAGTTTTTGTATCTGTCTATGTTATAAAAACATCCTCTTAATTTCTTTCCCACTCAACCACTTGTTCTTTGGTTTCAGATATTTAAAGTCCAACTAGTTTGAAATTGTTATCAGGCAAAGCAATCACATTATCCTCAGGTTCATTTTAAATGTATCTAGGTGAGGAATCCGTGCTGGATGTTTAGTCCTTCTTTTGCTTTTCATTTTGCTCAGTACCAAGTCGAATCGAACTACATGTTTAGCATACACGTATTACTTTTATAATTCATCACTAGTTACGCTCTCTTTTCTAACATGTACAATTATTTTATTATTTTTCTTGCTAAATATCTTGTACATGAAGAAGAATGTCACGCAATACACAAGAACCATTAGTATTACGAATAATTCGAAATTATTCATAATTATTTATTTCCAGGTGTTCTACTGGGGCAAAACGAAAACTTCATGTTATTAAAACCAAGCATATTCTACAATCTAAGTTCCTGTCTTAATAACCTATTAGATTGAACTCGTTTGTCTCTTCATCATTATTTATAAATAATAATTATTTTTTAAATGGATGATAAAATAAAACCCTCATCAAAATTTTTATATATACCACATATATAATTAGAATATTAAATTTTGCAGAATTTAACATACCCTTATGTCCTAATACTCAATAATTTCTCATCTATTTGAATTTATAATAAGAAAATTTAATTGATAAATATCTCAAAGTTAAAAAAATGCCATTAGTTATCAAAAAATCACCTTAAAGTGTATATATTTAGGAAAATAAGAATTTACCAAATAATTCTAAATTTTTCTTCTTAATTTTCCTAAAAACATTTAATTTTATTAGATAAAATAAATGCTTCTGTATAGTAGATTCTAGGCTTTAATTCTTAGAGAAGATTATTTTTAGTTCTTAATTCTAGAACTCAATAATGTATTGATTGTAAAAGCGGGGATTTAAATTTATATATTCTATTATTAAGGAGCGGGTTACACAATTTAAATAATAAGTATTTAGTAATCAAGATATAAACTTAATATTATCGTATGATCAATAATTAGGCTGCTTCTTATAAAAATGAAGCTGTTTATTAATATATTGTTAAAAATACTTTAATTATAAACTGAATTAATTGAAATGGTTTAATGTTCAAAGTATAAGTGAAACCATGAGTGGATGAGAATTTACATTATAAATTTAAATACATAATTATGTAAAAAATACTTTAATAAAAGATTAAATGCATAAATTGAAAATTCTTATTCAATAATGGTTTAAAGCATTGAGAATTTTTAAGGCTAAAATTATTTTTAATAAAATTACTTAATCTCAATCAAGATTTAGAAAAAATATCCAAAAATCTTTACAATTTTTTTATCCTATAATTATTAATAGTTTAAATACCTCTAGTGATATTAAAGTTATCTTAAGAAATTTGAAGATTAAGAGTTTTAGAAATTCATTCTACATCAATTTTTGTTTATACTATGAACTCTTAAGTAATTATATGTTTTACTTTTAAATATATCATAATAGTACATCTAATTACTTAAAATCAGAAGATTATGATATAGAAGAGTAAAATATAAGATGGACGGATTTAAATAAGTTTTTAATTCAATTCTATTCATGTTAGAATCCATAGATAAATAATAAGAACATTAGAATTAATTAGGAATGCCAATATAAAGAATGAGTGAAGAACGGACTTAAAAACTTATAATCTGTAACTTTACTTTAATTAAAAATACATAAATTTATGTTAAGTTAAATATTAGTTTAAAGATTTAATAATAATTCATTAACCAAAATGCAAATATCAATTTACATAATAGATATGGATACCAAGATGCAGTCATATTCAATGTTTGATATATATTAAATATAAAGTTTTCGATATATAATAAATAATTAGATAAATATATCTATTGAACATTCTTCAATCTTATAATACAAATTCATTATATAAGTTTTCCACATACTGGAATGTTTCATTAAGAATTTAAACATAAATTTTGGATCCACTTAAAGACCATGAAACAGATGTTGGGATCTATTCAAGAAGTATGTGTTATTTAAAGATATTCCTCTCAAAAATACTGATAGAATTGTCACTAACAGCTAACAATCGATCTGTAAAGCTGTAAGCTAATTATTAGACAGGCAAATTAACTCTGTGCACTAATTTGAAATTTTCATAAACTAAAATTAGATGTAATAAATACAGTCTAAACAGTTTCCTCCTGCAGCGATAGTAGATTTGTTTTGAGCAAATGCAATTACTGAATATTTTTCCTAATTTAATGGTATTGGTTAATCCCAAGTATCCTACTTTTTAGTATGAATTAATGCTAATCCAGTTTGATCGACTGATGCAAAAGTGACATCATATGGTGCCCATGATATATGGATGATTGGATGTTGATGGGATGAAAATGCGATAGCTTATTACCAATCATTGGGTTTTCTTTCAGTCCATAATTGAACAGTGTTTGTAATTCCAAGTGCAACAATAACTTATTTATGAAATGACCAAGCATAGACTTTAGCATCAGGCAATTTAAACCTTTGATTTGACAAAGTATCAATTACTTGGCCATCTAATAGTACTTTTTACCCTATTAAATTCATAATTTTAATTAATAATGGGAGCATGTTGTAATACTCAATAAACAATTCAAAGTCTAATGCCTAGTTTTGAATTCTCATTCTTGTCTGTTTATACAAAAAATGCAGTAATAATCTAGAGAGCGTACAGATGTATTCAATTTCTTATAAAAATAGAGTATTAAAAAAGGAAGCGAAGATCGATAATACCTATCTCAATGACGAACGATAGTCAAAGAAGCCATTAAGAACATGTTGAAAATACAATAATCCCTGCATAACCTCCTTAGGAAAGTGCTAAAATAGAGTAAATCGAGGAAGTGGCTGTCACAGTGGATCATTCTCCTGCGAATGGATAGAAATTAGATAGAAAATAAAGTGACTATCCTGCTAGTATACATTAAATCATTTTTCGGATTGGGAATTTTAATTATAAGGAGTTTTTAAAACAAGAGAGTTAGTATTATGATGAAGATGATTTAAATGTCCCCTTCTTGGACCCATATCAATTACCAGATGAGACCATTTATATAGGGTAATGGAAATTAGGTAAGAGACATGGTAAAGGGAGGGCGATATTTAAGGATAAAAGTGTGTATGAAGGATTTTGGAAGGATGATCAAATGAATGGTTAAGGAAGGCTGATATTTGAAAATGGAGACTATTATTAGGGAGAATTCAAGGGGAACAAGGCGAATGGGTATGGAAAATAAATTACTTCCAAAGGATACTAATATGAGGGCAATTGGATTAATGATAAGTAATAGGGGGAGGGCATTGAGAGATTCCCTGATGGCACAAACTTTAAGGGAAGATTCATAGACGGGATGAAGACAGGATTTGGTGAATTCAATTTCTCAGATGGATCCAAGTATTAGTTCAGCTAAAACAAGGTATAAAGGATCAATTGTTAATAATAAATTTAATGGGAAAGGAACGTTTTATTTTTCTGATGGCCGTAAGTATGATGGACAATGGAAAGAAAACTTGATGGATGGCTATGGTACATTCACTTGGCCTGATGGTAGATCTTACGATGGATATGTAATATATATTATAATAATGACAAAGTATGTCAAAGATAAAAAGCATGGTTTTGGTGATTTCACATATACAGATGGGTCAATGTACAAAGGCAATTGGGTGGATGGCAAAGAACATGGATAAGGGACATTTTACTCTAAGAGTGGTTTATTTAGAGAAGGTGAATGGGAAAATGGAAAAAGAATTAAATGGACGTCACCTTACTAAACTTAATGATTATAGATACTTAGTTTGATTTTAAATTGAATTATATATTATTTTAATATCAAATGTCTGGATATTTATTTTAGTAATTTTAATTAATCTTATTAGAGATGTAAATATCCAACAAGCTTTATTCTTTTGTCTGTTTCTATCATATCATCCAATTTATTAATTCATTAGAACAATGGTAAAAATGCAGAAATCACATTTTAAAGAATATGTGATAGACTTATGTGAGTGATTTTAAAGTGTAAAATATGAAATAGTAAGATATTAATATTTATTTAAAAATGAAAAAATTCATACCTGCTATTGCATTGATCTCCGTCACTTATGCTGAATTAACTTTCAATGCTAATAATAGATGCACTTGTGATGATTTAACAACATAATAGGATTGTTCAAAATCCTATCCATAGTGCATTTGGGACGAATAAGGCAGTTCTTGTTCAACTGTAACTTGTTCATCCCTTATTGATCAAACAAATTGTGCCTTAAATGAGAAATGTATGTGGAGTGGCAAAGGATGTGTTGAATTTACATTTTGCAATTAATTAAAAGGATACAGTTAAAGAGACTGCTTTAAATAATCAATCAACTGTCCATAATCAGATGGTAAGATCTGCGCTGGCTCTCAAGCCTTAAAATCTTGTTCCTCCTATTCAGATCAAGAAACCTGTGATAAAACAATTTCTTCCAGTGGAATTTGCGATTGGAGCGATAGTGGATGTTCATCAATCACAAGTTGTGGCCAATTGAATTCAAAAAACTGTTTTAGGGGTGGAGATGCATGCATATGGAATATTACCTCCAATACTTGTACAGAAGACAGTTGTAATTAGTTTCAAAGCAAATCTACTTGCAAATACTATCAAACCTAACTTGATGAATTAGTCTTTTAATTGTGCGAATGGGATGCTACCAATAGTAAATGCAATGATGCCAATGACACATCTGCACTCACCGAAAATACTTGTTACAATCAAACCCTATACACTCACAGATGGTCAAGCAGTTCAAACTCATGCTAGGCTTGTGAAGGTAAAATAATTTATATGGTAATCATGGCCATTTTAATCATTATGATTTGAAATATAGATAAACATTAGGAATATAATAAATATATATTTATTCAAATTAAGTATTTTTTTTAATTAAATTATTTTTTTACAAAAATGGAATCCATGATGATGCCATACAAGAAGAGAATACTCAAAGCCACAACTCTATTCTTGACTTGCACTTTCATTCTCATTCTGGATATGTTTTTCAAAGAACCCTTATAAGCTTTTGAAGTCTCAGCACTCATAACAATATAAGATGGAATGGGACTCAAAGGTCACATCATTGAATCTATACCATTTTTCTTGCTTGCAAATATCTAAGAACAATATGTATTTTTATTGATAACAATGCATGTGTTGAGTGCCATCTATTTTTTACATGATCGCTTTATTGCCATCAAATGCATGTTTGTCCTATATTTTGGATGGTACTTTTTAATGCTTTTATAAATGATTTACAATTTGCCATAACCTTTTTGGGTTGATTCTGACATCGATACCTACTTTTGCGATTAAAAATATGGAGGCCCTGGAGATTCAATCTACTTGCCTGCGCTTTTCATATTTACACTACTCTATTATAATGAATGCTAACTAAAAGCTTACATAATTGCTTCAGCTTCTCTATTGTTCTATTGCTTTGCTGTTTATATTTCAGCCTAGGTGTTTTTAATGGATTTGGTTTTGGGGTTTGTTTACTTTATGCTTTTTTATGCTTTTGTATTAAATTATGATAAAAAAATTACAACCCTCATAAAATCGAAAGACACTGATAAGCTCTTTGGAATGAAGGTTCTGGGAGCAGTGTCTTTTCTATTCATCATAGCACTTATTTACTATACATTAAAAGACTACACTGATAGCATTGAATGGATTACTAATTATTTTACTTGTTATATGAGACAATTCACTGTCGGAGATTGTAAATTTACATTTATATTTAGATTAACATTATAGATTTAACACCATCTTAGGGTTGGAACCCACCTTTTGTTAGATAACAATCCTTATTTGTTTAGTGGTCATGGGTTTCATTCCTCTGCCAAAAAACAAAGCTACTTAGAAATAGTTTATTATTATTCAATTGGCCTTCATTCCAGGATGGCTAATAATGTTTTTATAAGGTTTTGTGACTGAAATTGATGTATTGCATAGAATGGGATTGAGTCAACTAATCATAGAATCTTTTATATTCGGATTGATGCATTGGTGGATCTTTGGGTTCGTTGGAGTAAAGGCAACAAAATCAATTGTTACTGATGAATATTTGTTATTAGAATGATAGGATGTTAATTAATTAATTTATTTACATTTTTTCTATCTCTATTTGATAATAATTACTGTGAATATACTTTTCTTTCATTAATTTATACAATTAAAAAATTCTCTATTGCAATAATGACTCAAGAATTTACTTTCCAAAGAATATCTACTTCTTAAATGTAAACAGAAGACTTGAAAAAAAAGTATATTCTCTAAAAGATTTTAGGCTATGGTCGCTATGGGTATGTTTTTATTCTTATTCTTAGAACTGTATATAAAGGTGTAAATTAACGCACCCAAGAAACAGTTGCTATCAAAGAATTGCGCCATAGCATTGATGATCAAGGGGTTTCTATATTATTTAATTCAAGATTAATGCACAGGCCTTAAGAGAAATTGAAATACTTAAATCCATCTAATGTCAACAAATCGTCTCCTTTAAAGATTTAGCTCATGGATAGAACAAAATTTACATAATTATGGAATATATGGAGGAGGACTTACTTACAGCCTTAAAAAGAAATACCTTCTCAGAACAACAAGCCAAAATGATCATGTTTTAAGTGCTTTAAGGCTTGGCCTACCTACACAACAAAGGAATCATCCATAGAGATATCAAACGTAAGATCTTATTCAACCTTTTTAGCTAACAATATTTTAAATAGAAATTTGGAAATCAAAATTTGTGATTTGGGAATGGCTCAAAATTTAAAAAAACTTAAGCCACAAACAATCCGAATTCAAAATCATTCTTACAGGGCTCCAGAAGTGTTCCTTGGTTTATTAAATGACTAATATTAGGTTAAAAATATTGCTCTAAGGTTGATGTTTGGTCGGCAGGTGTGCTATTTATTTAATTGCTCTTCAAAGACAATCTTTTCGAAGGGTCTTCTGATTACGCAAGTTTTCAATAGATCCTTAAATACTGTGGAACTCCCTAGGAAGGTAACTTTGTTAAAGATAATATAGAAAATTGGAACGGAGTGACTTCGCTCAAAAATTACTCTACTTTCATAAAAGAAGATCCACAACCAAGAACACTTAAAGCCATACTTGAGAAAAAAATGTCTCCATCACTAATCAATCTTGTTGATTCCATGCTTACTCTTGATCCTTCTTAAAGAATAACTGCTTAGGATGCTCTTTAGCATCCTTATTTTTGTGGAATGAATATTCAAAGGTATTATATCTTATTTAACCCTTATTACACAGATGCCTTCATACAATTTAGGCAAGCAGAAAAAAAGTCAAAACTGAATAAAATACTAAAACAGATGTCTTTAACTATCCTAACGGAAACAAAATCATTGTAGTTTCGTAAATCTTCCAAAAAAGCTAAAATTGCTTTTGATTACTTCATTAATTTTGTTTTCTCTTAACTCTGTTTATTAAATTATTATAATTTTCATGCGTTTTTCATAATTTATAATAACAAAAAATAAAAATTTGTTTACAATCAAATAAAAAATCAGATTAAACATTCTGATATTGATAGAAGCCATAAAATTGATATAACAAGGCACTTTTGATAATAATCGATACCATTTGCATTTCTTAAGAATTTATCAACTCTAAGATTGATAATATTGCATTTCCCTTTGTTAGCCTCTATGACATATGCGAATTAGTTTATTCAAAGTCATCATTGATTTCAGCTAGTATTTTTAATATAAAAAAAAATATATAAAAAATAATAAACATTATTATAAAAACCTCAATATAAAAATTAATATATAATATAAATCTAATACTTATTTGATATTAATTTTTTAATAAGTACAAAAATTAAAAATACTTCATGTGTTTTTAAAAAAGGTGTAAAGAATTATGATGAGAGTTTTTAAAAACCAAAAATATACCCTTGAACTTCTTAAATAGACTTGAATTATAAGAATAACTTGATATACAATTTATAGAATTTGTTCGTTTTTTTTCCTTAAAAATTCATAGATTATTCGTTTGTAATTTTAAATTTGATTTATCTTATTTAAATTTAATTAAATCAATTGATTATTCTAGCAATCCCATTTATATTAAACTTAGAATGAAAAAATATAAATTTTTGATTTCTAAACTAACTGAAAGCAAATTTGTAACCCGAAGGAATTGGCTCCTCATTTAATATGATTATTGTAAGTACTAATACTGTTGATAATTTATTATATATTTTATTTCAAACAGGTTTCTTAAGAGAAAGATATAATAAGTTAGTTCAACATATTTTTAAGAAAAAGTTCTCTGTATTGCGTTTATGTTTCGCAATCGTAATTCAAAAAAGTCAGAGAGGGCTGATTATACATTGTCAAACTAGTCGAATGGGAAAGAAATGTAAATGCACTTTTATGCAACTATTATTTTGAAATATTTGTATATAAATGTATTACTCGATGTATTATATATATATATTTTGATCAATTATAATCTGAAGGGAAGCTTGCATGAATATCACTAAATGTTTAGGATAGATTGCCAATAAAATTTGACAACAAGTCTTCTGCTTCTGGAAAAAGTTTAAGTTGGATTAGTTCATCAAACATGAAGGGAGAGGATTCTTGGGTCATGATTGGAATCAATTCTTCGGATGATGGGTTCAGGTATTAATATTATCTAAGAAATGATAAATTAATTGTTATACATTCCAAGAACTTGATCCCATCTAAATCTTAATGATTTATAATATCTATTTTTTAGCATGTTGGTTGATTTCCCTGGGAAGTATCTTGCGAACTTGTGGAACTTAGGTCCCTTCCTTAAAATATAGTTCAACAATCTTTAATCTTCTTCTAATGTAAATTGCTTTCCTCTATTCTTTTGCTTCTTCCTTCTCATATCCTTCTCTCTCTTCACAGTATAGCGTATTAATCTGTTTTTTGAATCATCAGAGGCTTTGGTTATCGATTTATAATTATTATTCTTCAATTTATGCGAATAAACGCTGTCCAAATTTTCAGTTATATCACCAATCGCTAGATAACTAACAAAATAGTACAATTATTGTCTAAACGACTCAAGCTGGATGACTAGGTATCATAAACTTGGTTTTCAAAATTTGAATTCAGTTAAATGGATTAATAGGGCTACTATTAAATTCTTCCTTATTCTCTATTACTTTCACTCTCATCCATTAGAGAGCATATGTTGAATCTTTTTGATTTTCTGATGAGCTTAACTGTCATATTCATTGGTGTTAATTAAGATATAAATAAATCTGATTATTAATCTCAAACATCTCAAACTTAAATTGTAATAAATCTTAATTTTTTAATGTTTCCACATTTCCTAATTAAAAAGAAGTTGCTTCCAAGAATCGGTCAAAATTCAATGACTACACCACAAGTGTTAAGTATTTGTTAAAGATTATTCTCTGTAGATTCTGACAATAAAAATTTTGATTATAGAGATTCCTCAAATTTACTTCTTTCAATTGATATTTGCTTATTCTATGATTATTTCTAATTAAGTTGAACTCTTTTCTCTAAATAGAAATCATAAAAACGAAGAGACTTTTAAACATTAAATCAATGCGAATATTAATTAAAGGGTTTATTACAATTATTATACTTTATAATATTAAATTGAAATGAATTGAAAATATCTTTTTATGAAAACCAGAAAGTACAATAAAAAGTACTTATATTTTGTTAACAGTCCTTAATAATATAAATCTTCATCTAAAAAATGAAAGCTACCTCTTGTAGACCTAGTTTCAAAACCATAAATTATATCAGATTAAATTGTAACTTATTCTAAAGAAGAATTAATATCTCCTATTTTCAGAATTGAGTAGAGAAATAACATATAAAAAAGTAAAAACGACAATATTTTTTAAATATTTTTTAGGGTTTATTATTGGTATTTTAATTAGCTTATTAACCAAAATTGAGGTTTAATAAAAAAGAATTTATTACTTTATTGTAGTGTTATAAAACAGACCATAATGATCTTATTAGACATCTGTTAATTATTCATTTTGCTGACATAATGCTTTATAATAGTCTAAGAGATGGAAAAATTATTCCATCTTTTTTATATATAATTATTTCTAACATCAACATTACAGAATGTGAAGAGTATACTTATATTCAAGAAACAGATGATAAGGAGTTAAAGCTGTTTATAGAAATCATTAAAACAAGAGACAAATTGTAATTATTAATTAGATATAAAGCTATAAGAAATTTATACAATTATTGAATATACATGAAACTTAATGAATACTCAATCAAAGAGTCCTCCCATATCAACATCTTCTTCTGGTTCTTCAGCCTTCTTTGGTGGCTCAACTTTTGCTGCTGGAGCTGTTTAAGCAGCAGTTGTTGCTTATGGTGCAGGAGCAGAGCTTTATTCTTAATATTTATAAATTAGAATTACATGCTCCTCCTCCTACTGACAAACTTGTCAATTGCTTTTACCCTTCTTTAATAACATCGTTCAAATTTTTTCCTTTTAATGTACTAACCACATTCTTAACATCTGCAGCAACCGATTCAACTCCAGCTTCTTTAAGTAATTTTGTAATATCGTCCTCAGCTAAATATTTATGATTTTTAATACTTGGGGCATTGTTTCCTCCTAAAACGAGTAAAGCATAAGCAGCAATGTACTTCATTAATGCAATTATTTAAAAATTATTTTTAAAAAAGATGCCAAAAGATTATTCTTTATTTATAATATCTTCTAAATATCAAGAAAAAGGTTAATATCTATTCATTTGCCTTCTAGGTGCAGACTTTTGAATTATGCTATGAAATCAGATTTTGTTGGACAAAGAACAATAACCAATTCAGTTCTTTGAATAAAAGAGTGTCTTCTTGAAAATGTAATTATTAAATTTGTTATTTAATTTACTTCTTATTTCAAAATAATTGGTCTTTCAATAATATAATAAAAATAAATTAATTCTAAGAAAAAATTGTATGGAATCGAAATAAGACCAAAATATAAAGTACAAATAGTAATATTAGATTGGATGGATCATTCATTTTATATAATTTTGCATACAAGAAATTAATTTTAATTGCTGGCAATCATATTTCAAAGAAGTCAAGATAAAATATACTCATACTTTGTTTAAAATTTCTTAGAGTTTTTTTTAATTGGCAGCCTATTAAAATAGAGCTTATCCTATTCTTTAGCTTATATAATGATAGTCATTTCATTTTTATCTCAAACGATTCTATTTCTATTATTATGCTCTTCTACTGTAATTATACACTGCTAATATGATCAAGAGTAGCGAAAAAGGTAATTTAAAAAGCGATATTTAAAATTGGATGATATAATCAATGAACTTTTCCATTGGATACTCGTTATTTATCCAGTAATTTACTTATATATTGCTGTATTGTCATTTAGTTCTTTATCATGTAATTTATTAAGTTTGATTCCATTCAAAGAAAGTGAAACCATCTCTTTAGTTTTAATATCATTATTTAATGGATAAATTTAGATATATACTATGAGGAATCATAGTTTTAATGAAATCAATTCTCTAAAAAGAAGATCTCAAGTTTGTTACTCTTTAACAATACAATAATAATGGCTGTTATATTTTTTCACTATAATTATGAAGTTGTAAGAAATTTAGTTGGATTTTTCTGACTCGATTATATTCAGTAATTATCCTTATAGAGATCCAAATTAGATTACCAGCAATGACAAATACCTTCATAAAATTTTGGATTTTAGCAGTCTTGACAATTTATAGATTACATCTCAAATTGAAGAACAATAATTATTCTTTCTTCTGGCAAATATATCTATCAATTTTGAACTAGAGTTAAGAAAGCCAGATTAAATTTCAATAAATTATAAGGATTCATAGATACCATTGCAAGAATAAAAATGTTATTCAAAAGATTTAAAATTTAGACAGGCAAACTTAGATTAAAAAGAAGGTCTCCATTCACCATCTTTAAGTATCATTAAATGCATATTCAAAACAGCTCAATCATGGTTATTTAGGTTGAATATATATATTTGATTAACTGAATAAGAGCTAATTAAAAATTAGGATTTATAGTTTTTATAATTGCAACTAAAATATATTAGTTTGTCTCTGATCTAGCATAAAACCTAAACTTGGATACTTAACTTCAAGTCTTTAATTAATGAGATTGAGCTTAACAGTTATTACCATATGATATTTTATTAGAGCCAAAGACTTTAGGTTCACTAAAATAATTGTGATTTGATTTATATAAACTACAAAATTGAATACAACTTATTTTAACATTTATTAATCTAAACAAATAACGTTTCCTCAACCAATTGTTATTCCTTTTCCTGTAAAGGCAGAGTTTTTAATGGCAGGGGTCTATTGGTTTCTTTCATTTTATTGTAGTGGCCTGCCTTTATGTATATTAATCCATACTTTCGGGATCTTCGACTGTGTAGTCCTTCTCGACTTCCAAAGCCATGAATTCTCTATAAGCTAGAAAGACAATATATTGAGCAACTATATAGAAAAGCAGCGTTGTCAAATGCAAAATTGATAAAATCTTTTCTCTTCCAGTTTCCCCCAATATGGGTATTTCATTCTAAAAACGAGTAGCAAAATATAGCCCTTTTAATAAAATCTTGGGTAATTATGATGCATACGTAATATAAGGTTATAACAATGTAGATGAGGCACTAACAACTTCCTAAAGAAGACCAAGCTGACCACAGTAAGATTATAAAGAAAATTTCAAACAGTTCCCCTAATTAGAATAAGGCCACTTATCTGGCAAATAATAAAGCCAATTATATAAAAGCAATCAATTATAATTGAAAAACTGATCTCTTTCCTTAAAACGTATTTGGTTTTTTATTGTCAAATGGTAAGCACATATGAATGTTGTTAATAAATATTTAAAATATAAAATAAATTCAATTTCCAATTCTATTGGCATTAACTCCAAATAATGCATACTATTGCAAGTCATTTTAATTGGCACCACCATTATATTGAGGTGCTTCTTACTCTCCGTTTTAGTCATTTTAAAGTAAGTCCTAAATTAAATGAATATTATACGATATCCTTGGCTTTTCTCATTTAAAAGTATGTTTTTTTCATCTCTTGTAAGTCTCCCTTCATTCTGTCAATTTCGAATTTCAGCATGTCAACCTTTGTTAAATTACACTATTACATAATCTTAACTTTGCTTTAATTAACTTAGAGTTGTCTTCATTTTAGCTGCATTTTCTTTCAAAGATTCCTTATATTGAGCAAGTTATTGATGAATTTCAACACCTGGTTATCTTGACAATATATTTTTCAGTTCCATAAACAATTTTTCCTTTTCTTTGATTAAATTTTCCTTTTCATTTACTTCTTCAGTTTTAGCTATCAATCTTCTTTACAATGTTTAAATCTTTAGAATTCTCTCAAAGTTTTCTTAGTCGGTTGCTTCAAGCTTTCTCCATCTGTGTACATTCATTGGATTTTCCAATTCATCTGATAAGGCTTTTACTTTGTTCTTTTCGTTTAATAATTCCTTTTCAATATTATTAATCTCCTTTCTCAACTCATCTATGCAAGCAGTTTGATCTTAGGTAGACTTATATTAAATAAAGTGCTTTTACTTTTAATTCATTTCTTAAATTAGTTAATTCATCCTTTAAGCTTTTCAATTCAATTTCTCTCTCTCTGAAATTTATTTCCCCCTTACTTAAGCTTGATTAATTTAATTTGATCTTCTCATAAAGAACCTACAATTCTTAATTCCTTTTAATCAATTAGGTTCCTAAAATATCTCTTTCATTCACTACCATTTCATAATCCTTTTGCTATCTTTATTTTTCAGTTTAAGCTCCTTATATAATATTTTTTAATCTTGAAATATGACTTTCTTAATTTTTAATTAAATCTTCATCAGCTTTAATGTTCTTTTCAACTTTAGCCTTATCTTATTCAATTTTAGCATTTTCTTCTTCTACTTTATGAAATTCAAGATCCTCCTTTACAAGCTATTAATCCTTTGTTTTAATTTCTTCTTTCAATTAATCAACCTAATGCTTCATTCTAGTATATTTCTTTGTTAGTTCTTAGATTTCATTATGACTCTCTAATAAATTTTTGGAATATAGATTTCTATCACTTCTGACAGTTTCATACAACTATTATTAATGCTTCAATCTAGCCTCAGCCTCAGCAATTTACTTCTATTACTCAGCTATTTAATTATTTTTTATTTTAACTTCCTCCACTGTCTAATAAAACTTAGCATGTGCTTATGAAGCCTCAATACCATACTTCTCTTACTCTCTTTATAACTATAAGATCATTTTATTAATCCTTTCATTACTAGCTTCATATCCCATGACTTAATTTTCCACTTTCTTTAATTTATTAACTTTATTCACTATCTCTTCATCAGTCTAATGTTGAACATCTTCTTGTTTCTTTAAAGTCTTTTGTTATTAAGTTCTTGATTTAATTCTTTGACTATTCATTTCATTTATTTTATCCAATACATCCTTCTTCTACTATAATTCAATCTTTTCAGTTTCAATTAACATTTCTTTAGTATCTTTTTCAATTAGTTATTCTTCCTTTTCCTTTATAATTCTATTTTTTTCTTTAGCTGTGATTTCCTATTCTTTATGGGTCTTCTTCACTTCCTTCTTTTCTTTTTAGATTTCAATTTGTAATTTTTCTAATTATTCCAATTATATTTTTATTTATTCTTTATAGCTTTTTAATTGCTCCTCTTGATTTTATCTATCCTTTAAGGCAGCTGCATTATTATCTTCAGCTTCCTTTTATTTTGTATGCTAGCTTTCTTTTTCTTTGATTTTAATTAAGATAGTATTGTTTGTAACAACTATTTATTTTTTGATATCGTGAATCCTGGATTGCTTCTCTTCAATTTCCTTTTTTGCTAAATCAATGTTTTATTTGATATCAGCCATTTTAACTTCTTTTTTCTTCTTTCTCTTTTCTTATTCTTTTGAATCTGCATCAATTTTCGCAATTTTATCCTCCAAATCGCTAATCTTTTAAATTTAATCTGAATATTATTTCTCTTCATTGTCTAGATCATGTTTTAAATTTTTATTCTGTTATTCTAAATATTCAAATTTTGATTTAGCACTCTAGAAATCTAAAATATTTTATGTAAAACATACTCTTCTTGATTTCATCAATTAATCTTTTCTTATCATTTAATTGTATTTAACTCTGTTCTTCAATATCTTCAACTACTCTATCGCATTATTTTTTTAACTATGTAATTATATAATTAATCTACATTTTCAACTTCAATTTTTGCTTAAACTATTCTCTCTTTAAGTTCCTTCTCTTTAATTTTTAGATCTTCAATTCTCCTCCATTTCTCTTCTAATTCTTTTTAAAAACTTTCTGATTATTGATTGTCATCATTAATCAATTTCAATTACGTTTGAACTCGACTAGAGTATTACATTATTTCAGAATTGTGCTCTTTGCATCTAAAATAATTCTATTGAAATACTTCTTCGTCCATCTCACTTCATTTTCATAACTTTCCTTGAGTGAATTATAGAGAGTTTCATATTTTATCTTAAATAATTCTAAGTCTGGATCCGAACTAAAATCCCTTATTACATCTTGAAAATGCTTTTCAATTTATTGGATAACTTGTGGATCTGTTGAATATTGATCTATCTCTTTAGTCTAAGTTACCAAACTCAATCCTTCTTCTGAAGCTTTTGCCATTTTAATTATATAAATATTTTATATATTCTAAATAAAAAGATTTATTTTCTCTCAATTGAAATTATGATGAAAGGTAAAACATGAACCAAATACTAAATTCATATTCACTCAACTTAATTTTTTAATTTATCATTTTAAATTTTGAATATCAAACTTGACAGTTCATTTGTTAAAAAGTTGTCAGCCTCAAACGACTTAAAACTATTCTCAGCCTAACATTTAATAATGCTGACTTACATCAATAAATTCAGTGATTCCTGACAAATCAAATGCCATGTTATTTTGCAAGACTTCATCTAAAATTGTTTTAGCATCATTTTCTGTATACTAGCTTTTTGGACAGTCAAAAATAGAATTATCTCCCGCCTCTACTAAATAATATTTAAAAAATGGAATCAAATTTGATATTTAACCTATATTAAATAAATCCATTTGTTTCCATAGTTCAGGTTTCATCATGGCTAAACCTTAGATAATTATTTTCATTTCCATAATATTAAATGCCGATTCTTCAATGAAGACCTTTAAGATCTTCAGTATCTGTTAATAAAAGGAAATTTTAATTAACCCTAAATTATAAAAATAGAGACCCTTTATTGGATGTTTGATCTTACCAAACCACTCAACAATTGCATCCTCGGCATCGCTTAAAGCTTATGTAGCATTTCCATTTTAATTAAGCTAGATGTAGTTTTACACCAATAACAGTTTCAACTCACTTATCTAGTGCTTATTTATTTTTGTTTTATCTTTACACTAATTTGAGTATCCTGAAATTGCTTTTTCAGCCGCTTAACAAGAGTACAATATAAATATCTTTTGGTTAGAATTCTCATCCAATTTATAACAGTTCATCTAAAAATTAATAAGATTATTTTGATAATCAAATTCTTCAAATTCCTATTAAGTAATTTCTCGTAATAAAACTTTAGCATTTCTTCTCTTTTTATTTAATCTTCTAATTTCCTTCAATTCTTATAGCCGATCTTTTTTGTTATCTTGAATTTGTAATAATGCTTCTGGAATTAAATTCTCAGTAGCTATTCTATATAAAACATAAGCGATGACTTTCCAAAAATAGATTCTATGTCGTTGATTTTGTAATTTCAATTAGAATTGAAGTAAAATGGTTAGAGTGGGCATTTTAAATTGACTTCTTGAAAGGATCTCTAAATGATTTAAAATACATTCAATCACAAAAAAATCATCGTTAACATTATCAAACAAAGCATCCTCAATTGACTCTGTGATAGGGATGCTTTTAGGCTGACAGATCTATTTGATAATATTCTTTTCCGATTAAAAGCATATCTAAATGTAAATACTGATAATGTACAAAATGGTTTTTGAATCCGTTTTTGTTCTCCTTAATGTAGAAACCCTGTTGTAAATCAAGTTAATATAGGTATGACAACACTAAAAGTGAATATTCATAAGCATTTTCCATATCTACCATGGATATATAGTATCTGCACAAAAAATGAGAATGGAAGGCCCAAGTCAAACTGCCTTCTAAAAATTTATATTCACTTACTCTACCAATATACATATATATAATTACATCTTTAATAGTGTTAAGATTTCTTCATCCCCACATTCTGCCTTGATTGAACAAAATGCAGTCTTCAAGATTTATTAGAGTGGCAAAGTCAACTTAACAAGACTAACAGTTATGAAATCTTCCATAATTGATTGTGAAAATTGCATATTAAAATAGTAGGGTAAATTGAAAAGGAAGTATCTTGCATTTAATGTTTCATCTTCAAAATATTCTATCAGTTCATTTCTATGATAGAGTCTATTATAGGGAGGTTTAATCAGCTGTTATCGTTTCTATTTTAATACAGCTTCTATTATTTGTATGTCTTTTTTAAATCCCTCATGAGAATCATTAAAGATAACAGCATTATTATCTAATAATTTCTTAGTAAAATAAACTATTAAATTAGCCATATCAATCTCTTCAAATTCATAGTATATTTGTATTAAACCCAAAATGAAAATTGAGTTGATAAAATATTCATTCAAATATTGCACAAAGCATTAATAAATATCAGAAAGTTTCTTCTTTTATAGTAGCATAATTCTGGTTTGAGTTAAAAAATACTAATGATATCCAAAATAATCAGATTAAGTATTAATTAGCATGTTTTCAACTGGTTACTAAAGGATTTAATAATTTTTAGCTTTTGAAAATGTTGAGTCACCTTATATCATTAATTTAGAGATTTAAGTATATATTTCCTCTTAATAATTAATATAAGCTGCAATATTTTCAAAATGCCTCTTCGAAAAACTATAACAATAAGACTAATAGATAAAAATTCTTAATTATATTAATCCTTAATGAAAGATCCATGAAGCGGTTTCATTATTTATGTTAGAAAAATAATCTATCTTTACTCCAAATGTATATAACTTATGTAGTTATTGTAATTATAGAATTTTTGAAGTGCTTTCTAGATCTATTTACCCTAATAAGTCTTTATTTAATATGTTGACTCTTTACTTAAAGTTAATGGGACAATAATCATACAACTTTAACAAGAAATGAATAATTCTGATGTTCAAAAGAATTTTCATTTGTTCATTAGTTGAAGTTTATTTGAGGATATAAAGTAAGGCTGTTTTGTTCTTTAAACTACACTTTAAATTGTTATAAGATAATAGTTATCTCCAATTAAACTCCATTTAAGTAGATTCTTCCAATTCCGACTAAATATATTGCTTGTTTTCCATGTTAGTTTTCAACCATAAAATGGAATATCTTCCTAATTCACATTAAGATTCCTATTTGAAAAATTGTTCATTTTTTTCAGTGATTTTAAAATTAAATTAGAGAGAAGAAATTAATTGTTGAAAATAAGTATATGCTGGAATATCTTTAAAGTTGTAATTAAGAAATTCTTTTTGCTTCATGTGATACAATTCGTTTTTACAATCATGTAGAATTATTACTTACAAGTAGAGATAATAAATATACTATATTGCATATAGAGGGTTTGTTTTTATTTCAGAATTTATATTAAAGACCCAGACTTCCTCTTTTACTATTTCTTATTCTTCCCTCTCCATACCAGGACTTAATTAATCGAAGTTAAATTAACTTGGACTTAATTCTTAGGCCTCACTCAAAATTTCAGGAAGCTTTTATTTGTGCATGATTTTTTATTAGGTTTCAATTATTGAAGATATTGTTAATTTGGCAAATTCATAATGCCCACTAAAATATTATTATAAGGCAAATAAAGCGTAAAATTAGTTGAGGAATCGATTTACTTATTATTCAAACAGTAATATATTGTCTATGAGTTTAAGGTTTTTTCTTAATTAAGCAAGCAAGAATTATCTTTGCTTAGATAATAATTAGGAAGATTACTCTGAATCATTTTAAATTGTTTTTAGAATAATACATTGTTCAGTTTAATTTAAATTAGCGACATTGATATTTGATATTAATTGCTTTATTATCAGTCTTAATTCGAATGTCAGTTTCTTTAGGATGTCAATAAAATAATTCAATTATCGTGTAACGTCATATTTTATTTGAAATTTCGCTGCAATCTAATAATAGTATATTAAAATGATATCAAGGTTCTTTTTAAGTGAATGCGATGATAGCAAATATGAATTTAAATCTTCTATCAACTGTATGCAAAAATACGAAAAAGGGCTTTCATTGATTTAATAGACTTCTTTCTTGATATAATCTTCATATTCTTATGTTAAATGTAAAGCATCATGAAATTATTTCATTCTGAAATTCAGATTAATTTTATGTAGCATTGACCAAGTAAATGCTTAATAAGATACTGCATGATGAAATTATTGCTTCTAATGATGTTCAATTTCAAATTTAATATCAGTAAAACAATACTATTTTTAAATGAAGTCTTATAGTTTCTGAAGATTATCTTCTAAAAATAATAATTCATTAATTAACCATTTTAAAGGATGCGTTAATTTTTCAAAATACTATTTTATATCCTCAATTTCTTCTAAATACAACATTTCTAAAACAATCTTCCCCAATTCAAAAAAAGAATTAACCTTTGTCATAGAATTCAGAATATAATATTCTCCTCTGATTAAGAAAATGTTTCTACTAGTTAAACTTTTACAATCAGCAAGCTTTAATAGATTCAAGGCAGCATGGAGGAATTATTTGATTTCAGCTTCTGTATAAGGTATTCCGTAAGTTTTTCTGTATTTTAACACTTATAAAAAACTTTTGGGCTCAAAAGCTTCATAAATGCATATACAATAACCCTTGATATAAAAGTCATCTATCTGATCAACAGTGTTGACAATTCTAAAGTAATTCTTACTTTCAGCATATAATATTCCTTCATGATTATCTGCATACTTTTAAAGTTATATCTATTCTCCATGTTTTATTTAGATGAATTACAATAAGTAAGGCGTTTCCGATTATCCCATTTTGACTATCCAGATGTTATCATGCATATGTTTTATGAATTTGATTTAAGGAATAGGGAATTATTCGATTTGGAAATATGAAAGTATGATTTCTTCAAGTACAGTTGTGGTTTTCTAAAAGATGGAAGAATCCTTGCATTAATCAACAATATTTTTGAATTCAATTGATTTTATATCTTCTATGAAATAATTTGACGAATTATTTCTTTGAGAACTGAGAGGTAAAAACCATTCAACTTTTTATCTTAAATAAATATTTATAAAATTACTTTAGATCAATATTATTGAAAATATCCATAAAATCTGAAAATTGTATTTTTTCTAACGCAGAATAATCAATTTAAGAGTCTAATTCTGGTTATAAAGGATTTTCTGGTTCGAGATTTTCTATAATTTGAGTAATTTTATAAAACTCTTAAATTAATTATAGTGATGGTTTCTTAACAACTTATTTTCTAAATCCTTTAAAAGTCAATGCCTTTATTTTTAGGAGAATAACTTTTCTTGTATTTAACCATGCATGTTTCTCAACATACCTTTGATATTTCTTAACTAAATTTGTATATTCGATATTTTCTTCTCCATTATCATCTTCCTATTATCCAATCAATTGGAAATCTTTTCTAAATCGTTATTGAGCTTTTTCATCATAATAAGCTCTCATTTAATTCAGTTTTGAGGATATTATCAAATATCTCCTATAATCTAAATTTCTTAATTAAATTATTTTCCTTCTCATGTGAACAAATCTTTGCGATACTCTCCTATCAGTCCACAGTTATCTATATTTTGTTAACAATTAAGATTTATATAATAAAGTATAAATTTTTAATAGTAGTCTAAGCTTTTATTTTTCCTTTTAATTTTTAAATACACATTTGAAAGCCCAATTCTAATCTCTTTAACTAAAATACTCCAGAATTTTAGTAAATTAGAATTCACCCAAATATTATTTGTCTAAATTCTTAGTATATTATTCAACTTTGATGACGTTTAATTTTTATTTGATCTCAGGTATTTCGTAGTGATCATGTAATTCATCATCAGAACTGACTGTTTCAAATTTTCCAGATTCTGCAGAGTTTAAAGTCCCATAAACTTTTAAAATGGGAAATCTTTTTAAAGCATCCTTATTTTCCTGAGATTTGCCTTCTTTAATTTTATTTTAAATAGTTGCTTTTATTAAGTATTTATGTCTTTTCATTAAGTCACCCAAAGCATCTGGGATTTGACCGAATATTGCTCCGATGAAAAACTTTCCAAAACAATTAAATATTAAAACACCCAAAAATACCATGATGAGTTCATATCCAAACTATTTATTATATTGTATTGTTACTACTCCAGTATTGGTTAATAAACAGATCAAACTGATAATCTCAAGAAAGAAATTCCAAATTCCTAAAGAACTTTCATTCTTAGGCCATGGTCTTTATAAACAATACAAAAAAGTGTTTTTCTTGACTTATATTTACATTATATTAGAAATCCATAGGATGAAAAAACTAAATGGAAATGTATATCCAAAAATACTTAAAAAGGAAATCAGTACGAATAATTCCATATAATCCTACATTGTGCCATACCTCTCAAAATCTTAGGAGTAAGGTTACCTTGATGATTAGTCTTCAACAAACTCCATAATATCAATTTCATTGTAATCATAACTTTTTATTTTAATTTTAGTTAGTTTAAATAAAAATATACAGAAATTTACAATTTACTTAAATAGAATTAAAATAACAATAGCAGAAAAATAATATTTAACGTGTCTTTCACAGTTAGTGCGTGCACAATATAAATTTAGTGGTTGATTCAAATAATCTAAAAATAAAAGAGGAGCAATGTAAGAGAAAAATTGAAAAATGAACTTCTTTAATACAAAGCTTGTTTCATATGATTCAACAGTTTTGTAATTCTCATACTCAGTTAATTAACAGGCAATTTTGTCAAAGATATTGTCTGCAATTAATTAAGCAATAAAATTCATAGCTGCAGCTGAAGTGACTTCAATTGTAGCTATATCAAATTATTTCAGTTCCTCCTAATACTTGTTGTGCAATTAAACAGTAAAAACAAATAAGGATACTATAATACCAATATAAAATAATATAAAGAAAAATAGCAACATTGAGCTCACCAAAGTTCTTTTCAAATATTCATGATACAACACTTCAATAGAGTTTAGTTAGTCATTTACTAAGGATCTTATATGTTTGCCTTTAAATTTGGATCTTTACACTTATTATTGATCTTAGTCATTCTGTCCGTACTTCAAATTGAAATAGATTTGTTTCTGTTTCCATAAATCAGTAAAGACATTGCTCCAATGAATTTGGACAAAGGCAAATATAATAGTAACCAAGATGTAAAAGTCACTTTCATTATCCCAAATTATCCATTAAATCAAACTGCAAGCAAGACCTGAAAAGGCTAATGGAGTTGTCATTTCAGTGAAATAACTCATGAAGTAAAAGTAGAGACCAATCTTTTCTCCATAATATCCACAAATTAAATCGCAAGGACTAATCCAGGGTCTCAAATAATCTAGTTTCCATTCATCAATCAATTAAAATGGTTTCTTCTTAAAAAACCTTGTGTCCAAAGTTATCTAAGCCTAAACATTGCTGCATTGTCCAAATAATTCATAATGATCGTTAAGACAGAATATTTATTTAATGATACCCAATTAATGCATAATACTGAGATCTAATTCTTGAGACACTTTCTGATAGACTAATTTCAATCTCTCTTAAGATGAGAATAACGATATCTAATTATTCTCATTTTTGACATATTTTCTCCAACTTAATTCTTGTTTTGCTTACTGTGTTTTTGTATTTTCTTTATTTGGCATTTAATAAGGGTGATACATATCAAAAGGAGGTATTTCTGATCGTTCCCATAAATTATATAATTTTATTTACTCTCCATTTGCAACTCTCAAAGCCTCTTAAAAGGAATAGAGATAATTCAAAGACACTGATTCTTTTTTTAATAATTTCAATGCCTTTACTGGAGGAATTTATAATGAAAATTAGAAATTTGAGAACTCATCCATAACTCTATCTGCTTACATCTATATTTGGTTTATCATTTCTAAATGCTCATAATTTCTATGATCTTACAAATTTTAATAATTCAGATTTTGAATTTCTTTATTTGATGAATTTCTTTTTTAATATATTTAAAGAGAGGTTATTTATTTATTTAACAAGCATGCCAATTCATTATCAATCAATTAACTCTATCTGAATTATCTAACACATTTTTCTAAGTGAGTCAAGTATTTATGGTATGCTATCCATTCTTCATCTGTAGGTCCATCGTCTTTCTCACTAAAATCCAATTTACCATATTCAAATAATTACGAATTAATCGAACTTTGATTTGTTTCTCGAGCTATGCGTTTGAAATTAATCTGTTGAATTAATCTGATCATTTGTGGTTTTAAATATAAGAACAAGTCTGAGACTTCAAAATCCGAAGATTTCCAAATTCTATTATTAATTCTTAGAGGCCTAAATGACTTGTCTACAGGTTCTAAGGAAAACAAATCTGTAAACCAAAAATTTAATTACTTTAATACATGACCTTGATCAGCTACTATCTTCAGATTAGAATCTTGCATATTAAGCATCACAAAGATCTCGTGGCCTTCTCCAGACAGGAATGATTGAATATTGAAGCCTCCCTTGTTTAATTTAATTATTAAAGCATTTCTTATTAATGTAGAAACATCCTGGGTAGGAGTACCAGATCTAATCCACATGTCTTCTTAATTCTCCAAATATTGACCTCCTCTCCATTTTTTAAGCAAGGTCTATTTTAATTCTTTATAGTTTAAGGTTAAACAGTCCATTATATTTGCATGTATATCTTTTAATAGTAAATTATGAAACTATTTTTCTAATTAAGATACATAATTCTTAATTATTTCTATTTAATTATGTTTAAGTACCATTTTTATCAATGTGATACCTTATGTCTGATTTTTCGTATAATAAATTTTGTTATTGCAAATCCTTTTCCCTTATGTGTTTTTATTCTTGGTTTTCTTCGGTTAATAGAATGGTTGGATCCTTTTTTTGGTGATAGCACGCATCATAATAAGGCAAATTAAAATATATCGACTCAATAGCTTTCAATAATAAAAGATCGTCTAGAGATTTCTAATTGATCCTCAATCCTGATTGTAGTAATTCAAACAGCTCGATGCTTGAATTAACCATGCATTAGTCATGATTCTCGTTCTTGTATTTATAGTCTGGGTTTATTAAACTAATTAAAATAATCAATCGTATTGAACCTAAATACGCAGTCAGGAAATATTTCAATATCTTCACTCAGATCTTTCTTGAAATTCTTCAGAATGCAATTATAATTGAAGTCTTCCTCCTATTCCAACTCAAATCCTAATAATGTTTTTATATAGGCCTAATATATTCCTAAAGGTTTCTACAAAACTTCGCTTTTTTTTTCAAATCTTGATTTCTTAGGTATAGTATTCGAAGGTTTTTTGACTAGCTTGTCTCTCCTTTGGTTAGTATCAAGAGATGACATTATAATAAAATAGTTGTATTAAAATATTAATTTTTCTTATTAACACCATATCAATTTTAGATAAGGTTGGAAGAATAATGATATCTACATTGACAGTTATTTAATTATATTATTTAATATTTAATTCCATCATTAAAATAAATAGGATGGTTTTATTAAAAGAAGTATTTAAACATATTAACAATGATTCAAAACAGATAGATTTTTATGGGAATGAAATTTAGTAGAATCAGATCTTACTAAAAATTTTAATAATACTTATTTTACTTTATAATTGACATAGCTTTATTTATATGTATTGAAATTATAAGCATATAAAACTTTAATAATTACGTTTATAAATAATTATTATTCCAAAATTCTTAAATGATCATTATGTATAATAGCTATATCTAAGGTAGAAATGAATATTATTAAATAATAGTATCTTGGAATTTTATTGCAATAAAAATTTTAGTTAATAATAGATAAGTGGATTTCAAATGTATTGATTATAATTATGTATTAATATTTTATTAGACAAATTAATTATAAGTAGACGTTGAATATTTACAAAATCAATATATTTGTCTAATTATTCAATAAAAAATATGATTCGATGAAAATTATTTATTTCATTATAAAAATAACTTTTTAGATTTCATCCAAACTAAATTAAGATGTTGAAGATTTATTTTTGAGAAATTAAGATTATTTCTCAAATTGGTTGATAAGTTTGAAAAAGATGAAAATCAATAATTTATTGAATTGACTCAATGATATCTTTAATGAAAAAACATACTTTGATATAAAAATATCTTTCTATTCGAACAGTATAAATATCCTTTTCTATAAGGCTATCATCTAAGTATAGTTTCCTTCTCAAATTTAATATTTTTAAAAGAGATTAGTTTTGTTTTTCATACATGTTATTGCTATGAAATTTCATAAAATGATAATTGTCAATATGTTAAAGAAAACTTTTGTTCATTTTTGTTAATAGTTTTCTAATAGATAATAATTTACTAATTTCTAAACGTAAGCATTAAGAATAAGTATTTCTTAATTTCTAGCTTTCTAATATAGTTTTCAATTTGGATTATTATTATTTTAATCAAGAATCCTGATTGTTTGTCTGTAAGAGAGAGGGAGGTTGAGAAATTTTGAGAGAATATAATACTGAGTAAATTTGATGCGTTATTTAAATAAAAAGAGTTCATTCAGTTAATAAAAGAAAAAAATATTTTTTATAATTACAAAAGTGGATGAGTCTGACAAACATCTATTTTAAAATTTTTATGCCATTAGGCAAATAATAAGTTTATAAAAAAATTTAAAAAAAAACCGACCATTGCCATTTTATTAGTTTGTGATAATATTTATTTAATAGCAGTATCGAATTTGATCAATTTAATATTTAAAATATCCTAGAAAAATACTTATTATGCAAAATATTAAATAGTAATTTGATGTTGGGGAGTTAGAAAGAAGAGTAAATTCAAATTTATACTAAAATTAAATTGATAATGAATAATCCTTTGGTGGTATAAGTATTAATATACTTAGCTTTTTACAACTTAAGTGCATAAAGTGAATAGTTAAGTGGCTTTAGTTATTTGAATGAGGTTGAGATTTAGCAAAATGATAAGATAGATCTAAAACAAAAAAAAAGACAGGAGCCTAAAAACAGAAAGAAAAAGAAGATGAGATACAAGATCAGCAATAAGAGAAAGACAAAGAAGATAAAAGGATTTCAAATAGATGAAGACATAAGACTATTAGAATCAGTATTAAAATATGGAAGATAATTTTCAAGGTTGGTTAAATTATTTCCAAAAAGGACTGTCAGTATGTTAAAGAATCGATATTATAAGAATCTTCGATATAGATGGGAAGAATTATTAGGAATGTAATTTTTCTATTTTGAGATTAGTGTCTATTATGAAGAGAATGAGGAACATTTTATAGAAAATGGCTCAGTAAATTAATCTATTGATTAAATTGATCATAGTAGTTTGATTAAGATGTTACCTGAGTCATACAGTTGTCCAAAAATAAGAGATATGTTAGAATGTTTGATCACAAGGGTGAATGTCATTTTGAATGTGTGAATTTTGATGATAGTTATTTATATCTATAATTTTATGTTAATGAGTTGAAATAATGTAAAAATAAGCAACTAAAAACTGAGATTGAAATAGAGAGAACATGATTAAATTATACGTTTTAATATGATGGACTTTATAAATTGAATATCTCAAAACATGTAACTTAAGATGATGAAAAGAACACTGATTATTTAGCTATAGCACATTACACAGGTTCCATTCTTTTCTCCTGAATCCCATCTGGCGGTTCCTCCAGTTGAAGCGTAGCAAGTTGATGAAGTTAAACTTTCTAGATTAGGGGCTGAGGTGCATGTTCCATTGGTTAAGTAACAAGAGTTTACTTTGTAATTTTAGTTTGGAGTGCTTAAATAGAAATTGCAACTTTTAGTCTAAGTGTACAGACTTGTGCAATTGTATGAAGAACAAGTTCCATTAGCAGAAGCATCCCAATAACAAGTATTAAGTACTAATTCGCATTAGGCTTAGGTGTTAATCATATTGCAATTGCTGATACCTTAACATTTGGATGAGGCTTGATTCCATTAGCAGATACCATCAGTACCGACTGAACCAAAGCATTAATAGAATGTACTGAAATCACTGCAATTATTGAGGGAAGATGAGCATTTGCCACCGCTGATACCTGCGCAAATGATAGATTGGCTTAAACATTCTTGTTATGTGTTTGCACTCAATTAAGAACATGTGACAGTTGAGGAACCTGTTGCTTGACAACCGAGGGAATTGCTCCAATAACAATATTTGCTCAGAATACATTAGGTTTAACTAGTTAATTGGGAGCATTTTTAATTCTCGCATTAAGAATTACCAGCATTCCAATAACATTTAGGAGAAGACAATGCACAATCAGTATAATTTGTCAATTCCTTGCAAGAACAATTGCTCTTGACATTTAAGACACTAGAATAATGGCAAGGTAAACACAATCCCTTTTGGGCATTGGATGGTTCACTCCAATGATGAGTTCTTCCTGTTGAACTAAAACATGAATTGACGTCATAACTGAAAGAATTATCAAAGGAATTGCACTTTTTGGTGTCAGGATTCCAAGTACAAATATTTAAGACATTATTATTGATATTGTTTTGAATGTAAGTACAACTTGATTCAGTCAAGTATTCTGAACAAGTTTTAACTTAACATGAAGCAGATGTGCCAGTTTTCCAAATGCAAGAATTACTAAATTAATCACACAATTATCTAGTCATTAAATTAGAGCAACTAGTAATATTAACACAAGCTTTGCTTCCAGGTTCATAAGTACAATATCCGTCTTTGCCGATGGAATTATAGCAGATATTTGGTGTGGTAATTGATGAACATGAATTCAATGACACTTATGATAAACAAGTAGTTCCATTGGATCCTGGACAAAAGATTGATAATGTTACACAAGCCTATCCATTCTTTCCTGCTATTTCAGAACAACTTGAGTAAGCTGTACATTGAGGAGTTCCAGCAGCATTCCAGTAACATCCTTTTACTTAAGCACATTATTATTAGACAAGATAATCAGCACATGCCAAGGATTAACATGCGTATGTTGTTCCGGTAGTAACTGCCCATTTGCAATTTCCAGAACTTTAGCATTCATTTTATTATAACAATTGTTAGCATTCACACTAATTACGATACACATATTTGAATGGATTGCATTATGCACAAATTCCACCGGATTCTATAGGAACCCATCTGTAATGACTATTAGTATTAGCAGAACAAGTGCTCTATGTTAAGGATCCAACTGGTGCATCTACACAGGTGGTACCGATATAATTGCATGGTTATACACCAGCACCAGTCAATGGTGATTGAAGAACATATTTGCAATTCTCTTGACTTAATTATTAGCATGTTGTAGGACTGCATTTTGTGCCTGTCCAATAACAAGCAAATTAAAATTATCTCAATTAACATTAATTTTAAGTGGCAATATCTCCACATTAACTTACTACCTTGCAACTGCCATTCCAATAGCATAGACCTTCATCTGCCAAAGTCTAACCTTTGGCTGGTTAACACTATTCTATTGTTGTTAAATTCTTGCATGATAATCCTGCTGCTATACATTAAGGTTTTTGTAAATTTGAAGGCACACAGGAAGGATTGCTTGATTAGCATGTTGCACCAGCTGCTAATTATATGTCCTCACATTTAGCTAGTGTGAAACAAACAATAGCTGCTTACTAAGTTGATTCTTAATAATAGCATCTATAGCTTTCTTTTAGACATTAAGTTTAATTTAAATCTCCACAAGGCACTTATTAACAATAGCCTGTTGCTTTGGTCGTTGCTGTTGCAGGACTTACAACCGCCCATTAGCAATTCCAATTATTGCACTCTTATTCCGTAATTATCTATTAGCATGCGCACTAAACATTTGGAACGAAGTACGCATTTCCAACTGTGCAGATTGCTACTAACAAAAGCATAATTGAGATCTTCATCTAGATTTTTGATTTATTTAATATTAATCTGCAAATCATTTCATTCCCCTTTTTGAATTGCAAAACACAATTGTATCATTTGTATAATAATTTAAATCAAGACTATTCTATGTTATGTATGTTTTTATATAAACTCCATCAAAATATCATAACAGACAAAGAAATGATGTCATTCTATATTAAAATTTTTAGACACTTTTAATATATAGAAAAACCCTCTATTAATTTTGTAATGAAGTTGATACTACTACTAACTTAAGAATACACTTAAAATGATTTATCTATTATTACTAAAAATAATAGGTAACATTTTTATCCTATGATCCTTTAGAAAAATTCTATAAATCCATATATTTTACAATTATATTAAATTTTTTATATAATTTTGTTAACACTCTGATTTCAAAGCAAATCCCCTATCAACTCTAGTTCCACTCAAAAATGTAGAGTAACAAAGCCATTCATCACTTATATTCAAGAAAATAAATCCTATATTGCTTATTAATCTACTCATAGTTAATTAAATATATTTTTTATAAGTACATTAATTAATACTATATAAAAAAATAAATTATTTATATGAATCAATTGTTCTACAAGTATCAATTGATCAATAAAATTAAGTTTAAGAAATGGAACATAAATTTATTAATAGTAATATAATATTCAAGATCACTAATAAGGTTTGTAATTTTGAACCTAAAATAAAAAATAAATTCAGCAAAATTTGTTGGAATTTACGAATGCTCCCTTTAAAAATTAAAAGTTGATTTAAAATCTAAGTGAATAAATTTTGAATTGTTTCTCTTTAATTTGATTTGTTCATCAATAAATTGGAAAATTTGATATTATGCTGAATCTTACTCTTAAACAAAAATATCATGTACTTACATTTTAAATATTTGGAGGATTATTGATTTAGTAATACTATTTTGTAACAAATAATTCAAATTTCTTCCTAGTAGAAGAAAATAATTATACTAAAAGTTTCTATCTATTTAAAATTCACAGAATATTATTATTCTTTAAACAAAAATAATTATAAACCCTCAATTAATACGGACACTACTTTATTTAGAGATAAAGATTAAATTCCAACAGATTTATAAATTATAAATTTAATCCCTAATGAAATTATTATATTGAAAGAAATAATAGCATGCTTGCTAATCTATATAATTTCTGTTCAGGTATTTAAAGATGAGGATTATCGAAAATATAAGAGAAGATTAAGAAATAACATTCAAGACAGATTTTATTGAAAAATATTAAGAGTGATCAAATGTGAAAAATAAAAGCAAGAAATATTTATTTATTCATTTTGTGAAGCACAAATTTTAAAATGGCTGATTTTTTAAGAGATTTCTTAATAGGTGGTTTTTCAGCTGCTGTTTTATAGACTGTTTTTAGTCCATTTTATATGATCAAATTGTATACCTCAAATGATTAGAAATACAAAGGTATTTTTGATCACATCATCTCATTTCATAGAAATTAGGTACAATATATATTTTGTATAGTTAAAGGGCTTTGCTATGTGGAGAGGTAATATCATCAGAATTTTCCCTGCCCAAGGTCTGAACTTTGCTTTCAAAGATGAATATAGGAAGTTGTTCTGCCATTTTGGTATAGAGTGTTCATTAACCAGACCCAAAGAAAGAGAAATTCCTCTTCTTCTTAGGAAATATTGCTTCAGGGAGTGCAGCTGGTGCTACATCATTGATCATATTTCATCCACTCGATCTTGGAAGAACAAGATTGTCTGCAGATATTGAAAAGAATAATGCCAGGCAATTCATTGATTTAACAGATTGTTTGAGCAAAGTTTATAAGTCTGAAGGTTTCATCGGATTATACAGATATTTTGGAGTCTCAGTTATGCAAGTGAGTTTATATAGAGGTCTCTATTTTGGTGCTTATGATACAGCAAAAGAAACTATATTCTAACAGTGGTTGATGGGTAACATTTTTGTAAAATGCTTTGTTGCTTTTTACATCCATCAAATATCTGATTTCATCTTAAGGCCACTTGATACAATTAGATAAAGAATGATGATGTAATTTAGTAATTTTTAGTAAATATTCTTTAATTAGAGAGAGCTGATACTCTCTATAAAAATACCCTGGATTGTGCAGTCAAGATTGCTAAAAAAGAAGGAACATAAGCATTTTTTTAGGGAAAAAATTACTCGAGAGGATTTTAATCATTCGCTTTAGTTCTGTATGATGAAAGCAAATAAATTATTGCTTATGGTTCTAAATCTGCATTGGATTAATGACAAAATATCATTTTTCATTAAAACAATATTTTTAATAAATCTTTTGGATATATTTAATAATTTAACTCGCATACTTAAAATTCACATTAAATTACCGTGTCCATTATTTCGATTTCATTTCTCTTTTTATAAATTCTTGAATAAAGAATCTAGCTTATGAAAATTAAAGTTAGATATCTGGGAATGATTGATTAAGATGATTGCAGTCATGTTTTACAAGTCTTTAAGTATAATATGAATAGATGAGAGTGATATATAAGGTGAAGTAAATTCTGTATTCTTGAGATAAATATCTATGTTGTATAATGCTAAAATAAGTATCAATTACCTTTATTCTGAAGGACAAACTAGAGCAGTCTTCAATATACATAACGACAACCTAAATTTATCTCTTATAGAATTAAATGCTAAGTATAAGTATTTGAATATATCTTAAATTTGATAACAATATTAGAACAAAGTGAAGAAGATTCCAAAATTATTGAGTAACTTCAAAAAAAATATGATATTTTCATAGCTCTTGCTTATTATCCTGAATTTGGTTAGATTTTGCCTTTTTTTTGATATACATTAATCAATTATATCTACATCTATCATCCATCCATAAAAAATGTATAAAATGTATCAAATCAATTATCCTATTGGATATATGCTATATTCCTTAGATGGCATAAAAGTGATTTTAACCATATTATATATTGTTTTTAGTTGTCTTTATTATGAATTACTTTAAGGCCAAAATTGTTATTTTCATAATATCGATTCATTTGCACTCTACATACTATATTATGAATAACTTAATCCTAATGATTCTACTAATCGATTCAGATAAATAAGAAAATATACAATAAACAATAGTTATAGTACTCTACAATAAATACACGATAAATGTAATTTAAAATAATCATAGTTTTGAGCATAAATACTTTAGTAAATAATACTTAATTTTATTATTATTTGAGATGAAAAAAATTAAATCTTATGATGAAATTTCTTTTTCTCAATTTTAAGAAGAATTTGGGGAAACTTCTTATGAAAATCAACCAATTCTGGTACATTTAGATGATCCATTGCCATCTTAAACAGATAGTTTGGAATTGGTTTTATAGAGTGTTCCAAAAAAATAAAAAAAAGTCGCTAGAAAAAAAAAATGCGATTTTCAAACAAAGAAAAGGAAAAGGGTGAACAAAAAAAAAAATCTAGGTTTCGAAAAACATACTCCATTCACTTTTTAAGAAGATGAAAAAATCCTCAATCTTGTAAAAGAGCATGGTCCAAGATTTTAAATCATTTCTAAGTATTTTTTAGATAGAAGTTAAAATGCCGTAAAAAATCGGTATTATAAGTTTTTACGCTATAATTGGAACTTAATCTTTGGAGAGTAAGCATTCTTATTAATGTCTAGTCAATAACAGCATTCTATTAATTAATTTGAAGAGGAAGGAGCATAATAAGAATTGCTAACAAATTTTTTTGATAACATGAATTTTAATCCGAATTTAACAACAATTGTGTTTAACCGCCTTACTTCAGTTGACTATCCTTCCTGATGAAATATGAGTTGATATATATGTATTTTTCACGTGTTGAATCAATTTTTTAGGACTGAAATTTATTCAATATAAAAATCAAAAGTAAAGAAACGCATTCAGAATAATTTGCAGTATCGTTATATATTATAAAATTTCGAATTATTGATATGGAAACATTTCTTCTTCAAAATAGAAGTGGTATGAACAATTTCAAAATTTTTGTTTTTTGAATTTAGCACATCTGATCTTACAATAAAGCTCTCATAATATAGTTTAATAATATGTAAAAATAATATATTTATTTGAATGAAGAATTTCATTGATCTTGTTGTTTTATGTAAGTCATACTAAATTTAATCCAAGATAATGAAACTGTATTAATATACAAATAACATTAATATTAAATATTAATATTTAAATTATTAAAAATAATATATTGCATTTATGAAATAAAAACATTATTCAAAATTTGTGTAACTTAATAGATAGTGTAAAATTAAATAAAAATCATTACTCTTTTTTAAGCTGAATCCTTAAGTTCGGAGTTCTGGGGGAAACGATAGATGATATGCAAGCAGGCTATCCATTGAGTTGAGGCAAATGTTCATACCCTAAGAATTATTCTAAGATTTTAAGTCATCTTTACATTAAACTTATTCAGAATGGAGAATAGATTAATCTTCAAGGGAGTCAAGTTGATTAGACTTTAGATAATTTTCCAATTTTCCATCAGGGATGAAAGGAGAAGTAATCAGTTTCTTTTCATAATTCGCCCATTTGATATCTTTGAACCAAGGATGGCTTTTAACTTCCTCTGGCCCATTACACCCCAATCTCAATTAAGGCTTCCTTTACATCAAAGCATTAGCAAAAGCAATGGCTGCAGTACTCCACCCTTAAGGAACTTCAGCAATAGCAGCCTATTTAGCAATAATTTAATCTCGAATTTCTTGTCTACTCTTTCCATTATATGGGCGTTTGCCAAGCTAAAATAGAAACAATAGTGTACAATACACTCATGCATAATAATGCCCAAAGCAAAGTAGTCTACAGCAACTCCATGATTTTGTCTGCACATCACTTCAGGAGCCATGTAACCAGGAGTGCCACTCGTTTCATGACTGTTTTATGGTTTCCATATTCTAGCGATTCCAAAATCAGTAATTCTTAAATAGCCTTGGCTATCAAATACTAGGTTTTCAGGCTTGATATCTCTATGTATTATGCCATTTGAATGTATATAATCGAGTCCTATAATTATGCAAATCACTATATGCTGTGTAATTGCTTCAGAGAATTTTCGATATTTGCATAAATGAAATCTTAAATCTCCTCCAGCCAAGAAATCCATAGCTAAATACAAGGAACAACGATCTTAAAAGGCACTGATAATATTGATTATAAATCTAGTATTATCCAGGTATAATTACTCATGTCTTAGGGTTGATAAAATCTGTAATTCATTCATCACTGAACTCACGCTTTTTTTCTGTATCACTCTTGTAATATAATTTAGTTATGTACTTAACTTTGGACATGACTTTAAGTGCTACAACTATATTGCGAGTTTTGTTAAGTCTTGCTTTGTATACTTTTCCAAATCCTCCTTATCCAACAACTGATATTAATTCAAAATTCTGTAATGTCATTTCTACATATATTCTTTTCTTACATGAATCATCATTCGAACCCCTAAATTTAAACTCGCAGCCTCCCATTAAGTAAACCTCAATATTTTATATATTATTATAAATAATAACAATCAAGAATTATATATAATTTACAAATCCCTTCCTTTTTTAAATTATCGTAGTATAATCCTATGTATTTATTAATCATGGATTGTATTGTTTCTACCTAGTGATCATTAATTCCTAACTATGATTGCACAAAAGTAGTTAATTTAAATTAATTTTAAAGCTATTAATAGGCTAGGTATAAAATTCTTTGCTTAAAGTAACCCAATAAATTTGAATTGGTCTGATTATTAATATATTTCAAATTAACTGTTCTAAATAATGTGAAAATGATGTTAATGCTTATAGTAATACAGATGCATGCGTAGGAAAATCAAATTATTTAAGAAAGCATTGGCACTTGGACTAAAATGATAAATGTAGGCAAACAGAATATTATAATTTTTATAGTAAATGACAATTAATATAATAAAAAAGCTAATAGAAAATTGGAAAAATAATGAATATAAATAAAAAGTAGATAGAGTTATGTTTAAAAATGAAAAAAGGAAGAATGAAAGGTCAAGCAAAGACTCAGACTCAGACATAGAAAGAGAAAGGGAAATAGATTATGCTTCAGAGAATATCTCCTTATATTAGGCCAATGTGATTTTATTAGAACCAATAATCATTGATAAGAATTATTTAGAGAAGGATATTGTAGCAGTGTTAGGAAATTTAGTTATTGAATTAACTGACTTCACATTATTCGAATATAATTCTAGACTACCAATTGAATCAAATTGCATCGTAAATCAAAGTTATAGTACAAAATTAAGCGAGGAGCTAGGGGAAAGAATAAACAACAAAAATTTTGGAATATTTTTAAAATTTTCTTGCTCCACTAAAAATCAAAATAAATTAAAGAAATAAATTAAAATTGGGAACGATGTCATAAAATTGTTAAAAGAATTTATTAATCGGCAAACAATTTCGTCCTCTAATAATCTAATTGATCAATTCATTCAATAATTAAAAAATATTAAAAGTAGTAAGTGAAAAAGTTTATTATTTATTTTATTATTGTGATAAATAGAAATTTATAAAAATATTTTTTCATTTGCCTGGAGGAAAAGGATTAGGTTTTGATTAAGTGTAGTCATCTGCAAAGTAATGATTTACATCTTTGTGATGTTCTTCATCTTTTCTTATCGCTTTAACGACATCCAGTAGAGTGGCATTTTCATCTAATCCCCAATATTCAATTGAATTTTGATTGGCTTTGCGAGTGGTCCAAGAATGAATTGGACTGCCTTCTCTTTCTATTTCATGAATCATATGAGTATAAGTTTTAACTGCTTCTTCTTCTAAGTATCCCACAATCCTATGACAGACTCTAGGCCAGAAAATGTATGCCACTCCAAATAGTGCAACATACCAAGCTTAAGCTAAAACCACTCCAGTTCTGAATATTAAGGAGGGTTTTTTGATGTTTAAAAAAGTCAACAAATGAATTCTCTCATTTTCTGCCTCTTCTAGCAAGGTGTGAATCCATCCTTAATCTCTTTTCATTCCTCTCAATGATCTCAAATGTCTATGCATACCAGCAACAAATCCTGGGACTCCAGCGACAGTCTCCAAAAATAGAACTCTATTGATCCACTTCTTTTCTGACACCAATTCTGATTAGAATGGTAGAGTCTTTTTATATCCACTCATGACATCAAATCCAAGTCTCATTGATTGAATGAAGTAGTAGGCAAAATGGTCTCCAAAGGTAATTGCAGTTTTATGTTCCAAGCTAACTTTCTCCAATTCTGGTTTATTCCATATGGGATGTGGCATAGTATAGTTTTGGTTTGGTTTAGTTGACAAAGAGAATGATTTTTTAAGTAGCTTACTTAAGTGTCTATTCATTTAATTTTTAATTCAGGTTTAAGAAAAGCTTTTAGTTAAGAATTTTAATTTAATTCGTATTATAAACGATGTAATTAGCATTTAATGATGCAATTCTCATAAAATTAATTGTTTTTATATTATAATAATGAATAATTTGATAAAAATATGCTAAATATGTTACACCAATTTTAATAAAAATGAATAATTATATAAACCACAAATAATATATTAAAATTTATAATATAAATAGATAGTTTTATTAAATTTATATGTTTTTTTTGTGTTCAATATTGAATAATGTATAATTCATTCAAATAAGGGCAACCAAGACAATCAATGACATGATTGATAGAATCCAATTGGAAGAGCATTATTGGCAAGTATTTGTCACCCAATGATAGGAACCAAAAGTAACATCATTACAAGTTTGTTCATTCAAATGAGTAGCGTCAGTTGCAGTTGCACATTTATTATCAGTGCCCCATTTGCATAAGATGGACTTATTGCTGTCAATCTTTGGTAAAGAGGTACATTAGGCCTAGGTGGTAATGTCTGAACATGATCTATTCACACATAATTATCCATCCTTCTTGCAATATTTTGGATCACACATTTGATTGAATCCGTCAGCATCTCTGCATGTTTTCAATTCAAAGGCATAACACTTGCCATCACTTTTCCATTAACATTTGGCAGTTGCAGTTGCATCTCCTTTGCATGTTGCTTCAGTCACAAATTTGGAACAATCAACATACACCTTATTTTCACATTAAAATCCAGCAGCTACAGCTAAATGTTTGTAGAATAATGTAGTCACACTAACTCCCTTAGCTTAGCATCTCTCTCCATTTTCACCCTTCAAGACAGAGCATCTTTCTGCCTTAGTCACAGTGAAATCTGAACATTGAGTAAATTCAATGCATTTGTTATCTTTCCAACCACATTCAGCCATATTTGAACAACTTTCTTCATTTGGCATATCTTCACATTCTTTCTTCTCATCAATACATTTTCCACCTTTCCATTGACATTCTCCAGTGCATTTGTCTTCTGTTGTGTAATCGCTGCATTCCTTTTCTAAACAAGATGATTCATTCCATTTGCAATCGTACCACTTATCACACTCTGACTTGATAAATGAGGAACATTCGCATCTCTTTGATTTATAGATAGTTATATCTGCAGCAGCAAACCCAAATAGGGCAATTAATAATACCAATTGGATATTTTTCATTAAATAAAATAGAAGATATTTGTCTTTATCATTACGCATTTAATTGATAAAATTTCATAATAATACGTAAATATAATTTAATAGAAACTGCACTTGTTTTAATTATCAAGTCTAAGTATTATCAAAAATTGATTAATATTTTAATTCTCATTTTGTTTAAGCACCCTATCTAATTGTAGGTTTCTAAGTTTCATCTTACTCACTTTTGTATATTCAAATTAATTCGATGTAACAATCAGTTGTTTCAATTAAATTTATATATTTTTAATATTTTATGAAGGCTCTCACACCTAAAGTGATCCAAGAAAACTATTGTAATCTATTTACATTATTTTAGATACGAAGTACTCTTAATTGTCTGAAGAATGCAATAACAAACCAGAAAAATTGAGAGCTCTTTTAAAATAATTGAATGATGAAGTTGGGATTTACTTATCAAAAAAGAAACCAGTCAAAAGTACTTTTTAAATTCATTTAGAACAAATTCAGTTCCCTAATAAGGATGTCTTATAAAAAGAATAAATGAATAATGTTGAAATTTTGAAAAGATTAAAATTTTAGATTCATTAACAATAGAAAAGATTAACCATTTTAGAATAAAAAACCATGAAAATAGATTTAGAAAATAAAATTTCATAATGTGAAGATAATATAAAAACACTTGCCTAATAAATAGAAACCTAAAAGAAAATCACTCAACGATAAGGAAAGGAAATCACTCAAATTGAAGAACAACAAGGAGTTTCTGCACTCCAAAATGAAATGTAATTATAATTAAATTATTTAGCAATAAAGCCGATAAATCGAAAAATCCATATAAGAATATCAATTAAAAAACTATTAATTATATGAATTGATTGATAATGAACAGAAAAAATTTCAATAGTTTTCAGAATACCAGTCCAAAGTAAGAGACAAGGTCATTTTTAAAGAATAATAAAGTGCTGCCATTTTAGAGTAAGACCCATAAATAGAATAACAATATTTAAAAATCTAACTTCAAATATAAAATCAGGAAAGGCATAAGAAAATAATTGATGAGAAATATTAGGCTGATCTTAAACTATTCAAATAGGATATCAATCATAAATCAAAATAATTGGTGGAACTTGAAAATTGTATTAGTAAAATCCATTTGGAAATAATATAAATTAATGAACAATGCCAAAGATTTAAAGAATTCTAAATGAAAAGATCCTCATAAATTCGCCAAAGAATTAAAAAATCATAATATTTAAATCAACAATCATATTAAGGTCAGGAAGATGATTAATCAGAACATAATTTATAAATATTATCTAAAAGTTTCACTAGTCCTTAATAAATTGATAATTCAGTTTAACTTAATCAGGAAACAGACTGTGAATAAAAAAATCAAAAAAAATTTTCAACTATATTAGAAGATTTAAATGATGGAAAATAAGACCAAAATCAACCCAATAATGAAAATTCAAACGAAGATACCAACTAATTAAAGGATGAAACCAAAAATGATGAAACTAAAAATGAGGAAACAAATAATTAGGTTTAGACTCAAGATCAAGAAATCCTTGAAAAATAATAGGAATCTCAAAAAATAGAATAACAATCATAATCTGGATGAATAATATCAATTTTACATCATTATATTACATATTCTTATTTTGGCTCTATATTTCCTATACAATTCCACCTATCTTCATTCACTATTTGTATTCACATTAGTTTTATTATTTAAAGATTAACATGCTATCTATTTATTTATTAAAATATTAATCGACATATTTAAAATATATATTATTGAATATATATAAATTAAAATTCATTGCATTCTTACTTAATTTTTACTTTTAGATCACTTCCAAATTATATACATATATTGTTTATTGACGTTTATCGAAAACCGTAAAAGAATATATTGAATAAAACAAATTGGACAGCCCTTCTCTTTACGTTAAGATAAAGACAATTTAAACTTCTAGAATGACTTTTAATACTTTATTAAATTTTAAGATTTCCAAAAAAAGAAAATTCTTGAAAAATAACTTCAAATTGTCTCCATTCGCAACACTTAACCTTAATTAAGTTATTACTCTAATATTTTGATCCATGTTTAGCTCATTCTTGCAATTATTAAAACTGATAATTTATTATAAATTTATTGAGTTTCCATTATAATTTATCGATACAAATGTAACAATAAGAAACACTTAAAAATTAATTCTTTCCGCATAGAAGATAATTTATTTCAATTAATAACAACAATAAATCTTTATGATTAATTCCAGTGTTTTTTTTATCGAATTATAATCACAATGTTTATATTACGAAAAATAGCAAACTTTAGAACAACATATCTTCGAAAGAAGTCAATGCATGATTTGAGTTAATTAAATAATATTTATAAATGGGTTAAATTTGCAAATCTGTTAAATTAGATTAGTAGCTAAGTTAAATCGAAACAATTCAATGTTCTGTGCCAAATGATGAGGGTGATTTTTGCAAGCCCGATAATCTCCATAAATTTAATAAATTCTTAGAACAAAGACATAGGAATTCTAATTCTACCATTGATCCTCTAATCAATGGTAACATAAGTGATTTTACTATTGATCAAGAGAATTAATAATTTCGAATAGAAGAATAAGTTAAATTAAATGAAAAAAAAGAGTATCGATATCAAATTCCTGAAAATAGCAAGTCATGTATTAAGAGTAATAATAAAGATTTGAAATCAAATTTAAAAAGTAAAAAAAAAGTATCGTTTAATGACTTCGAATTCTATAATTTTTCGATCAATCCAAAATTTAGCTCTTCATCTTAAGAGATGATTTGATAAAAAAATGATTATATTATGATTTTTTCTTATTATTTATTATCTAGCATTATAAGTATAAATTTTATTAAGGCTTATTAAATATACTATTGTCTAACTTAATTAAATTATTTCCAGTTATTTACACAAGTTATAATATGTTATATTTATTTACAAATTATAAATAACCAAGAATGTATGTATTTTAATTATATCACCGTTTAAATAAGAAGAATGAAGGAATAGCAATTAATTATTAATTTTTTAAACTTCTTTTTTTTTTTTAATCTCATTATTTCATTCTAAATGGAATTTATTAATATAATCTAAGAGTGAAAAAATACAATTGTATGAATAATATTTAATTAATAATATTCTCATTTAAGAGCATCCCCTAACTTGGAGCCTCCAGGGATAGACACAAAACTCTATGGGGAAAATTAAAAAAAGCAATTTGGATCAAAATTTTATGGGACTTCTTGAAAAACATACATCATTTCCACTTGATATTGTTCTTTATTCGAATTCTATTATCCATCTTATAGTTACTATTGAACTTGTCTAACAGGCATAAATTACGGATAAAAGTATGGATTACCAATGTAGGGAGAATGTGGCTAAAATGGTACTTGCGCTTAGGATTATTAAATAGCTTAGTCTTATTAAGGGTAATTTTAAATTTGAATTGGAATCATTTAAGAAAATTAAGGATTATTATCTGGTTTACTTAAATCTTTGTTTTAATTTTTTAACTCTTATTAATTTTAATATTATCCTTCAGTGAATTGTAGTTACTAATAGCAATCCTTAACGGCAAAGAATTAACTCCCTTAAAGTTATTTCATATAGTATTATTATTATTACTAGATTGGATCAAGCATTGGTATTTAATATGGATGAGGGATATAAGAAGGAAGATTTAATTCTTATTATTATTAATTTTGATTTTCTGCCATTTGTTCACCCGATTACTTTTTAATATGATGAATTTATCCTTAGGATTTTTGGCTTTAATTATTTTAGGGCTTTGCTTTCTTTGGTTCTTTGTTATTGGTTTTATTTTATTATTAACTTAATTACTAAAGTGATTTAAGCTCTCTATTTTTAGTTCTGTTTCTTTCTTTTCTATCATGTTCATTACAAAACTATAATCGCTTCTCTTTCTTCTTCTCTCTTGACTTTTCTTTTTCTTTTTATTATTCCAATTTTTTATATCTCTAAATTTCTTGTTATTTATCTCTCTCTATCTATCTTAGTCTCTCCTTTTCTAGCTCTATTTAAATTTCTTTTTCTAATACTATTTCTCTTTATCTTTCCAATTCTTATGATTTTTATTTTTCTAATTCAACCTTCTTTTCTCTTTTAATCTATTTTTGTATTTGTTTTAACTATTATAATTTTTATCTAGATTTTTTATTATCATTTTCTGATTAATCATCAACTTCTTAATTTTCTTAAAACTATTAATTTATTTCATCTTTATTAGGTTTCTCTTATCCATTTTAAACATCTTAAGGTATTTCAATTACTTGAATTTCTTACCAACTCAAAGATCTCTTTTTTGACTTAATCAAACTATTTGATTGTTTAATCTGCTATTAATCAAATTGATTATGATTATTATCAATAATTTGAATGTAATTCGGATTTTAATTTGTCTATTCTTAATTTTCCACAATAATTAATTTTTAGTCAACACTATTTTTAATTCTATTAGTTTGGATCTATGCTTTCTGTTATTTTTCTGGAGATAATCTAACTTCCTATAAATTTTAAGTATTGATTGGTTAGGTGATCTATTATTAAACTTTTTTATCTTTTTTTTATTATTCATCTTTCTAATTGTTTTATTTTTATTCAATCTGAGGCACATCATCTTTGTGTGGTTGTTTGAAATTAACTAATTATCTATAGTGTTTCTCTCTTGGTTGAAATTACTTTAGTTCTCTAAACAATCGTTTATTTTATTTGTTTTCTAATTCTATAAAACAAATTAATTCCTTAAAAACAATTTATTTGGCCTTATTAATCAATGAAGGTTCGTCTTCTACGTTCTCAACTTTTATTTCTTGTTGGTTACGTAGTTTAACTACAATTTTATCTTTTTAGGTCTTCTATTAACAAAGTTATTCTTTTCCTTCTTAGATTCCACTTTCTAAATTCTCAGTTTTAATTTCATCTTTCTCTAATTTTACATCTTCTGTATAGTTGAGATTCAATAATAGATCGGTATTTATAAAGACCTTTATTTCGATTTGTTTGTCATCATCCAATTTAAATTGAATAATTTATGTTTCTTGGGTGATGATTTGATTATTAAGGTTGGAAAGTTTCTCTAATTATTTAATTTGCCTTTTCTTTTTGTTTTTTAAGGCAAACTCTTTCAGTTTTTCTTGACTCATTTGAAATTTAGTTCTTCTGATTCTTTTGCTCTCTTTAATTATAATGGTTTGGAAAGGATTGTGATTATTATGATAACCTTTGAGTTGGGTAAGGTTTCTAGTTGGTATTAATTGGAGTATTTCCTAAAATAGTTCTTTGGTTTGGTTTGATAGACATTCTTTCTAATGATTTTAGCAAATTTATAAATAAATTTCTTTTTCCTACTATGTCCATGGTCCTCTTTACAGTAAGGTCTTGCCATCAGGTCCGAATTCAAGAGGATAAGCCTTTTTAATGTATCTTTTCTTGTCCTTTGCTTATTTAAATCTTTTGAGTTTTCGTTCAGGGCAAATATAGGTTTGCCAGAGCTCCTGAAATTTATTTTTTTCCATTGAGATATTTAAATTAACAAATTAAATAAAATTATTATGCTACATTTCGAAAGCCTATATTTATTATTCTTCACTTTATCTAATAGAATACATCGAAGAACCATTGGTTGTTTTGATACTGAATAATAATCTAATCATAAATGGTTCTTCTGTGCAGTTTAAACAAGCGAGAACAATTCCTAAACTAAACTACTTAAATGTATATATGAATTTATTTTATATGCTAATATATAATTCCGATCATAGAATGGTAATATTTCCATTGTTAAGACCATTGTGTTCTCCGACAATGTGAGTGTCTGAGTAAGGAACAATCGGTTCCTTGAAATTTGGGTTCTTTTGAATAGCCTATTTGGTTAGATTCTTCCACTAATAGAATTGATCATTTGAATAAATACCTTCTCTTCAATCTTTTATCTGTCTTTTTTTTGGTTCTTGGCATCCTAAATGATGTATAGATACTTGGGATCCTTGTTATTCAAGGCTTTGTCGAATGCCTAATAATCAATCTCTTTGAGAATAGTCTTGAGTGCATTCAAAGACTCTTACAATACCTTATGCCAATGTGTATCTGCTATCTATGCGATTACTGGGACCAATAAAGGGAAGGTGAAAGGTTTATAGCTCTTGAGAATGGTTAAGAAGTAATCATTCTCAAAGAAACACATTGCTCTATCAGCCACTTGTAAATGAGGTCCTGCTATGCACTTGATTAATCTTTTGAATAATTTTGGAATCAAGGGCTCTAACTTAGAGATTTCACAAACTTCCAAGACTTCCAATAGTTCATTCAGGAACATCACTTCTTTGGCTGAATTGGCAAATGGCCAATATCTCAATAATCCTTCAACTAAAAATGTTGCTAAGGTGGGATCTTTAGATAAGAAGAGCATTGAGCATCTTAACAATTATTCATGATAAAATTAACAGGTTTAAACTTTATGTAAGGGGATGATAACAGTTTTGAAAAATATTACATGTTCTTCTCTCAAAGGAACTGCAAATCCACTAATGATGCTTGCCAATATATCCAATAACTCAGCTGCTCCATTGAATTTGTAGGTTTCGTGGATGAGAGTGTAAAAACAATCGTTTATTGCCTTTCTTATCATCTTTCTTCTTGGAACCAACTTAGCATATAATCTATGTAGGATGTTCTTCAGATATTCCCTTTCCCGAGGCTCCTCAGAATCAAATAACTCCAAGAATTCTTATATAAATGAATGAGTGATAAAAATCTTGAAATATTTATAAAAGAAATACCTTGAGTGATTTGACATCTGGTTATTCGTTAACTATTAATTATAAGAAATATTCATAAACTGGTTGTAAATGAGTCCAGGCTGGATCAATTAATTACTAATTTATTTAATTATTGTTCTTACATCATCATCTTCCATTCCGATTTCACCATTTGTTGCTGTCTTTTTTAAAATTGGTAATGGTCTGAATATATTCTTCTCAATCATCTCTATAATTAGATCTAAATGAGGAACAACCAAATTCACTACAAAGTTAGGCTCTTTTAATAAATCAAATAATTCTTGTAAATATTAAGATCGTTCTTATTTTTCCTTTACATTTTTAGTATCATCATTAAAATCGTATGGTTAAGAGCAAAAATGGATTTTCTTTAAAAACTGATCCCTAATTTCTTTAGGCACATGCTTAGGATCGGTAACCCTAGCCATATTTTGAATCATAGGTTGAGGAGTCTATCATTTAAAAAAATTAATACCCTATTTTAGGAAGTAGTTGTTGTCGCTTAAGGTTGTTAACGCACAGCTGGAGTTTATTTCGAGCTAGCTGCCTTATTATTCATTATTTATATTTATTTTTTCTAAAAGATGTATTTAAATTTTTATATTTAGATTTATTAATATATTTATTTACTAGCGCTACTATGTTAATCAAATTGATTATCTCTTCATTACCCAAGAATCCTATCAACCACAGTTATAAATAATAATATGAACCCAATTTGATTGTCTATCATAACAATGGTATGATCTAATTATCTTAATTAGATAAAAATAGCAGATTAATTTAACATGAGCCACAGATATTTGTCTCAGATATAATTTTAACCAAATATCATGATATAATATTATTTATCACTCAATTAAATTATATTTATTATAATTATACGTATTATTAATTATAATTAGAACAACAGAATTTTCCCAAAATTCATTGTTTCCTACAATTCGACCTGTTAAATTCATCAATGTGATGTTAAACAGTTTCAATAGTGTTATTAAGCATGATAGTAATGATCTAAACTATCACTTATAAGTATTGTTGATAATTCATTTGAATTACCTGATTTTCACTCACATCTAATTTTGATGCTTAAGTTACTAGAAACCACTTTATATATTTAAACTTATATCATTTATAACAATTAATTGTCTTTGAGTTTAGCAAATCAAAAAGGTTCTCTAATTGGTCTTAGAATAGATAACTTCCAGCAAAAATTCTTCTTCTAATTTTTAAGCTGTTCTAATACAATATATGTTTGAAGAAAGGTGGTTGTTTGTGATCAAATTTTCTAGTAAAAAGTTATTTTCAGCATTTGATAGATATAGATATATAATTATAGAAGATATAATTCTTAAACGAGGAGTTGACTTTTCATATTGTACCCTTAATACATAAGGAGTGCATTAAAAGAGATTTAGAAATAAAAAAAATCAATTTTTTAGTATTCTATAAAAGTTAAATAGTCAAAAATACGTCTAATTTTAATTTTTAAATATTTGATAAATATAATATATTGTGATTTACCTGTAGCCATTCAAATCCTGATTTAAATAAATTCAAAAATTATAATAATAAAATGGCTCACTCAACACTACTTATTCTAGGAATGATTTTAGTCACTTTGAATGGATTCAGTGTAGATATCTCAGGAAGCGATTGTTCTTGTGATACTTTCACCACCCAATTGGATTGTAATGCTGCTTCTGCTTGTGAATGGACCAACTCAGAATGTGTTGATGTTGATTGCTCTACTAAAACTACTATAGTTTAATGCAATGTAGCCAATTCAGTTTGTGCATTTACTCCATCTAGTCAATGTGCAACATTTACATCTTGTTCTGACTATAAATATTCAGATGAAGCCACTTGTTTGACCATAGGATGCTTAGCAGATACAAAAGGATCTGATGGATTATATCCATGCAAAGCCATCACTTCACTTAAGAAGTGTTCAGAACACACTACAGAAACTGAGTGCACAACCCACTAATGCTTTTGGAATAGTTAAGCTGCTTGTGTAGCACCAACATGTGCCTAATAGACTACAGCCCTTGATTGTACCGCCATTAGATCTGATGTTGTTACTACATGGTAAATATGTTCATGGACAGCTGGAACAAGTACATGTGCTGATGCTACAGGATTAACTTAATCAAATTGCGCAGTTCTTACAAGAGGATCATATTATTGGAACACTGATTCAAGTGCATGTGAAGTTTGCTAAGGCTCATCAAGTTATGCTTAATTAATTACCTTGGGATTAGCATTGCTTATGCTCATCATTTGAGTTTATTATATCACATCAATAAATTTCATGTTGTATCCAAATAGAAATTTCATTTTTTTACTCTTATTATAATTCTATCTTTCTTCACAGTAATAATATAAATTACTGAAAATACTGAAATTTTCTATATTTATTAGAGAGTGAAGGAGGATTTAATAAAGCAAATACGTAATTTACATTAGAGTATACAATTGAAATGAGAGGTTCTTGGGAAGAGAGACAACTTTTAGAAGGGATTTGAAGAGCAGAATATTATAGTGATTTGATTTAAATAAGGATATTAAAATAATAAATCTTTTATTTAATAAATGAGCGGATTAGAGGATATTCCTGAATTTTATGATGATCCATAACAACCTACAAAATAGGAAATATAGTAAGAGCAAATATTGAGAATCGTAGAAAATATGACAATTACAATGTCTCATAATTCAAAAACTTTGGGCTGAAAGAGGAGCTCTTACGAGCCGTAAAAGAAGCCGGGTTTGAGCATCCTACAAGAGGTAATTAGTATTGTTCTATATTTCCATAGTCCAAGCCGAATCGTTGACAAATGCACTATAAGGAGAACAATTGATTTGCCAAGCAAAAGCAGGAACAGGAAAGACAGCTGTGTTTGTTCTGACTGTATTGAATACGATCAACACTGAAAGCAACAAAGTGGAATGTCTTGTAATCACTCACACAAGAGAGTTGGCCCAATAAGTAAGAGATGTGTAAATATAATAGGCTCGTGATGAATTTTTAAGATTGGGAAAGTTTATGAAAAATATCAAAGTTGAGTGCTTTTATGGAGGAGGAGAACCAGTCACTGTAAATATCTCAACAATTGAAACAGTCAAGCCTTAAATTATAGTTGGGTAAACATTGAATCTAATTTCTAGTACTCCAGGACGTCTTAAGGATTTGATTTGCGAGAGAAAGGCTTTGAAAGTAGACAGATTGAAGTACTTCATATTGGATGAAGCCGATACTATGATAGAAGATTTAAACATGAGGTGCTGATTTTTAAAAAAATTATTTTTAGAAAGGACATCTAGGACATCTTCTTACGTTCACCACAAGAGAAATAATTTATGGCATTTAGTGCAACCTTTACAGAATCAAGCAGAACATCACTCAAAAAGTTCATTGCTGATAACAAACACGTACATTATTCTGGTATTCCAAGATTTATGAAATTACAATCAAACCAGAACAACTCTTTTTAGATAAATTGAAGTAATACTATATGAAAGTACCTGAAACTCTTAAATTCCATTATTTGAGATAAATCTTAAATACATGCAAATTAAATCAATGCATCATTTTTGTTAAGAGCTCAGAAAAGGCCGATGCATTAGTTGCTGAACTCAAAAAGAAGGGAGAGGATTCAGTCAGATAACTCTATGGTGGCAACAGATTGGGACCAGACCATTAAAAATTGAGACAAAAGACCTATGAATAATTCAGAAATGGACATTTCAGATTACTGGTTGCTACCAACCTAATGGGAAGGGGTATTGATATTGATAAGGTCAATTATGTTATCAATTTTGATATGCCTGATTCTTTGGAAACTTATTTACATAGAGTACTCATATTATTTAAATTTTTAGGTTGGAAGAGCTGGCAGATAAGAGACTAATGGAGTTGCAATCTCTTTTGTTAAATTTGAAGAAGAAGCTTCAGACGTTAAAAAGCATACAGATGACGAAGTAATTTGTCTTATTACTATTTGATTAGGTTTTATAATAGATTCTTAAATAATATCCAGACAAATTACAATAGTTACCCTAAGATTTATCAACATTAGACAAGTTTTGAATATCATAATATTACATAAAATAAAAATAACAATATATAATATTATGCAAAAACCCATTTAAACTAAGATAGTCACTTTAGGTGATTATGCTGTGGGCAAAAGTAGTTTGATTCAAAGATTTACTAAAAATGACTTTACTGATACAAGAACTTAGACTGTGGGTGCTGAGTTTTCTCCTAAATAACTTTTAAGAGATGGTAGATTAATAGAATTATAGATTTGGGATACTGCAGGTTAAGAAGTTTATAGGAGCATAGCTAACCTTTATTATAAGGGTATTCCATAATTGCTATAAAATAGATGCACATATTGCTATTATTGTATATGATGTAACAAAACCTAAATCTTTTGAAGTGCTTAAATTTTGGATGGAAAAGTTAATTGAGGAAGGATTGGCAGACATTAGTATTCTTGATTAGATATTGATTTTTAGCCAAATTCATTATAGCAAACAAAATTGATTTAGAATCATAGGTACCAATGGAGGAAGTTAGACAATATGCTAATTCGCTTGATCCGAAAATTGAGGTATTTGAAACTAGTTGCAAGCAGAATATTGGTGTTTTCGTATTATTTCTATTAATTTAGGAATTATTCAATCACATAGCCGATATAGTTAATGAAAAAGAAAAATTATAATAATTAAATAAAAGAGAGGAGAAATCCAATATCAAAATTGGAGGTTCTGAAAATAAGAATGATATTGTAAATTCATGCTGTTGATAATTTTATTTCTTTTATTATTGTTATTATTCAATAAATTTTACTATTAAAATGAAATACTAAAATTTACTTAAAGTATGTAATTCTCATTAAAAATACAAATCATTCATCATAAAGAAGTGATATTTGTATTTTACAAGAAGTAAGAAAGAAAGATGTTTAATTACTTAACAAATTATCAATGTTTAATTTTTTAATTTTAATAAAACTGATTGATTACTACATTTTTGTTTTATATAATTTATAGGGAGTTTTAGCACGAAATTTAGAACTCATTTAACCTTTATAAATAGTATATATTTGAAGACTTTAATAAGTTTCTTTTATGATATTTATATCTCAATTTCATTCAAGGTCCTTATCACCAGCAGCAATTCTTAAGGCGATGTATTCTTTAAGATCTCTCATGTTAGTGTTCAAGATACCAATCAAGTCACTGACAGTCTATCTATCTTTGTCTCTTGCAGCTCTTCTTTATTAATAATCATAAGCAGCCTCTTAGCATTCACCTCTTCTGTCATCTCTTTATTAGGTCTTGGCTTAGATTCTTTAAAGAACATCGTTTTAACTGGCGGTGGTAGCATCGATTCTGTCTTAGAGTGATTAGATTTCAGCAGTCAAATTAGCAATTGATGAATTGTATTTGTTCATGTCTTTATTGAGTAAACTGATATATGCTTAGAATGCTCTGGTTCTGTCATCTTCAGCTTTTCTGGCTAAATCGAATGCTTAACTCAATTAGTTTTAGAGATCATCGATCAATTTGATGACTCTTCCTGTTAAATCTTAGTTGGCGAATTGTTAAGTTCTGTTGGCAAGATTGGCTAACAATTTGATGGCTTTTCCAAAGGTTCTGACGTGTTTCATTGTGCTGGCTTTGTGAGCACCTTGACTCATGTGACTAGCAACTTAGGCCATGATTTATGGAGTAACGTGAACCTTTTCTTCACCCTTTTATAAGAATGATGGAGCTTGGAGGTTGTCTGTAAAGAGTCTTCTTGCTTCAGCTAATACTGATGAAACAAAAGTGTATTCTTATCTTTAAGCTTCAAAGTCATCAGCTTATTCTTATCTTTTGGCTGTAGTCTCATCAATGACCTTTTATAATTCAGCCTTTTAGAGTTCCTTAGCCTTCTTTTATCCGATCTTTTAGTCTCTGATTGGTACGAGGTCATCAAGAACAGCTTGTAATTCTGTATTTCTTTATTCAAGATTGGCAAGTTCTTGGTTCAAGCCAGACAAATCTGCATCACATACTTATTAGAAGGCTTGGTTATTGGCATCATCCTCCTTTTAGTCAGCAATGTATCTATCTTCCAAATCATAAAGGGTTTGGAAAATTCTCTCCAATGGCTCACCTGTTGTCATTTAAATAGCAATTGTGTTCAAAAGGGTTCTACCTAAATCGCTACTTTCGATTCTGTCAAACATGGCTGTATTTGTGGCAAAAGCACAAGCAACTAATACCAGAAGCAATGTGGTTTTCATTAATTTAATTTATGAAGAAATGCAATTTAAAAACGGTATATATTAATAAATTATATTGTTGCATTTTGAATTTAATATCGATTAATAGACTTCAACAAAATGAATCTTCCCATGTATTTGATCCTGCCCCACTAAACATATCTATTTTCCAATATGTAAACAATCCGAAAGAGTCAGCCCACCAAAGAGTCACATACATTGGCAAGAATTGTCTGCTGGCATAATTTCTCAACATTCCTGGGAAGTAATTATTGAGATTTCTGGCATACCTGAATTTGCAATATAAAATCTAATTACCAAATATGAGTAGCTGCCTTTCTGTAATTGCCATCATAAGGACATACGCCATTTTGTTTTGGCCACAAATCTACCATTTCTCTTGTCACTTAAGATAGGGGAGTAACTTGTCAAGATTGCCAAGTATGTAGACCAAGAAACAATTCAAAACCTTAACTGGGAAATATGGTATTTCAGCTACTCTTGTAAGGACGGATAACTATTATTCTAAATCTAATGAGCTTTACCTTATCCTTCATCCAATCGAAAGAGTAAAAAAGAGTTAATGTTTAGAAGAAGTTTCTAGCAAATAGAGGGAAAGAATTTTTAAAGAAATAGTATGGTCCCTCTTCAAATGGAATTCTCCATAAAGCATTGAAAAATGAGGTATATCCTTTTTACAATTCCTTAGGGAAGGTCTTATCAGCATAATAAGCCATTCTAGCAACTTCAAAAGGAATTCCGATTGGAGCAGTAAGAAGAGAAATGAACATTGTGCCTGGCACCTTTCTCAAGAACCCATACTCGAATGTACCCCAAGTTCCTGTATTTAATTTATTAATTTAGTACTTTGCCATCCATGATTGACTGCTCTAAATGCTGCTAATCTCAATGCCCAATCAATGCCACCTGAAGCAAAGGCAAATTACATTCTAGTGCCCATTGATCTTTTGAAATTCTCAAGATTGATTGTTGCTTTGCTGAAATTATACCAATTCTTTTCACAGTATTTGGTTATTCGTACTATCGTAACCTTAAGCTTAAATAGATTGAATACAATAATTTCCAATTCTCGTAAAAATTATGCCATGCCTCACCTACAACACTACCTAGTAATCCTGATATTGCTTCCTCTAGTGTAATTCCATCTCCATGAACTAATTTATATCAACTATCCTTTACTTTTCGGGAGCAGCTGTCCATACACCAGCATTATAACAATCAAAATACAAGGAATGTCTTCTTCTGATGTCGTCCAACTCAAAAAACATGATAAATTAATTATTGAATTGGATATGTTATATATATTTATATTTTGTGTCGGCCATATTTTCAGATGAACACCTTCTTGTGCATCGAATGAGCTACTTGGTATTTCTAATAGCAATTATACACTCTATTCCATTCCAATTCCTCTTTGATTCTCCATCCTAACCATGCAACTATACCTCCAGGAACAGCAGCCCAAAACAGTCTCTATTTAATTGGTAAACCTTTTATTATTGGAAAGAAGAAGAATGAGAATGAATAAACTGCACCTCCAACTTATCCTAATCTCTCAAATCTCGATGCATCTCTAATGCATGCAATATAATTAATACGCCTCTGCATGAAACACTTACTCAGTCAATTTCAAAGGAACATGTCTGTCATATTTCAAGAACTGTTTGACTTCCTCCTTCTCTTTTGCTGTAAATGTTTTCTCGAACAGACCAAAATGTTCTGGTTGATCGTAAATCATAATAATATAATAATTAAAATCTTTCTATATTTATATCAATACATAATTATTCTAAAATTTTAAACATTTCTATGTGCTTTTTATAATAGAAAAAAGATCCATTATCTCAGACTTTTGAACTCCAATCAATTCTATTTCAGAATACATGGTTATATTAACTCAAATGTACAAAATTATAAAACTAAATATTTTTAATCCATAAAAATATTCATTAATTCAATATAATAATAAATAAGTACTCTGTTTTAATCATTTTAAACTCAGAATTTATTTTTCCTTAATTAATAAAAAATAATAGCGTTGGCGACCCATTCAACAGAAGAATATATCAAAAATTCAAATTAATAGCTAAATAATTAATATAAATCATACTTGTTTGTATTGTTTATAATAATTGCAGTTAAGAGCAAAGTAATTTGTAAAGGGTTTTATAGTGTTATCAGCCGTTTGTAATTCAAAAGTAGAGCAGCATTAATTTCTTCGTTATATTTAAATGAAAAGTTAAATAAATTTGATTTTGCTAATTTGCTTTTCAGAATACATATTATTCTGAAATCTAAGAATTTAAACAATAAATCATTGAGATAAAAGTAATTTTACTTTTAAACATTGAGTTTATATTGGACATCTGTTAATAGGGGAACTTCAATCTACGCTTGAAAATGAAAACTTTAAAGCTAGCTAAACAAAAGCAAAATTAGGGTAAATGATAAAAATACATATTATTCTTCAATTGTAAAAAATACTAATGAGAATATTCTAAATATCGGAATCGAAAACCCCAAGATGATAGATGAGGTCAAAAACATCTAAAAATTTTTATTTGCTAATTTATAAAGTATTAGTGTGCAAAAACATCCTGCCTCTAAGTAATTAAGTATGCCCAAATAATATTTATTTCTGATATTTTTATTTACTAGTTTATTCTTAGAATCATTAACTGAATCATTCTAAGAGGTAGAGTTTTATGAACTATTATTATTTTAATTAGGAGATGTTGTATTTGTATTATTTGTTATTATTATGTCTTTTTTAATACACAAATTGCTCTATAAAAAATAGCCATCTTAGCATTACAAACATTATGAAAGGTTATTTGATGAGCATGTTTAACAATAGTTTGTTGTCTCACATTTCTTACAGCTTTCATTAATAATTATGTATCCTTCTGGACAATCATATAAGCACTTCCCAGATATTCTTAAATACCCTTATTAACACTATTAACAATACTCAGAATAACAAACTATGCAGTTTTCAAATTAACATTTAAAATAATTTGATTTAATAAAACTTTGTTAAACCAATTGATTGTTTTCATTGTATTGAGATAGAGTGTAATAATATATGGAACTTATTGTATTAGGGTTAACGATAGATTGTATCATTAAACTTATATTTTAGTTTTTCTAAATTTAGAATTAGAAATTCATTTTTATTTAGTTTTAATTTTAAAGGCATTAAACATTTTCAACACACTGCATTGAATTTATATTAAAATCTGGATCAAAATCTAAAATAATTGTATCGTTTTTATTAAAATTAATGTTCGATATAAATTGCAAGGTGTAAGCAGAATGAATTCCAATAGAATCATTTAAAGGACTTATTCTAAAATCTTTAAACTAATTAATCTAAGTATTTAATGAAGACGAATCTTCAAAGATTAAATATCCCAGCTAATCCTTAACTTAAATTATTGTTTCAGTTAATTATGTTTATTAAACTGAATTTTAATCCTACAGAATTTCAATTGAATCAATTTAATTAATGTCGTACAAGTTTGTTAGAGTAATTTTTGATTTACTGATTTAGCAATCGTGATACTAACAGATGCAATTTTCACAATTGAAATTTGAAGGAAGGGAAATTATAATTGAGTCTGTATCTTTGAGAGGGATTTTGAATTGCATATATATTTTGAATGAATTTTATTTTGTATGTTTAATTACTTCGACAAAATAGTAAGATAGTTGATTAGGCTTTGATATACTTAGGTTTGGAGCATAAGGTAGAACATCAATTATAAATATTTGGTGAAAGGTTTTGATGCTTATGTTATTGATTGGGTTAAGAGATCGATTAGAGATGAAATTGTTGATTTTAATATTGATTGAAGATTTTGGTATCAGCATGGTAGAAGTCTATATTTTAATTGAATTTTCTTAAAGCGAGCAGAAAGCTTATTATTGATTAATTTCACATTTTATTTCATTATTGTCACTTAAAAGGTTATCAAAAAAGTAATTATTAAAATCAAAATAAAAGTAAATTAAATCATTTTCCAATAATCCAGTTTAAGTTTTAAAACTTATATTTATAGAGTTTTATTTTTGATTTGTTAATTCTTCAGATTATGCCATAGATTATAATTCCAAATAACCATGCTATAGATTTATATACAATTTTTCATCATTCAAGACCTATGGGAAATTATCAAACATTATAGTAAAGGTATAACTTTCATTTTCCATATCTATATAAGATGGATTGTAAATTCCATTAAGACAGAAGTAGACTTCTTTATCAAATTAAGTATTTGTGAAAATATTTTTTATTCTAACTTTTTAACCATCTCTTTCTAATTGTGCAATAGAATTAATATTTTGCGAATCTTTAATACTCAATACAGAATCAAAGGATATTTTAGAAAAGAACTAAATCTCTACATATGAATTTGCATAAAAATTCTTTTGAAATTCTATTGTGTAACAATATTGTGTTTATTCTATTAGGTTTTTATTATAATTTTCCATTTTAAAGGATTTGAAGGATAATGGTCTTAATAAAATATTTTAGGGTATTGATTAAGCAATTCCATAATTTTACCATATCAACTTAACTTTTAAGCCACTATATAATTTTTAAATAAGAGGATTCTGAATTTGCACAGACAAACTTATTATTGATTACTTTCCTTCAGTCTTAACGAAATTGGATAATGTTATAGTTTAATCTATGAAATTTGAGATAAAATTGGAATTCATATTATCACTTAATGTAACAATTGGCTAATCAATTAAGAAATCAACTGGAAAAGTAATAATCATGATTGAATCAAAATATAAAAAATCTTAATATTTTACTTAGAGCTAGAGTTAGTTTTAAGAATTAATGTGATTATCACTTTACATTTGAATTACAAAGATATCCTAATTAATTGCATTAATTTGATAGTTTAATATAGAACTCTCAAGTAGGTAATATTTCGATGTTATAAATCTTTGTAACTCAAATTAAATATTTGTAATCTCTTTTACATTTTATGAGTTTATAAAGCCTTGAACTATTATGGTTAATAGGGATTAAGAACTGATTTTGGTTATTTTAAGTTAATTCTAAAGGAAATAGCACATAATCGAATCATCAACAATTCCATCATACTCAACTCTACAATCAGGTGTTTAATAGGAAAAGTAGCCTTGGTTTGGAACAGTTGCATATTCATCTCGGAAAGGAAAAGTAAAAATAATTTAATCTTCTAAATCTAATTAGAATATTGGTTAGTAAGTGATTTTTAAATTGCATAATCTACTTGTAATTTAAGAATCAGTAATCAAATTTAAATCTAATTTATGTATGAGATACTACTTGTATTTGAATATTAATTATAAGGAACTAATTATGTATAAGCCTGCTATTTGGTAGTGCTCTCAAAGAATGCCTTTACAAGAATATTAGCTTTCAAATGAAGAGTCTTTATAGGTCCGATTTCAACCTCCATTTTGTTTGGGCAAGAGTTATATTAATATGAATACATTCCAGGAAAAATAACATTTGTTTAAAGTCCCTAGTAGCCCTATATGAAGTTTAATAAAAATCCATCCCCTTATTCAATAGGAAAATCCTCATCTTGCTCAAGTAAATTTATGCTCATGAAACAGAACCCTGTAATGGGCATGTTTTCAATTAAAATATAGTATTGCTCCAAATCATTTCCTAAGCTTCTTAATTGGAAGGTCATTTACGAGAAAGCAATTGACAACCATAAACTTAAAGCTAATATTTTATTCATTTGTTAAAATAAATATGAAAGCCAAATTGAGACCTTTGAATTGCTAAAATGTTGTCAAATTTTGACAAATTTCACTCTAAATTATTTTATATTATAGTACTAATATAGAATTTAAAATTATTAAATAGTTGAATAGAAATCTACCACCCTAATTAAACTAAGTTTCATGAGAATATAAGAATTACCTAAACAACAATCACTAAATAAGCAAATATATAAGATGGTTTTGGATTTTTATATTACTTACTAAATATATCTAAATGCATTCCTCATTAAATATGATAAAATTTGAACTTTATTATAAATTATATTATCAATCATTTAGTTGGGTTGTGAATGCCGCTCCATTTAGAATCCAATAATCAGGATTCTTCTTGGTAGGGCACTCGATAGCTCTTATGAAATTAGTTGAATGTCCTGTTGTTGATAATACTCCTGCTCGAAGACCTTAAAGTTTAATATGAAAAATTACTTGTTTTATAAAGAGGCATTGAATATTCATTTGGATTAGGTTTGTAGTCTTAAGTTGGTATGAAATGTATTATAGGAGCCTAGAATATAGTTTAGCCTGGTAATTGATCTTCAAGTATTCCTTTGTTCATATCAAATCTACAACCCTCGACGTATAAACCATAAATGTAGGCTCCATTTTCAGGTGTTGATGTAATCTAAATAGATTAAATTAATACCATTTCACTATCTACATAATTAAAGAATTTGAAACTGAATCCAAGAACATCAATAGCAATTTAATTCTTTCTTGCAAATGTCTAGAGAACTGAAGTTAGGAAACCTTATGGGAAAAAGAATGCCGAGATCCAATAGCCCTTTGGATAGCCAAATTCTAAGTTAAACCAATCTCTGAAGAAATTGACTCTTTTTATCATATCGTCATAGAATGAGGCTAAAGGCTTTAAAGAAGGATAAGCTTTGTTAGCCCAAATTTAAGGGACTTAATTATTGAGCAAGGAGCTGTACATTTTATCAAGTTCAGCTGACATTACAACTTCTCCTTTGATAGCTGCTTATAAATTTTTGATCGAATTTCCAATTACTGATAATAATTTATTAAATCTTTGAACTTCTTAATTCAAGCAGACTTTGAGAGAATCAATTTCCGATGAATTGCTTTATGGAGCATTTTATTTTTTCTTTTTTTCCTATTCCTTAATTTAAAATGGAAGTTTCTAGGCGAGAATGTCACAAAGTTCCAACACATTTTCATCTGGAGTTTTTGCCTTTTGATCTGAGTCACTGGTTTGAGCACTCTCTCTTGGTTAAATACTTAAGATTGTAGATAAGGCCATTTTAGATTCAGTTAATTTAAAAGTAATGTTTGCATTTTCATTCATTCCAAAAACTTCAGGTTTTTCAAAATCTGGGAATTTATTTATTAAATTTCTATATCCATCAATATTCATTTCGCCAGGTTATTTATAAATGCCTGAATCTGAAAATGAGTATCCATCATTTAATGCATCTTCACTAAAATTAATAAAATATTATATTACTTAATAAATTTGGTTAAAATTGTAAGTAAACATCTTCTATCCCAATCATCCGTGACTCTTCCACCATATGTGATTTCTCCTATCACATATACTATGGCATCCCAAGGTATATCCTAAGGTAAATCAAGAAAATTTCTAAGTAGCGTGTAGGATGTTTCAAGATCAGAATCATTAAATCTAATTTAAGATAAAATTTTACTCATATCTAATGTTCCAACCCAAAGGTCCGAATTTACGACGTTCTTATACGACAGCATGGAAAAATGCAAGAGAATAGAGTAATTTTTTCCATGGCTCCTTTTTTTCGCAATTTTCAACTTATTCTGAAGATAAATCAGTATAACTCTTAAACATATTGGATTTCAATCCATTTAGGAGGTTCAGTAGTTAATTTAATACTATTCTAAAGAACACTTACAGGGAAGTAATCACATGGCATACTTGTTAACATTAATCTGAATCCAGTGTTAAACGATGATTATAATTCTGGATCCTCAAACCATTCTAATCTTTTCTCAAGAGTTGGCATGAATGATTTACCAAGATGGCAATTTTATAGAATTACCCAATCACCACTCTTGACTCCACTTTCAATTGCCTTTTCAGCAATAATTCCTTATCCTTAACCAAGTGATATTATTCTAAGTTTTTCAGATGATATCTTCTTTTGATTTGCTAATCTCATTAAACTAGACAATGGATCTGCACCTTAACTCAAAATAAATATAAATGGAGTTTTATGATCAGTATCATTAAAGATGTCTTCAATCGATGCCTGATTATTCGAAGTATATTTCTTTCCTAAAATTGCATCCACATAATATGTCATCGCATACAAAGATTCTTCTTCTCTTAACACTTTCACTATCATTAATTTTTGGAAAGGAGTCAATTATTCACTTAATAAACTCCAAGGATTTTCCGACTGTATTAATTGTTCAGTCTCTTTAAAATTAGTTAATGTCTAGTTGTAAATTTGTATGAAATTTTAATGAACTGTTGTTAATTAATACAATTCATTCCAGATTTTAGGACTTAATTTAACAGTATTTGGCATAGCTGGTGGTTAAACTGATAAACTTGCTCCTCTTACAAAAAGATTCCATTCTCCAAAACTGATTTATTTTGCATTCAATTGAATTTTAACAGTCATTAGGAATGAAAAGATTCTTTTATGTTAATTAAATAGACCTCTACAAACATTTGAGTAAATTGTTTCAGTTATACCATCTATTAATGTATTAATTCGTATTTTTATATCATCATTCTTCTCTGAATTTCTAATCACATTCTAATATAGTCTCTTGAAGTAATTCAATGAAAACTAATACATAGGATCCACCAAAGTGAAATCTGCAATGACAAAATAAAGCAAACTACCTCTAGTAGCAACTGGTAAATATTGTTATCTGGCTGCTTCGATTTCAGCTGATTTCTATTCTTGAGTTACTAAACTCTCTTTAACTTAGATAGCATCCTATTTTGAGATCTTTAAGTTTTCAATTAAATCAACATTATCCAAAATCATTCCTTTAGAATTTGCTAATAAATTTAAAATCTTCTCTTCATTCTTTCTTAAGTTCATGTTACCAGTAGATATTCTCTTAATTAAGTCTTTCTTCTCTTCTTCCATCTCTGGTTTTTCAATCTATACAACATCTCCAAGTAATTATTCTTCCAAACCTTACTCTGTGACAGTAAAATTAATGACTGTTACTCTAATAAATATCTCTGGTAAAAATTAAGGATTTGCTAATTTTGTACTAAAGAATAATTTGAAATTTGGATCAAATTCAACTTCTCTATCCCCTATCTTTATCATTTTTCTTCTATTTATTACATTAAATTATTTCAACAATAATGGTTCTAAAAAGGTAATCCAATTATTCCAAACATCTTCTAAGAGCAGAGGAATTCCTGTTTATACTGCCATTTCTATATGTTTAATAAGTCCCTCTTATGTAATCTTTAAGACTTTCAAATTATGATCCCTATAACTATTTTTGATCCAAGTATTTGCTTAGAGTTGTGGATCAATAAACATAGGATAAGATCTACTATATTTTTGAATAATGCCGTTTGACTTAGAAACTGTATCATTGGGCAATCCATTTGCTGCCCATTATTAAATTTCAAGAGCATCTCCTAGGACTGATTCAAAATTGTATTTCTCACTCAAGGGAATAGTTAACTCTGTAGCCTTTTCCATCCAATTTTGAATTAATTGATTTCTAAAGGTTCCAGTAAAGGGTCCCATGTAAGCTACTGTTGAGCCTCCCAAAAATACATTACCCAAGAGTAATTATATTTCCTCAGCAAGACTTTCAACTTTAATTTTCCATCTTTCTTATTCATCTGCCAAACCAACTGTAAGTTCTTCAGCTCTAATCAATCTTTACTCTGTAGTTTAAATATCCTAATCAAGACGATCTTTTTCTTATTTATTTTAATTGAATTGTATTTCTAATTCAGTAACCTTTCTAACCACTTAAGCCAGTTCAGATTGCTTCTACAATAATACTTTATTGGCTTTGTCTAATTATTAATTCATGGCTTCGACTTGACTCTTCTTTTTCTCAACATCATTATTAACATCAGTAAACTCACTCACAGCCCTAACCCACTCACAAATAGACTTTGCAGCCACACTCACTTTTTAAACTAAATTTGGAATAAATTCTGGATTACTAGCTATTTTGGCTTTGATCTTATTTTAAGTTGTTTGCTTGATTTTACCTACGTCCAGCCCTTTCATTTTTGATAAGAAATTAGGATCAGCCAGTAATTTTTTGATTGAATCCCAATCCAATTTTTCTTCAAATAAAATAGAAACACATTCTAAAGTAAAACGTACAATTGGTTACGGGTTATTATTACTTTTGATTTCAGAAATGTCATTTCTATTAAGAGTATTAAGAGCTTCTGTGGCAGCATTCAGAGTCGGAATAGCTTCATTCAGTATTTTATCAGCTTCAGCTTTAGTTTCCTTAATTCGAGATGCTTATTCATTAACTTATCTTTCCTCTTCTGAGACCAACTATTTAACTCTATTTGCCTCAGTAGAATCAATTTATAACTTTTAGAGTAGCTATTCTTAATCTATAGTTTTTTATTTTAAAATTGGTTGCATTTCAGTTAATTTGACCTTTAAGTCACTAATGATACTGTTTGCTTCATGTAGTTTGTGTAATCCCGAAGATAATTTCATCTTGTTTGATTATAACTCTTCTTTTTTCATCATCAATAATGCCTTATAAGATTCTATTAGATCAAGATAGGATTTGGGTGTAACATACACATTTCTTTTGAGAGCAGCCATAAAATTCATCGCATTTACGTTCAACACTCTAGTGAACATGAACACACATTTGATAAAGATTTTATCTCATATCTTTTGTTAGACCATCAAATTCTAAAGACTCCAAAAACATTTCAGCTACACTCATCAATGCCTCTTATGGCCATTTGTGTAGCCACTCTATTGTACAGCAATTAACTAAACTTGGGAACATTCTCAATCTAACTCTTAATTATCCTCCTATTGGTGATAATCCTAAAACTACATGTAGATTAGATCTAATCTTTTAAACAAAGTATGGGTATATATCATTAATTTTTAATTCTCTTGCTTCTGCTTATAATCCTTGATTAATAATCTCCAAATCATCTTTTGTCAACATATTAGGTACTTCACCTGAGTTAAGTAGATTGTTAACATCTTCTAGAAAACCTTCTTGTAATATTTAAGTATCTGAAAATGAGAATGCTACTAATCTATTTTCAATTCCTACTGCACACATCATTCTAAATAAATCCTCTTTAAATTCTTTCTTACCATAATTTTTCTTACTCTCAATAGTATCTATTTTGCATCCAGCCAATACAGCTCCCAATTGTGTCAATGATTTCTTACCAGAACCTCCAACTCCAACCAACATATAATGTCCTCTTTGTTATCTTAAGACTCTGCTGATTCTAGTCAAATGTTCAATAGCATCTTTGAACAACACTAAATTCATCTTTGTATATTCCATCATGTATTCATTAATAACTTTTATAAGTTGGTTGTAATCCCTCACTTCCTCATATATACGATCAGATAATTCAGCTCTTTTCTAAAAATCTGCAAAAATGAGAGGTGGTTATGAATCAAACAATTCATTGACTTTATATTCAATCTTAAAGAACAAGAATATATTTTTAACTAAGTTCTCTTTAAACCAATCCTAATCTTACGAATTGATTAATCTATCCATCAAAACTCGACATGTCTCATGAGCCCACAACCTAACCATTTATTCAGATTTCTAATAAATCATAGGTTTAGCTTGTAAAATGCCTTAGAAAATCTTACTAACATCTCTGAGATTGAAGACATAATGAGATTTCTCTGGAGTAGGCAATAAGGCTTTTTAGATTTCAGAGTACATTTGAAGAGTTGCATTAACTATAGAATAGTTTTCACTAAGATCCACAATTTCGCTCTTGAAATGATTATTTTTTAAGAAAGCCTTCAAAATAGTACTAAAAATCCAAGATAATGTTTCATCACTGGAATTAGGAACACTTAACAAAGCAAAATGACGAGTAAATCTAACTGTTATAGGAGACCTTCCTCCACCTGGGGGACCACAAGCGCATATTAGAATTGTATTATCCACATCCTTCCAATTAAAGCTTTTTCTATCATAAACACCTCGATAATCAATAAATTATCTTAATAATTCAATAGGTGGTTATGCACCATATTATTCTAAGGATGGCATGTTAACATCATCTACAAAGACTACAAACTTCTTTCCAGGAGGAGGCATCAAAATAGTTCTTCCTTTCTTACGTTGAGTCTATAGTTTTTATTCTAAACTTAATTAGGTTGTAAAACTGGCTGTTTTAGCTGAGAATGTAATTTACATTAAAGCTATAAGACCATCATCTCTTAATTTTTCAACAGTTGAATTAACCATAATTGTTTTACCAGTTCCTGTAACTCCAGTAATAAACATAGGACAATTTGTATTGACTGCTTATTCCAAAAACCATCCATGAGCCACAGTTTCTTTCGTCTAAACAACCATGTCAAAATAACTCATTCCTTTTATATATTCGAATTACGGAATGATATCATTCCATTGTGTATAGTTGATATCTACTAATCCATCTGTTTTAGTTATTTTAACTAAGCAAGCAAACAGAGATCCTCTAGGCAGAACTTCAACTGGAAAAGTGTCAGCTACAATTCTCTCAAATTTTGGATAATCATCTGAAATAAGAGTTGCACCCACAGCCCAAGCAAATACCCAAACATAAATTTTTTTCAATGTGTTTTTTTGATATTTCATCTCTTAAATTGCAATTAAATTATTAATTATAGTATTAGATAACCATCCTCAATATTTTAATCAATCCAACAGCCATTTAAGTTTCTTGTACTGGTATTAATTACTTGCATGTTTTAGTAATTTAATTGATTGATTTATTGAATGACACTTTTATTTAAATCAACAAATGATCTATAATGTCTCTACTCAAAATGTCAAGAAGAGTCATTGCTTCTGTGATTACTATAGGTTCATAACCTAATACTTTATCATCTAAATAGACCATTCCACATCTACTAACTGTTGCAGGTGATGCCACTGCCAAATCTAAAACTTCAAAGATCATTCTCATTTAAGTCTTCAATTTAATACGCTCACCATTGCTTAAACATAGAGTCATTGAATCATCCAACACTGTGTTCATATTTTCAATCCACAAGGCATCCACTGGCCCATCAAATACAACCCATTTCTTTTCCAATGTTTCTGATGATGCATATCCTCTCATTATATTAGATGCCAAACCATCAGTCCATTATTAAGTCATCATATCAAATTAACCATATAATTCCTCCATTGATATGGCTTTTGGATTCAATATCTAATGTTCAACATTCTAGTATATTGCATGATTCTTTATTCCTTTCTAAGAATATTACTCAAATAGCTTAATATAAGATTCTCTAAGTACATTTTATACTTAAGATTTGCCACCCATTGTGACTCCTACCAACATTACTCCAAATCTTACTTTCAATGTTTCATGAAATTAAATTATCTTTTCAATGAAAGTGTCTTATTCTTATAATTTATTAAGTTCTATAACATTCTTTATTGCAGTTTCTAATTCTTTGTTCTGTACTGTAGGGATTTACATACCTGGAAATAGATCACTCACTATAGCATTAAACAAAGGTATATCATGAGATAAGAATTTTGGCAAATTACTTTCCCTCATAGCTCTAATCAATACGATGTCTTCGTTGATGTTTGGTTCTGCTCTTTTTAATGATCCTGCCATGACTAAAACAGATTTGACTGCTCTCATACCAAAATCATAGTGATCTTATTAACTCAACTGCTCTGAACTTAATTGATACAATTTAACCATCTTTCTTGATAAATCTTTGGCATTTGAAAATCCTTCAGCGAATAACATAATTTCAGCAATCAATCTATAATCTGGAACCATCATAGCTACTGGTCTAAAAAGCACTTTCAGATTATCAGGCAATTCTGTTCTGCCAGCATAACCAGGATTCATTGTAATAAATATTCCCAAATCAGGATTCAATTGTACATTTTTACCAAAGAAATAGAAATTCATTTTATATTCTAATAGTGCTTCTCTTATAGTTTAAACTTATTGTGCTATGACTGATAACACTTCAATATAGATTCTATTAAACTCATCTAAACAAACCCAGGCTCCACAATATGCCAATCCTGCAAATAACTTTTCCATCATTTTAGCAGTAATTTGATCAGAACAATTAAATACTATACAATATCTTCCCAAAGCTTTGGCTAAATCTTTGCATGATTCAGTTTTTCCAGTACCAGCTGGCCCTTATGGTGCTGCTCCCAATTTGATTCCCAAAGCTCCTGTAACTAGTCATCCAACATCTATCAGTTAATGGAGTAATAACTAATCTTGTGGTTGATCCCAAAAACTCATAACCATACATCAATTTAGCATTCACTTATTTAGCATGCACACTTTCCTCATCATGATAAAATCTCAATTATTATTACCATTTGAAATCCATGATACCTTCCACAGATTCATTTCTCATGTTATCCACAATATCTCTGAAGTGGACATCCTAAGTGACCAAAGCCACAAGAGTTCTTCTTTATAATTCAGTAAGATTTCCTCTGATTAACAATGTCAATTCATCAAGCATTGCTACATTAGCATCATACCAATCATCCAAATCTCCTTCAGCATCTGCTTATAAATAATTCTCTTCTGTTATTTTAGTCCAAAATATAGAATCAATAGTAATAATGATTTAAAGTGGAAATTCAAATACCCAATCCTTTCTCTGTGTATCCTCTAATTAATATTTAATTAAAGACTATCTCATGACACCACTAAGAGAAGATTTCATTTTATCTTCCAAAGCTTTTAACCAATCTTCCACTTCCCCTCTTGCTGAATATCCTTTGAGTACTGCAATTTCACCTTCAGCAGATATCATTCCAATAGCATTTTCTTAGGAATCGAATTGAATTTTGACTAAATTTTCAAAACACTTTCTTAAATATGGTTAGATGGCCTAGATATTTTTTGCATTTGACAATATTTCTAAAAGTTCATCATTTGATAAAAAGTAAAATCTCTAAAACACATCTCTTTTCTTCTCTAAGAATTCATCCAAAGCCTTTTAGATAAGATCAAAATTATTATTATTTTATCTCAGTTGATTAAAATATAATCTATTTTAATAATCATCTGCCCATCTCCTGGCAATACTACTATCCCTAGCATTTCTCATTAATTTTTTCCATTGAGTGTCAGCTTATTAGAATATCTTGGATTCCTTAGCCAAATTCTTAGCACTGTATGGAGAATTCAAAATAGGTTCCAAATATAACCAATTTCTTTGATGTAACATCCACTCATCAAATAACTCTTGGAAATATCTTAATAATGATTATTGTCTCTCTACTTCAGGTCTAATTCCTTCTACAAATCTTGAGGCCAAAATATTATTGACAGTCAATAATGTATCATCAATTTTTGAAATCAAATCTTCATTATTTCCGAGAATAAAAACATCCTTCGATTCTCTATAGGGTTACACAGTAATAACAGCTGATTTCCATATCGATTCAACCTATTCTAACATTTTAACTAATTCTATTTCCTTTGCCGCCCTTAATGCTATTTCACTTAACTTGTCTTTTACCTAATCTAACCCAGCCTGAGTAATCCATAAAACGTTGTATTTAGGATCATTTATTGGTGTAAATGGTTCTAGAATAGGCTCCTTGAACAACTATTAACTTTCAAGTATCATTGCTCTTATCTGATTCCATTACTTCTCTGATATAGCAGGATCTTTAAGTGCTTATAGAACCTAATAGACACCTCTGAATCCTTCAATGTCTGACTTAAATACTCTAGCTACTTCATTCTTATCTAATTCTTTGGCACATAAGTTAGCTGCCTTCTATAATTTTTCCATTAGATTGTTCATATCATCCAAATTGATATCAGTGTAATGTTATTTTAACCAGTTTGAATAATTTGAGATCCATTCATTTCTACCACACCAAAGTCTCTCTAATAAAGTGAATTCACTATTGAATGTTTCTAATTTCTCAAATGGTGTATATTCCATATTTAATGCTATCTGATAATCATTCAATTTTTTTGCATGAACTTTTAATTCATCCACTTGTTTTCTGACTCCTTAAACAAATGTAACCATGTCACTTAAATCTGCTGCTAAAGAACTCAATGGCTATTCTGAGATTCTTTCGTTTAAATCTTTAACTGTACTATCTACTTATGGGATCATTCTCTCCATATCTTTTCTAAATTTATTTAAGTTTTAATCATAATTGGCCATAGCATCATCCACTTTTTTACGAAGTTGACTAACTTATTGATTACATTCTGCAAATTTTTATTTGTGTTTATCTTAAATTTTAATACGCAATTCATCCATAAGCAATGCCATAGCTGTTACTTCTTGTGACACATTGCTTAAATCTTCAAATTAATTATTGATGACATTCACTGCCTCCATATAATTGACAAATTATTCCACTGTTATCGGAGAGATTGCTATGGTTGAATACAACTAAGTTGTTTTTTGTGTAAAGAGTACTGCTTTTTTGTAAATATATTCAGGGATAAATTTCTACAACTCCTAAATGCAATTCATAGCACTGGATTTGATCTTGGCTTTCAATTTTTGATTATCAAACAATATCATGCCTATCTCTTGTGTAGGTTCTATATCTTAAAATTGTTGATCTTAATCCTTATATTAATTAATGGCATTTCTATATTCTTCAACTTCCTTATCAGCATACTATTTTTCAATATTGACTCCTGTGTTCTCAACATACCATTTCATGAATGGTTTCAATTTTTCAGCATATTATTCTAAATAATCAAATGCAATTTCTAATTCCTTCCTCATTTGTCCACATAAAATTTGGAAATTCTCGCTTCCATTTATAATTGCCTTGACATCCACCTTTTCTGATTGTTGATTGCTTTCATCTTGAATATACTATTATAATTCTGGCATAGATAACATTTCTCTATGTCTGGTAGTGATACGAATAACACTATTGGTAACGACACTTTCAAATATTCTGAATAACTATTCCCTAACAGGATTAAAAACGATATCTTCCTATTTCCCTACTGCCTCAATAATGATCCAACATTAGGGTTAACCTTTGCCATAATATCCTTTCCTTTTCACACCTGAATTTTCCTTATATTACTCATTGAATTCACGAATCTATTTAACAATGTGTTCCACTGAATTCTGCATCATCTATAATTTAGCATCTATGATAATGTAATCAACATATTTGACAAATTTTCTTAATCTTTTATAGTGAGTTCTTATTGTAGCTTCAGTTGTGTAAGGCATGTCTTTTCCTGATTCGTCTCCCACTAATAATGGGGCTCTCTCTTCATTGTCGTCTTCATGAAGTGGAATACGATGAATTTCCTTAAAATTGACTAACGATTTCTAACAGCATTCTACTATTATTTATTTAATCTATTGTTCATATGCATCAAATTTGATATCCATGATTGACATTAAGTGTTTATCTTACAATTATTTAAAATTCTCATGGGTCTAAGGAACTGTAGTTGAAGTATCTAAGAATCTTATGTCTTAAGCCATTTATTGACATATCCTGCGAACTTCTAATAATGTGATTCTTAATTGTTTGTCAGTTGAAAACATGTTAGAAATCATCAAGTCCTGATTTTTGGCAAGAATGTTCTTCCTCATTAATCTCTTCCACAAGAAGAAGTTCTTCCATAATTTATATTTTCTAAAAAAATCTATTTTCTAAAGATCTTAATATAATTTAGCTTCTCTTTGCCACTCTTCAATTGTTAAAAATGTTGCATCATCATTTTGGAAATAAGTGATACCTTTTGCACTAATGGTCATGTATTCTTTTTGATTTCTGTCTTCAAATTCAACTATTTAATAATCATAGGCATGATCTCTTTTATTTAAATAACAGAACTCATCAGCCATTTCTGGATCAGTTCTTATCAAATAAATAAAGTCCATTGGAGACAGGTAAGATTGTTATTGTTGTTTCTTCTTTGGTTTTCTGAGTGCTTTCTTGATCATCTAAGCTTCCTTCTTTTTTTCAGGTTGTTACAGCAATCCAATGATCGAATCATTAATGGTAGAATTCGGGTTTTGCACATCCTCTAAAATACTCATTCCATGATCACTTAATAATCTATGACCTAGAGGTGACAAATTCTTTGGTTTCTTGAGCTAATCTTGTATTAAAATGTCGCTTTTTAAGTCTTTAGTTATTAAATCATCATTTACTTTTTGTAGATTGGTGTCCTGAACGATCAAGCAAAATTCTACCATTTTGAATGGTTACGCCTAGAGCAGAGTGAGTTTAGGTTGTAGGCTCTAATCTTTATTTAGAAACTTTAGGCACCAATTAAGGCAAGGATATAACTGAGAGCTGTTGAGTGTATTTTCGTTCATTAGGATCATAGCGATTACTATTTTTATAAAGCCGTCCCTTGAGCTACCCTTGTGAGAGTTGTTCAAAATTGAAACGTTTATTATTGTCACTATCCATAATAAATAATTAATATATGGACACCGATTTATAAATATTTATATATGTTAATATTAATCGAGACTCCAGCTGGATTCGCCCTATTCTAAGTTGCTAATACCAAGGCGCTTAATAAAATAGACAATATCTATGATTACTTACAGAATGAAAAGCAAGCTAAAAAATTGTAAGCTAATCTATTGATACATTCACAAGGGTCACTCCTTTTGCTTTCTAATAATTCAAAGACACCTAAGAAGCTCTAGTGGCTACCAGTAAGTTGATCAACGGAAAAATTCCAAAGAAACTAAGTAAATTTTTGGAAAAGAATGTTATCTCTTAAGAAGTTTAGGATCAAATAGCAGGTACAGTGAATTTATTAAACAACAGTCCAAGACAAAAAACTTGCCAAATAGCTCCAAGAACAACTAGGATTAAATTGCATCTAAACTCCTGTGACTGAACAATTATTCAGAGGAATTAGATCCCAACTCACAAACCTAATTGAAGGACTTAGCGAGTCAGAACTTAAAAATATGACTTTGGGATTAGCACATGGGCTATCCAGATATAAACTCAAGTTCTCAACTGAAAAAGTCGATACAATGATTATTCAAGCTATTGCTTTGCTTGATGATTTAGATAAGGAGATTAATAACTACATGATGAGATTAAGAGAATGGTTTGGATGGCATTTTCCAGAACTTGGCAAAATCATAACAGACAATTTAATATATGCTAAAGTAGTCAAAGCCATTGGAATGAGAATAAAGACCAGTTCTACAGATCTCTCTGGTATTTTGCCTGAGAATCTCGAAGCAGATGTCAAATAAGCAGCAGAAGTATCATTTGGTACAGAAATTACAAAAGAGGATGAAAAATTCATTCTTTGTCTTGCAGATTAAGTCATTGAACTAACTGATTATAGATCCTAATTATCTGAATATCTAAAAAATAGAATGTAAGCAATCGCTCCTAATCTCACTACAATGGTAGGTGAATTAGTTGGTGCTAGATTGATTTCACATGCAGGCTCACTTGTAAACCTAGCTAAATACCCAGCATCTACAATTCAAATTTTAGGAGCTGAAAAAGCATTATTTAAAGCTATTAGAACTAAGCATAACACACCTAAATATGGTTTGATCTTTTAAGCTAGTTTAGTTGGAAGTGCTCCTGCTAAATTGAAAGGAAAAGTCTCTAGAACATTAGCTGCCAAAACAGCTTTATGCATTAGATACGATGCTTTAGGTATTATATAAAATGAACAATTATCATAGGAGAGGGATAAGATGCTGAATTCGGAGTTACCAATAAATCATTTTTGGAGAAAAGAGTTCATTAATTGGAAGAGGGAGTTAATTATAGAGATGTGAAGGCTCCTTAAAGAGGAAAGGCTAAACCCGTTTAATCTCAAACATAATATTAAGAAGAGGCCGATTTCTAACCATAAGGAGCTACTTGGATGCAAAAATTCTAAAAGGGAGAAGACAAAAGACAAGCTTCTCAAGACATTGTATAAAGAACACAACAAAAAAAGGTGAAATAATAATGAAAGTACATTTTAATCAACGAACTTCATCATTTAAGACATCTGAATCTTCATGGTAGTAAATGTTACTCTAAGCAATTCTACTTTAACTTTCTTCCATTATTTATTATAATACAGGATTGGGATTTGAATTTCCTCTGTATTATAGTTATTACTCTAAGACTCTCGGATCAACTATACTTAGCAAATATCTAATTTTGTCTTCAGCTATTTTCAAATCTTGTTCATATTTTTATTTAATTGCTCTCTTCTCATTCTCAATTTAAATCAATCTCTAATTCTCACTATGCTAAGAATTGATTCGTGATTTATTATAAACATCCCTCTTTAAATTTGCTATTTCAATCAATAAAGTGTTAATCTAGCCCTCATAATTAGCTTTCATATTAGCCTTTTTTTATACATCCTCTTATAATTCCAAACATCTTTAATGCAACATAGTCATTTCTATGTTTTATTTATGCACATCATCTTATAATTATTTATATGATCTTTCTAATAAACTCTAAGAAGTTGCTGGAATTAATTAACCATTTTGTATCTATTAAGTTAATTAATCCAACGTATTTGTCCTCTCGTAGAGTTATCTTTCTAATTATTGTAATCTAATCTACTAATCTTTGCAACTTGATATTCTTATCAATCAGCATTGAATTCATTTTCTCTGTTTCTATATTATGTCTTTATAATTTCAATTTATCTATTTCATTTTATTTAGCCTCCAATAAATTGTTAAGGGTAGCCACTTAATTCTCCATTTACACAATTGATGTAGCCACAGTCTCTTTGATTTACCTTTGTAAATTCACCCTTTCTATTTAAATTTGTTATGCATATTTTTCCTCCGATATCCTAATTGTATTTTCATTGATTAATCGTTATGTATCTATTTGAGCCTATAGTGCTTCAATTTCTTCCAATTTTTAATTAAATATGTTCATATAATTTACTCTAATTGTTTCAATGTCATTTTCTAAAATCTCACTCTTTTATCTATATTGATCTGCCTCTCTAAATCGTTCCTTTAATTCTTCCAATTCTTTATTCTTTTCATTTAAGAAATGAAGTGCTTCTAATTTTTCAGATTTTATCTGTTTAATAAAACTATCTAAATGAAAGCATTTCTATCTTTCCTCCTATAATTCTTGTATCTTAGTCATCACTTACTATCTACTACTTTCACAATCCTATGCTTTTTGCATTAATAGCTAATTCAGTTTTTCTATTTCTCCTACCAATTATTCCATTCTTTCCTCATATCCTTTTATTGTGATAAATTAGACTCTATTGTACTTACTTCTTAAATCTTCAACTTCAATTGCTTTTGATTTCAAATTTTCTGCTAGGTCTTCGAATTGTTGCTTTTAGGATCCAATATGAGCTTAATGTTCTTTAATCTTCTATTCTAATCCTAAACTCTTGAGTCTCCATTCTTCGCATTCGATGCTCTTCTATTGTAAGGTTTAAGAGCATCTCTCCAATTCGCTAGTCAGCATTTCAATTCTATATTCAACTTCAACTTAATCTGATTATTGCATGTGCTCTGTTAAATTAAATTTTAAATATAAATCAAAATTGTATTTACAAAATATATCACCCCTATAAGGGAGGCAGTTGGATACTTTATGTCAACATTTTTCTTACTTCTTTCAAGGCTAAACGAACATCTTCTGCTTTTTTCATAACAATAGACTTCAAAATTGGACCTAATTCAGCTAAAGCAGTATCGTTTTAATCACTGTACCATGTCTTTATAAATATCCCATTTTCTGGTTAATTTTAAAAATTGTCAGGAACATTATCTACAATTATACACTTTGAAAGATCTCTTCCCAATCTGGAAAGATCTTTTATAAATTAATTAGAATATTATAAAGCATGTTACCTAAATAGTCGATATGATATGTTTTTGTTTTTATCAACCTGATCTAAAACCCAATTAGCATAATCAGGTAATCCAGCTGTAAATACTACTAACTCATAAAACTAACTCATCTCCTATAAGAATTGATGAGTAAAAGGACGAATCAGGAAGTGTCCTGTCTAATCAGTAAAATGTATCAAAGTTTCGTCCATATCTAAAACAAGAGTATAAGTTTTCGGATTTGTGTACGGAAGGTAAGGCTGGGGAGCTACACATATCAATGGTATTCCTAGTAAGCCCTAGTAACTCTGTTGGATTGTAAAATAAAATGAAATGAATTCCTACAAATTTCTTAAGGATTCCTTTATTGTATAATTTTATAGACTCCTTAGGAAGATGATTAAAAATTAGTATAAGTCCCTTCTAACTTTTTTGTAAGGGATTTATAAAGATTTTGTAATAATTCTATGTTCTACTTAATGTAAGTCCAATAATCTTGCTTTTTGGTGACAATGGTTTTCTTGTTAATGTTAAATTACAATTAGGAATACAACTATAAATATAGAGGATATTCTGGTTTTCTCTTTGAGTTTCTCTAATAAAATATCAGAGAGGTGACTTAAATTTTAAATATTGTAGAGCAATATATTCTTGATATTACTCATACTACTTAAATAGAAATGGAGATCAAAAAAACAATTAACTAAAACAACAATCTACAATATTAATAGAATTACTCCGACGCGTAAGATTAGAAATATTTATCTGACTTGCTTGGCATGTTCTTGTAGTAACTCTTCCAGATATTGAAATCCAGTATCTTCAGTCAATTCCATGTATTAGTTGATTTAATTTATTAGTTCTAGAGTAGTATTCTTACTTTATTAGTTTCAAACTCTTACTTTTTTCATTGAATTTAAGAGGTAGTTCATGATTTCATAAATTTTAATGAATATTCTAAGATTTTCTGCTAATGTTTCTTCGGCATGATGCATAGGTTCTAAGGTGGCGAAAGCTTAAGTTTAACCATATATTACATTCAGATCTGGCATTAAAATCTTGTCCTTCTTTTCTGTTTTTTCTTGGAGGAGTGGATGCTCTTTGTTCATTTTCAGCTTAACTTGTTTCTGATATTAGTTACAAATTTGGTTTTTGAGGGGAACCCTTTTATAACCTGTTATCCTTTAATTCCATTTTTTTGAAACTTAAATCTGCTTCTAAAGCCTCCTCCAACCTGCTATCATTTAATCTTGGATTTTTTATAAGTCGATTAAAGTCTAATGATTTTTTTGAACTTCTTATGACAGAAGAAGGTTTAGCTTGTTTCTATTCAATGATGGGAAATTATGATTCCCTTGGATCTTTGGCCTAAGAGATTGATTTTATAATCTACTTGTGAGATGGCTCGAGCTGGTCTTGTTTTTATCGTGGTTTAGTTTTTTCTCATAATTATAATAATTTGAAAAATATCAAAGTGACGATGATCTTTTCATGTTTGTTAAATTTTTGAATTCTACATTATTGAGTCTTTCCTCTATCTTGCACTTATTGTAAAGAGTGTAGGCGATTTCCCTCAAATTTTGAGACACATTTGATTTTCTATGTTTAGCAGACAAAGGAAGACTCATCATAGTTTAAAGGGTACATTTATTATCTCTTGCACTTTCATGGATTTAATCATTGGCTTCAAAGTATTCTTTATATGCGATGTACTATAAATGAATTTTCTACCATTTTTATTCGTATTTGATTTGAGAATTAATTAAGATTTCATTGACATTTTCTAAGTCTATTATTTTTCTCTCCAATTCACTCACTTGATCTTCCAAAGTTTTGGAGAGCAGAATTTCATTTTGTAATTTCTATCTACATTAAGCAAGTACTTTTTGCAATGCCTTATTTTAGTCGCTTAGCTGGTTTAACTAGACACACAATTTATTTGGACTGGCAAACATATTTAAAGGATTGCCAGCTGATGGAGTTTAAGCCTTTTGCTAATTGTCTTTGACTGACTATGAGAGCTTAAATGCTTTCAATTCTATTTCTTCCTTTTCCTCAATCTCCTCTTGTTTTTGGATATTTAACTATTGCAACTTTTAGGCCTTAGCCAAATCAAGTTTTGGTACAGGGATATTTGAATTTTTTTGAAATTGAATATTCACTTTAGCTGGTAATATTTCAACATAACTAGAATCATCAACTTTAGCACCTGAAACTTATTTATGTTCTTTCAAATTATGATTTCTTGGACTTTCATCATGACTTCTATTTGGTGATAATATAGGAGGAGTATAATCTTGTTTGCTTAATGCTTATTTTTAGAGAACATCAATTAGAATTTAAATCTTATTCTTCTCTTCTCTCAATTATTTATTCTCCTTAATCATTTAACCTATCAACATTCTCATCTACTCTATTTGATTCAATACTGCAAAGACATCTTCAGTAGGGGAGACCATCTTAATTACTAATATTTATAATTGAATACTATCTTTTATTTGATTTTCTTTTTGCTCTACAACTCAAACAATTTCTCAGTCAACGAAATTATTTGTTAATCTTTCTCATTCAATTTTCTTTATAAATCCAATAATTGATTCTGCCTCTCCAATTAAAGTTCCATATTGCGATGATTTGAATCTTCACATATTTGTTCAAAGATTAACGCCTTTACTAGTCTACAATAAGTACTTAGCTTCTTGCTTCATCTCTTTGTTTTGCAATTACTTCATTAAGAGCATATAATTAATTATTCTCATCATACAATTGCGAAAACAATGATTAGAAACCTCTTTCTGAATTATGTTCTCCCTTTTTAATCGAATTATCCTCTTTTCTACTGTTACTAGTACTTGGTTGCTTATAATAGAGTTTCATAAGTACAGAACTAAATGAGCATTCCTTTTGAATTTTTATGACTTCCTTGTTAAGTTAGAGTAACTATCGAAGTTCTTTGTTCTCTTCCTGAAGTTATCTCACTTCTTGTTAAAGGAAATGCAATTTAGTTTCAAGTCCATCTTTATTCATAATATTAATAAAATAATCAATGCTCTCGCTGCTTTAGTTGTATGTAATCATTAAGAATCTTCTTCAGCCATCTCCAGCATTATCTTAATTCAGGTTTAGAGCTTGGGAAGTGATTTATTGGATGACATTGAATTACTAGATCAACTATTGAATTAACGAATTTTGGTATTGAAGGATCTTTGATGCAGCTTTCTAACCGTGTTATTTCTTGTTTTAGACTCTGGTTTTCTTTGATCAGCAAACTACTTTCAATCAATTAATTTTGAAATTAAACCTCCTTCTCTTTCATTTTTTATTCAAATTCTTTTAATCTCTCTGCTAAATTCTCATATTGAAATTGCTTCTATTCAGGCAAACGATTCATCAACTATTTCTAATGAGCTCTCATCTCACTGATTATCTTCTCTTTGAACTCTAATTATTTTGTCAACTAATCAACTTTCTTTCTCAGCTCATGCACTTCATCTCCACTAAATCTTTCAGCAATCGGACTTACTTGCTGTTACTTTAAATATTGTGAATAGAATAGCTAAGTCGAGGAATTATGGGAGATCTAACTCGTTTAACGATTCATTAATTTTTAAGAATTTTAATATTGCACTATAATAACCTATAGCAATCCTCCATGTTCTCCAATCCATAGTATTTTCAACTCAATAAAATATGGTGTCATTCTTCCTGTTTCTATTTCACCTTTTTCTAGTAATCTTACTTACCCATATCAATTAGTCAAAGCAATAAATATATTTTGTCAGATTCTTTAAAATTGAAATAAGTATAAATTTATTTATCTAATATCAGTAAATATTTTATTTGAAACTTCTCTTCTCTCTTTAATCTATTATTATGTATAATTCTATAAGTGAAATTTCATTTATTTTGTTTTTCATTTAGAATTTGGAATTGTTCGATTTTTTTCTATTTTGAAAACGACTCATTTTAATTTTCGTATTAGCATTACTATCTAAATCATAAATCATCACAACATTCATTGAAATAAGAGTAAATGTCCTAATTAAGTGCATGCAAATTAGTATAACTGAAATATATAATTATATTATGTAATAAAATAATCAATCCTATCTTGTGAAAAAGAATCACTATCTGATTGAAAAATCATATACTTAGAGAGTCAATAATGAATTAAGACTTTCCAAATCTAATCCATAAATAAATTGCACTAATCGAACTCACACTTTGTTGAATATCAATACTTAAAATGAAGAAGATGATCTGAGTGTTATCCTAAAATCGTCAAATCAAAATAAATTATAAGGTAACAGATTTATCTAATGAAAAAGCATATAAATATAAAAGTAAAAATCCCTATTTAGTGAAATTAGAAAAAATTTAAGATCTTGTATTTTAGAAAAAACTTCAGAATGTTTGCAAATATAATAAAAGTAGTAAAATTCACAACGTAGCTTTGCCTGTTCCTAAAGGCACTTGCTCGATTATGCTCAATAAAAACAAAAATAAAAACAATGCTTTTAACATTTCAACATTAAATAAAAAATTAGACCCTAAAGTAAAGTATAAAATGAAATGGAAAACTATCCAATGGCTTATTCAATTTCGAAAAGATGCCATCAACCAATTGTTTAAAAACTACCAATACATAGTGAAATTTGCAAAATTAAAACATAAAGGTTTGACTAAATAAGATTTTCATGAATTGATGGTCGCAGTAGGATTAGGAACTGACATAAATTTATTAGAAAAACTATTCTATGTATTTGACGAAGATTCAAATGGAACTGTCGATTATAAAGAACTAATAATAGGTTTAGAAATCTTTAAGGAAGATTCAATAGAAGAAAAAATAAAGGGTAAGATTCTTAAATTATGTAGTATTTTTTGATATTTGTGATGCAGATGGAAATGGAAGTATATCAGAAAAAGAACTATACGATGTATTAAAAACTAACATTGTAGCATTTCATGATAGAATTAAATTGAAGAAAACCATCCACCAAATCTTTATTGAATGTGATTAAAATGGAGATGGAGTTTTGGACAAAGAGGAAATATTGGAAGCATCAAAAACAAATGTTACTCTAAGGTAGTTACTTTAATAGAGTATTAATGATGTAAAGTAAATTGATAAGATGATTGAAAATGATCTGAAAGAACCATTTAATGAATGGGTTCCTGCATCAGCCAACTTTATCAATTATAAGGAAGGAATTTTCTATCCTTACAATGATAAAATTATATAGGCCTTTAAGGAAATAGAGGAAGTAATTATTTCATCTAGACTAGATTAAAACCATTAATTCGAATTTTTCAATTTTTTGATTACAACCAGGATTTCACGATCTAAACTAATTACAACTATGAAAAATAATATAATATTATGATGATTTAATATTAATATTAATATTCATTCTTCACCTGCACGATTTGATAATTTAGATTTGCTCATATCTGTAATGATTCTGTGTGAATTGATTGAATGTTTCTTCTTTTTTTCTTTTTCTATTTCTAATAATTACTACTGTCTCTTCTCCTCTGCCTCCTTTCTTAATTATTCACTCATTTTGATTAAATGCTCTTTTTCCATCTAAATTTGTTAACTTTTCAAAAGATCTTATTTAATTCTCTATTCAAGTTACTCCTTTCTAAGTTCATCCAATTATTCGCGTCTTTGCAAATTATCTTGTTTATCTAATTCTTTAATAAAGGCTTAAGCTAGTTTTCTAGTTAATTCCTCCTATTTCTCTTTTTCAATTCTTTCACACTTAAACTTGGCTTGATCCAACTTTTTTAGTAGTTCCTTTTTATGTTACTCTGCTTAATATTCATTTCTAATTAAAACATCTTAAATCTTTCTATCTTTCTCTTAGAATTGCTTCTATTTTTCAAATTAATATAGTTTTTATTCCTCCTCCAGCTTTCTCTTTTTTAATTGTAATTCCTATTGTTTTTTTTCATAATCTATCACTTTCTTTCTCATTTGTTCTTCATTTTATTTAATAACCTTATTTATTTCTTCCTATTTCATTTCTCCTTCTTTTTCTTTCTATTTTTTTTTCTCTTATAATTGATTTTCAAAAAATAGTCTTTGTTATTCAACATGTTTTTGTTTTTCCTCAAATTCTATTCTCTTTTTATTTAATTACTCTTCATTTAATCTTCTAACCTATTCTAATTTAGCTTCCTATTCTAATCTCTCTTGCTCTGCCTTCTCTAATCTTTTTAACCTTTCGTCCTCAAATTTTTATGATCTTCTTAAGTCTTTCTCTTAAAGTTCCTTTAATCTAATATCTTATATTTCTTATTAACGATTTAAAAATTATTCCCTATCTTGCTAAATCTTTTTTTATTTTTCAATTCTTTACTCTTCCTTAATTTTATTTTCTTCTTTTCTCTTTCTCTCTAATTCTTCTTCTCTTTATTTCCTTTTTTAATCCTTAATTTTATATTATTCCTCTCTCTCTAATTAAATTCTCTTTTCATCTTCTTCCTTCTTTCTTCTTTCTTCTTCAAGTTATAATCTCTTTTTTTCTGCTTGCTCTTTTTACCATTATATTTTCAATTCTCTTTATTTCTCCTTTTCTTGAATTCTTTTTTCTTTCTCAGCATTATTTCTTGCCAACTCTTCCATTTTCTACTCTGAATTAATTATTTTTTCTATTTCTAATTCTTACCTTTTTCGGATGCTGCTTAACAGTTTCTCTCTTTTTTCAGCTAAAGATGAAGTGCTTCTGAAGACACTTGAATTTGACAACTAATTTGGCCATAATCCTTATGATTCTTCCTAAAGAATTTTTTGTCTCATCTGACGAACAACCTAAATCTTCAGTCGGCGTTTTTCCTCAAAATGATCGAATACCATTTATATAACATCCTCGTTTGCCAATTAGCCTTTAGAAAATCAATGTTGATTACCTGATGGATCTTTTTATTTTAGCATATGTCTAATCAGGTCTTTCCCCTTTTATATTAAATCCTCCTTCTTAAATCCTTCTCTTTTGCATGCATCCTTCATTCTAGGAGTGAATGAATTCGCATCAATGTCTTCTTCATCAAATTCCTCCTCTCTTTCCGGATTATCTTCTTATTGCTATCTATTATTTTGCTATTCTCTATTTTATTTTGATGGGAAATTTTCTTGCTGTTTAGGATTTGAATTTTATTATTAACCATTTTTTTCATTCTCCTATTGTTCATTCTATTAATGTTCCTCTTCGGTTTCATTATGATTATTTCCTTCTTAATTATTTTCCATTTGTAATAATTATTAATTTTAATATTAATATTCCGTTTAGCAAAATCAAGTAGATATTTAATTTCAACTCCAATTAGAAAGAAGTAGTCTTTCTTATTAGAATATTTATTTTTTAGTTATTAGAATAAAAAGGATTATCGAATTAAGATATACAGCAGACACAGAGTCAATCGAAGATATACACATTCATTCATTAAAAATGTTAATAAAATTAATTTTATTCTTAATATAATATAAATAAATGAATTAAAATTAAAACTTTTAAAGCAATTTGAACCTCTTTCCAGAAATTGGAACACACGGTGCTAGAGGAAAGGTAAGGATTATTAAATAAAATAGTAATATGGTGGAAACAACATTACAATGAGAGGTACTGAAATTTTCGAAGGATTAACCACTGGAAGACCTTCTAAAAATATTATATAAGCTCATTTCAAAGTGTTAAGATTTTACAGAAAAGTGTGTCGATTGATTCCTTTTTTATTAAGAATACATGATATGGAAGTCACCTGTAATTCTTAATAAGCCATGGTTAATGTTGCTAATGTAATCAGAAAGAGAGCATACTTAAGGGATCCTGATGCTGTTGACAGATGGGTATTATACACTTTTTCATATTATAGGTGTATCGTGGATATGAATTACTCTATTAAGCTGAATGGCACATGTTGAATAGAGATCATTTATTCCAATATTTTTCTAATCAAAACAGATCTGACGCAGGATATTCTTATTTAGAAAATTAAAAGCTTAAAGGAAAGAGCGAATTCTTAAAAGATTTCTATATTGGAAACAAAACATATGAATATTGACATCATATTCAGCTAATGAAATAATAGCAAAATTATACAAAACAAAATTATATAATTTTTTTAATTTTGCAATATTTTTTATTTTCTTACTCATAATATATCAGGCATTAGCCTATGAATCTCCTTTTAACGTTTAATTCAATTATTCCATGCTCAAAAAACCTGACTCAGATTCATTTTGTTATTGTTATTTTCCAGAACCTTGTTTTTCTTATCTCAGTTTATCAAGATTCAGTCTATGTGTATTTCCTGGGGTGTATTATGGACTAGATTTCCTACTTCCTTAAGTAGGTTTTTGCTGAGAGAGTCTTATGGGTTTCTCTGGACTCCAATCCTAAAGTCCTTTAGTTTAGGGTTTTGATCTATATTAGGTAAGCTTTTGGTTCTAAAAGTCATCCAATTTATATCTTATTTAGATTTTTTAAATACCTAATATTTTATAGTCTTTTGGATATATTAGTAGATTCAGGTTCTAATTACTAAGGTTCTCTTTGTGATTACTAGTTTTTGAAATATTTTCTATAATTTGGGAAACCAGAGAGTCCTCTTTGATCACTAGAATATGATGGTCGATCATAATCTCTAGTATGTCTTGGTTCTTATCTTAATGATTATTCTCTCTCATTTTAAAATAGATCTGAAATATATGATTACAAATCTCCTCTCATTCTATTAGATTTGTGAGATCTTCTTTCACTTTCCCTCTCTTCATTTGGACTACTCTTGAATTACTACTATTATGTAACTGGTGGATTCTTTAGGAACTACTATCCTTTGGTAGGTGATATCTAGACTTAAGACTCATTTATAAAGGATTATTTATTTTAATTAGCTGCAGTCAATCTACTAGTTTGTAATTGGGAACTGGATACATTTATATTTATTTTGCTTTTTTATAAGGCATTAGTGGAACCGTCTAAATAACTTACTTATTTCTTCTTATTTGAGATTTGGCTGTTTTCAGATCCTTCAGCACTTTATTTTTATTACAATTTGTTTATCTATAATTCAGGTGCCTTTATTTCAGACTTCTTTTGTAAAATCTTATTGAAACATTCAGATTCATTTTAGATTACATCAGTTTTCTCTTTTTATTACTGTTGAGTTCCTTAAACTAAAGTATCCAATTTCTCTTATAGTTATTCTAAATTATCACAATTTTGGATAATGTTTAATATTTTTTTGTTCTTTTAGGCTTCTAATTATTTAATTCCCTCTTTATCTTTTTGTTCCAAAATACTTAATAATTCTAGTTTCTCTTCAATCATTTATAACTTATGCTCATTTTATTTTGCTTAATATTCCCATTGTTCCCAACATTTGACAAAGTTATCCTCATTAAGGGTTGTATCTTTGAATACATTTGTTCTAAAGATAAGTGTAAATTTACAAGTCTAATCCTTTGGAATAATCTGCAAAATCTTCAATTGATAATGTTTCTTTTCCTTCTTTTTTTAAAGCCTTGAAGGCTTCAGAAGGATTCTTAAATTTGGAGGATAAATTCTTTTTCAAAGAACACCAAATTTTAAGAGTAGTCTAACAAGTTTCTATTTCCTCCTTTTATTTAATAAGCTGCTCTATTTCAGACATAAATTTTATTTTAAAATATTGTATAATTTGTGAATTGTCTTATATAATATATTTTATTAAAAAATGCTAGACTATATATTCCAAAACCATACAAAGACGATTTACAACAATTAAGAGTTGTAGTAAATTATAGAACAGGTGATGGAAATATAAAATCCCAATACGTTAATAAATCCCTAGATTACTGTGACTCCATAGAAATTCTTTAAAGTATTTTTTAAATGATATTTTGATAACCTCTTGGCTTTTTATAGATGATAAGTAACCTCCAGTTAATATATATTTTATATTCCAGGATGGCATAAAGACCTTCCTTACTAAACCTTCAATTTAATGGAAATTTATTCCAAAATATGAAAGTAAAAATTAAAATAAGCACATCAGATTAAATTGAACCTGAATTAACTAATATGTATCATAAGAATAATAAACTCATTGATATTCTGCAAAAGCTATTAGCTGAGTTTAAACTAAATTACCCATACTCTTAAAACAGTGATGCAAAAGATCCTGCGAAAATAGAATTAGAAAAAAGAATTTTAAAGTACACTAATAAAGTATTAATGATATAAATCAATTTTAGATGGAAAAAGACTGGAAAGATGTAAAAGCGGTAGGAGATGAGCTAATAAAAGAATATATATCAGTTTAAGATTAAAGAGTGAAACTCAAACAACTTAAGAGCTGTATAGCAGAATTGAATGATAAACTAACAAACGAGATTAAGTGCATGAGTTAATTTTAAGCCGATTATTCTTAAGAAGAAGTTAATGAAGATAACATCCTTAAAATATTAGTTTTAGATTAAGCAGAAGATTAAATTTGCAACCTATAAGCAAACATACATGGAATACGCGACACATATAAATATACATAAAATCGAATGAAAACCAGTAGCAATGTAACTTTAGAGTGGGTTTGTTCAATTGTAAAGTAGTTGGCTGAATAGGAGTTTAATGATATACAATTATTAAAAAAGTGCAACGGATACTTTTACAATTAATGAATTATGAAATCATTATTAAGAATTAAATAAGCATCTCTAACATAATCAAATTACTAATAAAAAATCTACTAAATTTCTTACAAATTGATAGCATTCCAAATTCCTTATAAATTATTGTATCATTTTTAAATTAATTAACCATATATGCATCTATCTACTTTGCAGGTAGATTAGAGTGGTAAGTAATTATGTACCCATTCATATTATATAATTTATGTTTAAACTACAATTGAATATATTATAATATTATAATAATGTTTTCAAAAAGTGATCGAGTTTGTTTCTAGCCTACTTATAATCCTCCTGTTGGCTACTACGAAGTCAACCACTAACATTAGGCTAAAGGGGCTGACTTTTCGAAATCTATATCTAGAAATCTAGAGAGTAGACAAAGTGTGAGTCCTTAAAACTATAATAACAATCTACCAAAGATGTCATTAGCCAGTCCTTAGTTATCTGCTTATGCCAAACCAGGTGAAAGATTGAAGATTGAATAGAAATATAAGAAACCAAAAGAGAGAAGCTACAGTTACTCTTAAAATCCAGACATATCAATTAACAACTTCGATAGGTTGCCCATCAAATAGAAAGGCAAGCGACTTAAGATCGTTTATCAAAAACATACTACAGATGTGGAAAATTCAATGGAAGAACCTAACTAATTATAAGTTTAGGGATATTACAATTCAAGATCTTAAACCCCTTTTACGGGATAGTCTAAAAGAAGGAAACCTAAAAGTATGGCTACTCATTATTATTATTGAGCACATAGGAATATATTTTCTTTATTTCCTTCTGACAGTTTGGAATTGGCTTAGCAACGAGAAAAATTGAAGGATAAACCAATACCTCCTCCTGGGGCGTATTATAATGAATTTAATGATTCCTCTATAAAGATTGAAAAAATACCTTGGAGATTTTAATGTTTCTCTTCAACAGTTAGGAGATTTAGTTAATAACAGTAAGATACAGGTCCTAGTGTAGGTGCTTATGAACTCAAAACAAAATCAAAAGCCATAGGAGTTATATAACTTGATAAATATAGTAAAAGACAAGATAAATAGCTTAATTTTCCTGGTGTAGGTACATATGATATTGAATAACCATTTACATAATCAAAACCTAAACAAAAGTAATAACAAGATTTTCCATGTCCATTTGGATCAAGTGGTAAGAGATTTTGATTTAGAATATTATTATTATATTTATTAAATGTCTAAATCATAAGTTCCTCCAGAAGTAAAAGCATATATTGATGAATACAAAATGGAGGATGTTATTAAAGATGCAGTGAATACAATCCTTTCTTAAAAGCCAGCTGACCCTTATACAACATTTTCACAATATTTTGGAAAAGTAACTGATTATAATAAACACAGTTATCAACCCCTGTTATTGAATTAGAAGATATTTCTGGTTTAGAAATGTTAAATAATGAACTTAAGACAAGCATTCAATTGATTTTCACTGTCTAATTCAAAAATCAAAAATTACAATATAAATCTCCATTATAGTTTTCATAATCTTATCCAGAATAAGAAATATTTTAGTAATATATAGTGTTAATTTAAGCGATGATGAATAAAAAAATATGAAATAAGCAATCTAAGAAATAGAAAAGGTTTCTCATTAATTAAAAGGAATGAAATCAAAGGAATAAAAAGAAGTTGATGAGATATTATTGAAATATCTTAGTGAACATCCAGTATAAAATCTCATCTATTTTAGAATCGTATTAATGTTATTCAATAAATTTCATTTAGTTTACTTCCTTTGCATGCTCACTTTATGAATTAAAGATTAACCTAATTGCTTCGTTAATAATTTAATACTTAAGAAATTAAAACTCCTAAACTCTTTGTGAATTTGCTTTAGGGTAGTAAAGTAGTTGCTTCTAAGTGCAAAATCTATAAGTTTTTATTAATATGTGAAGGAGAAGGTGCATTGTAAAAAATTTAGAATGTTGTTAATAATGTCAAAAAAACTATTATTTCAGGCAAGAAAGGAGAAGCTGGTCTTCAATTCTATTAAGATGGTACTTTTATATGTCCTGGTGATACTATTCCAGATAATTTAAAGATAATTGAATAAGCAATAGAGGCAGCTTAATTGAAAGATCATGTTTAACTTGGCTTAGTTTGGTTAGCTGAATTGTTTTATGTTCCTGAAGAAAAGAAATATGATTTAGACAATCCAAAGAAACTATTAGATGCAGATTAATTAATAGATTATTATTTCAAATTGTGTTAAGAAAAACCAATTATTGTATATTTAGAAGATCCTATTCACCATACTGATATTGTCGGATGGACAAAAATTACCAATAAATTCAAAGATTCTAAAGTTAAATTAGGTAGTAGGAGATTATATTCAAATATCGATAAAGCAAAGAAACATTGTGAAATATTGAGTTAATAAACCAATCCAGAATTAAGTGAGTAATAGATAACCCAGATGAATAATGAAAGAATACATCTTGATTATATGTACAAACCTCTCTATGAATACAATACATTTACAGAATTATATAATCATTTAAGCTATTTAATTTCAAAAGTAACTTTATTTATATTATTATTAGAAATCTTCATTGCAAATAATTATAGGGGATTCTCTAGTTGATACTGAAGACTCGTATTTCGTTGATGTTGCTGTAAATTTATTCAATAAATTAGTTTTCGCTTCCAAATTCTAATATTAATATTGGACCTCCCCTTAAATACGAAAAAATTATAAAATACAATAAATTTTTAAAATTATGCCATGAAAGTGATTGATACATTTTTAAATAGAAAAATATATATAAACTAAAAACAAATCATGATAAAGATCTTAGAGTTTGCATAGTAAAGTATTAGTTTTCCATTATTTTCTTGTGGAACAACTTAAATGTACCAATACTACATTTAGCTTATTGTGCAATCACTGTAGATAGAATGCCTCCTCGGCTTGCAAAAATGATGTCTCCACTATATTTGACTATAGCAGCTGCAATCACATTTTCATGCTCTCCTTGGATTAGATTTTTCTGTTGGATTTTATTAAATACTTGGATACAGTAATTAATAAATCTGTCGTTAAGTCCCAAGTTGGTTGATATTGATTTTATAAATGCTTAAACAACCGATTCTAATTTGTAATTGTTGTGTATTTTGAGTAATATTTTTTTAATTAATTTTTCTGGAACTGAAAATTTAGCTAGAATTTCTCTCTAAGTCAATGGAATGCTTGTTTATTTAATGGCGGCAATCAAACCTGCAATAGCAATGGCAATAGCAGTGTATTTTTTTTATTTGAGTTCAGATAGTAAATCAGGTTATAAGAGTTGTAATGCAATTTTTAATAGATCTTCCTTTAATCCCAAAAGAAATATTTAGTTTTTCATTTCTTCAACAATTGCTGATAGTTTTTTGCGATCAACATTTTATTCCTGATTGTCATCTGAAGAAGTGTCAGAATTATTATCTAACATTGTTGAATAGCAATTAGTAACTTCAACTTACTTCTCATTTGGAAGTATTTCGATAGGATTAGTTTCAAACTCATTCAAATTAAATTTAGGAACTGGTGGTGCTATGGTTCTCCTTTTAATGTTCATTCTAGAAGTGAGTGTTAAATAAATAATTCAAGCTTCGAATTTACTCCATTTTATATAAATTAACTCAAACTTAGTCAAATTTATCTCACTCTGTAGTCTTGGAAATATAAATTTAAGTTTAAATTTCGAGCTTTAAAAGGAGAACCAAGTATTTCAAATCAGTTCAATGACTATTGTTTCTTATAATTTATATATATGAAAATAAAGAGCAAATTAAATCTATATTGAATTAAAACCAGTTGATTTCAATTCCCTAAGCTTACTTACAATATTAAGTAAGTTTAAATAGAACACAATAGCTCACAAAGTCATATTTGAGGTTCTATTGAATTTCTTAATTATATATAATATTTTGAATGTTATGTGGAGATACATTGCTTAGAAAATCAATGAATTAGCTTTCTTGCAATCATTGATTATTGCGGACAGTTTAAAAATTGTTTGAATAATTATGGCATCTATTTATATTAGTTACTAAATTTAATAATAAATGAGTGTGTAATTGAATGATAGGCATATTACATAATTGGAAGAATTAGAATCATTAAAAGGAAAACTACAATGTCCGTCCTATAGATCTCGTAACCTTTCATCAGATAGATAGTATACTCCCTCGTTGACTAATGATTTCAGAAGCACAAGAAATAGCGATTAATAGAAGGATTCTTAATCGGTAGAAAAATGTATTTTTAACTGTATTATGGCTAGTCATGAATCTCAAACAGTAAAATTAGAATGTTGATTATCTATCTCAATTATGGAAACAACAAAAGCAGTCCATTTCGCTAACTTAAAGTTTACAATCACAAAATGCTATATGTACATTTGTTATATTTATAAAATTAGCAGAAAAATAAGAAATCGATCAGTAAATTCCTAAATATACTCATTAAGTGATTGAGGAGGAAGAGAATTTGGTTACTGAATAAGATGCCAATAAAATCAAAGTAGTTTAGGCAGTCAACAATGTGAGAGTGAATGGAAAATTTCCCACTACAACAAAATAAGGGGGTTAAAAGAAAAGTTAATAATAAGCTCAGAACCTCCAGACAAGTAATAACCAAGGGTAAAACAAAAAAACTAATAGTAATATTAATAATAATAACATTCGTCCTTAAACCACAAAATCTTAAGTTCAAGTACCTCAAACACCATAAACTCAAAAGAGAACTGTTTAAAAAAGTAACACCAAGTCCTTCTAAGATCAGACTTTAGATAGTATATGTTTCAAATAACATAGTTCCACAAACACCTTCATAAAAATTGAAATAAAGTTCCTTATTAGAAAAAACTAGATAGGGAAAGGTAAACCAGGCTATTGGCAAAGTGATGACCAAAAAGGAATCTGAAGAGGACGATAAAAATTTAGTCTTTTAATTACAGAGACTAAAAGAGAGTGTGACAAAGCTATACAGTGGTAGGTTTGAGAATAAGATGGCACATTCTTCATAATTTATTGAATAGTAATTATTATCATTAACTTAGAAATTTTGATTAAATAATAAATGCACTGAAATTGGATTTTAGATGCCATGAAAGTGATATGTGAAAAATTATATATCATTCAATATCTTTGATTAAACTATAATAAATTTAATAAAAGTTTGTAAATATTAATTATTCATTGATTAAAATATTTTATCATTTTTGATATTAGTCAACGTACTTTCAGAGAATAATAAATTAAGTGTGTATAATAATTATAATTAAGAATAATTTAAAATGAAATCTCTGAGAATAAACAATCAATATATAATGTCTAGAAAAATTGCTTCAGGTGCATTCGGGTTTGTGATGCTTGGGTTTGATCAAAAAACAGGACAGTAAGTAGCCATAAAAATTGAAAAACCTGAAAATGAGCATCTCAGGTCCTTGGAAAAAGAAGCAGATATAATACGGAGATTGGAAGGGGTTCAAGGAGTGCCTAAAATCCTATATTTTGGCAAATAGGATGACTTTAATGTTTTGGTTTTGCAACTTCTTTCTAAAGATTTGTCTTCTTTGATAAAAAAATAAAAGAAATTTAGCCTCAAAAACCTGTTTTATAGATTGGGATTAAATTAGTTGAAATATTGGATGACATTCATTAAAAGGGAGTATTGCACAGAGATTTAAAACCAGAAAATATTATGATTGATGAAAATAATAGATTCTACATTATTGATTTTGGCATTAGTAAGGCATTTATGCGTAAAAATGGAGCCCATTTGTAAAATATTAAAGTAATTAGACCTTTCAAAGATCGATAACCCTTTATTGGAACTTCTCGTTATGCTTCGATTGCAGCCCATAAAGGAAATGAACTAGGAAGGAAGGACGATTTGGAATCTTTAATTTACATCTTATTGTACTTTATTATTGGGTAAAAATGAAGATTTTCATTGTTTCAGTAATTTACCATGGCAAAACATGAAGCAAATTCCAGGTGACTAAAAAGTACTATAAGTTGGTGAACTTAAGTAAAAACTGACTCTTGAATTGTTTAAGAATTTACCTGAAGAACTGAAAAAAATATATGAGTAATATTTTGATAATATAAAGATATCTGCGTAAACTCACGTATGCCACAGAACCAGATTATAAATCAATTGTTAAATTATTTTAATAAGCTGCGAAAAATGGCAAAATAGTAATTGATTCAATGTATGATTGGGATATCCAAAACACTGCTCAAACAGAAATGTTTTCTCGTTATGGAACAATTTAATTTGATGATAATTTCTTGATTGATCAATATCTATCAAATTAATAAATGTAAAAATTCTATCATTTTATAGTAATGTGAAATAACATCATATTAATCCTAATAAGAGAAAAACCTTTTGTCCATCTCTAATTAAATAAACCTTTAATGAAAACATTATTTAAATGGTCAAAGATTCAAGTAGATAAAGTAATGGTAGTAATAGTGCCATGGGGAATATAGAAGAAATGTACCAATTATCAAAGGATGAAATAAGCGAAGACTCTCAATAAATAATCCCAGAAGAAGGCTAATAGGATTTAAGTTTAAGAGTTAAAACGTTGCCTGATTATTTGAAAAAGCCTAAGATCAAATAAAGACAAAATCAAACCCTCGTTTTTGATGACGATTGGGTAATTGACTCAGGTACACATTTAGTGGATAATTATAAAAAATTATAATCTTTGAGTAATCAAATGACTGCTGTTTTTCATCATAAATAAAAGTGATAAAACATATGTTGTATTTAAAATTATCTTGATCTTTCTATTTATAAAGAATACTAAATATGGAAATCAGTATAAGTTTATAAATCTTCCAATTATTTTTGTCCTTTTAAAATCATTATTGTCAATTTCTTAAGATATACTATGTTAAATAATACTGATATTTTAAGATATATTTTATAATATAGATTTTTATATCCAAATTTATTATATGAATTACTAAATTTTAAAAAAGACTATTTAATATTATATCAATGCTACTCTTTTTAGTAACTTTACGAAATAGATTATTAATGTTTTCAATAATAGTATTTACATAATCCTTTTTATTTGAAATATAAATTAAATTTAATGGGAATTCATAAGCATAAACAATCATAATTTCATTCAAATCATAAAAAATTTTCAAAGAATTTAGTTGTCTTCAATATTTTGTTATTATTCACTTAACTCAATAGTTTTAAATAATTAACATAATAAATTAATATTAAAAGCAATGCAAAGATTATCATCTCTATTAATTGGATTTGGTTTAGGAATTTTTGGAATGAGCTTATTATATGATCCTTGGGGACAAGTAAATTTTAATTATATTTAGGAACGATTTGAAAGAACAGTAAGAGAGACAGCAAGATTAGAAAACTCTCTTCTAAATGATGTGGATATTTATTTATAGATGAAAATGTTTTTAGGATATATGCTAGTGGCTTGTTCATTCGTTTCAATGAATAGGTAATATTTAATAATCATCAGAGAATTGGTTTACTTTATGTGTTAGCAATACCAGCCTTATTAGTTTATGCTGCACTCAATTACAATCATGTATTATATAAATCAGAACGACTTGGTGGAGAGTAAATCATCTAAGGAGCATTATTTTATGTAGCATTTTGTTTCGCTTTGATCGATGGATTAATAAAGCCAAAGAAATTACCATAACCAAAATAATCCGAAAAAAATGTATAAAAGAAAAAAAACGAATGATTTATTATTAAACACATGTATTTATAAATTGTTATGTAAAAATGCTAGATAACATTGAATTAAAATTAATTCATTAATTTTACTTTACTATCTCTCCTATTTAGGGTAATCGCAGCAAAATTGTTATTCGAAAAATGGCAGTCAGAAGTTGCAAATATTGTTTCTCATTAAATAACATAATATATATCCTAATTATTTTAGATTTATCTTACTAATGTTTTTACTATTCATAATATATTATTTATTAAGAATTAATAGAGGAAGGGAAGTTCATGGTTATAAAAAACTTGAGTTTCACTTGAATTGATTTGATTCTTTATAAACTAACATATTTTATGTATCAACGATTTGATTTAAATAAAAAATATGAGTTTATTTGGGCATTAGAGCAATAATTGATACTTAAAAAATTATAACATAACATCCCATTATGATAAATGAGAATAAATATCCAGAGAGTGATTTTGGCACTTTTTATAATTTTATTGATATATCTAAATAAGTTAAGTGTATTATAATATTTGTTTGAGTGCTTAAGAACTATATGTTGACAACTTAATTTGATATTGATTTGTACTATTTCTACCTGTATTCAATGAAGGTTAGCTTTACAAAAATATGCAAAATTTTAACTAATTCTTTTTGGTCTTAAATTTTGAAAGCTTTGCTTAATAAATTTAAGTTTTTTTATTTTTGGAAATAGTTTAGAATTTTTATCTATTTTCTATGTTCAAGTCATAATCTTTCTTGTTAATCAATTAAGGGATTATGATCTATCGTTAAGTATTCTGGAAGATTGTAGAATTATTTTGTTCAGTTTATAAAGTTTATAATTGATTTAGCAACATATTTGAAATAAAATTGTATATAAAATAATATCAGTAGAGACATTATTGAATGATTCTATGGTTATTGTTTGAATTTTGGGTTGAGCAATGAAGAAAATAAACAAAAATTGGATTAACAGTTTAAGAATACTATCAAACAAAGAGGTGTATTTTAGGAAGGCAATAATTCTTTGTTTTAGATGTTAGTGAACTGAAGATTAGAGGGAAATTCAACTGTTAAAAGGCAATCTTGATTAATGTAGCATTTCTAAAGTGGTATAATATTGGTACGAGTATTATGAGGAGTATTCATTAATATAATTAAGGTTTGTATAAAATTTGGAAGATTATGAAAAAAGTATATACAGTACCAACCCCAAGAGAATAGAAACCAAAGGGATAATAGAAGAGTTAAAATGATGTGATGTGAGTTATTATGAATTATGCGTAGAAAGTAAACGTAATTTGCCTATATTCCTGATTAACCCACTTAAAAAGAATAATCATCTAAGATGGCTCGACCATATTTAATGTTCAAGCCTAAGTTAGTTGAGGAGATAGACGAGAACAACATGAAAAAGATGAAACTTTCATTTCACAATTCAATAACTGACTTATAAACTTTTGAGGAATTAGCAAAAGAATCACAGCAAAGAGAATCAACTCCGAATTTAAATCTAACTCCCTAAGAAAAGACTAAGACATTTGTCAGGTAACTATGAATTTCTATTGCCTTAGAAAGTCTATGAGACACTTAACTCAGCTTTGAAATAAATAAATTTCGTGATAAATTATATATGTATGACTTATTTAAGTCTTTTAATATTGAATTTTACATATCCACATTTTATTTAAAAATTTACCACTAATGAAACACAATTAACAACTTCCAAATGCACATATGAGAAAACATTGGACACGATTTGTTAAGACCTTTTATAATCAACCAGCTGCAAAAAGAAGAAGATAACTGAGAAGGAGAACATTGGCCTTATGTATATTGGATATCAAATAAATGAATAGCCTCATCTCCAAGACCAGTTGAACTTCTTCGTCCCGTTGTTAGAGGATAGACAATAAAGTACAACAGTGTTTAGAAGCTCGGAAGAGGATTCTCATTGATTGAATTAAAGGAGGCAGGACTTAATGCAGCATTCGCTAGAACCATTGGAATTTCAGTGGATCACAGAAGAAGAAATCTAAATTAGGAGGAATTGAATAACAATGTGAAGAGATTGAAAGCATACTTATCTAAATTGGTTCTATTTCCAAGAGTGGCAGGCAAACCCAAGAATGGAGTTGTGAAAGATTCAACAAATGAGGTTGTGGCATAGCCAGTGGCTTAGAACACTAACCCAGAGGTAATTAGAATTTGCTAAATCCAAAGGTAATCACATTCTAAAGAACTCCAAAACGAGAGAAAGCTACAGTTATTTCTAAAGAATTAAGAGCTAAGAATGTTTATAGAAGACTCAGATAAGAGTGGTACAATGCTAAATTTGTTGGAGTAAAGGAAAAGAGAAAATAAGCAAAAGAAACTAAAAAGTGATGCATTTAGTATAATACAATATTATTTATTTACAATTTATTTATTAACTTATTAAGGAACAGAGAGAGAAATGTCTACCAAAAAATAGGTTCATGGAGGAAAAACATCGAGATCAAATAGCAAATAATCTACATCTAATCCTATGTAAGTGAGAAAGCGTTTTTCATCATTATGTTCACCGTAAATTATTTGATCTAACATTTGCTTTAGCCCAAACAATTCAGGAACATCACCTTGTGTCTTTTGTCAGAAATTTAAAAATTAGAAGGTTGAATCCTATGCTTCTCTCCTTAATAAGGCTCTGTTTGCTAAATACTCGTCATCTCAAAACTACTATTATTCTAAAGACATTAATGATATAATTGATGAGGAATCCACGCCGGCAGTCGTTTTTTATAGAGATTTGGAGTGCATAGTAGAGGAAGAGGAATATCTGAAGAGGTATCATTTTATTCATTCTAAGATCATATGTCAAAAAGGAGGCAACTTCTAAAATCAAAGCCTTGCTTGAATATTACAAATATCATAAGGACATACCTCGACTCTTTATGCAAAAGGTCTATATAACCATAAATAAGTTTCACGAAAAGAAGCGAAGGATAGAGTATGCAAATATTAAAAGGAAATTGAATATCCCAGATGAAGATTTAGTAATAGATATTTATAAAGTTGTAGTAACCAGCGAAAATAAAGGAAAAGAAGAAACAGAAACACAGTGATGAAGATGTATCAGTGGCTTAACTAAAACATTTACTAAAGGATTTGAAATTAGATACAAATTCCTATCTCTACAAAAAAGTTGATATCTCAAGTAGTGTATAATTACGCGAATTCGTATAACAAATTGGACAAAAATATGATTATCTCGGATAAATTTCTGGTCTATTGTCTATTGATTAAAGCAATAGTTTTCTCTTAAGGTCACAAGATCTTTCAACCATAAACAAGAATCTAAAATAGAATTATCTTATAAATCACCATAAGCAAGAACCTAATTAGAATTCCAAAGCACAAATTTTAGATTCTAAAACTACTCATTAAATTAGTTATTAAGGGAGTTTTGATAAAATTAACTTTAATAAATTGCATTTTAACAATATAGGAGAAGTCTCTTCTTTGAAAGCTGAAAACTCAATTAAAGCAGGAGAATAAACTAAAAGATCAAGTCAAGACTAATCACCATTAAGGAATTCTTAATAATCCTAAATGATCTAAAAGGTCTATTCCCAAATTGAAGGCTTTGCTAATTTTGTGCAAAAACAGTAATAATCCTTGTAAAAATAATAAAAACAGAACTATGCTTAAAAGTCGAATTCGCAAAGGAAAGTCAGTGCTAATTTCAATTCAACTGATTGCTAATTCAGATTACCAAGTAGATAAAGTTCTAATTAAAAGTAATATGCTGAATTGTAGTCTTAATAAGTGAATTTCTTGTAAATATATCATAATACATATGTAGAAGAACCAGAGTGGCTTCCCAATTATAAAAGTACGAAGATGATTTCAAGAGTATCAAACATGTATGATTATAATTGTATTTCAGTAACCATTAGCAACGGACAGAATTCAAAGGTCTAGCGTTTATAATGTAGGAGATAAAAGTCAACAGAAGTCTTCATCAAAAAATATGTTAGATATTATACATTTATAACTTTAGATAAAAAATACCATAGAAATTCACTTAATATGCCTTAGCCACATTGAGGAATCTGTAAGTAAAGAATTCAGAAGTTAAGAAAAAATAAACTGTCAATAAAAACAATGTGCAAGGACCCACTTTGAATTCCTAATTATTGCATTATAGAACTAAATCCTAAGATACCATTGGAACTTATAAAGCATCTTCCTCCAAAGTAGTCTGCGAGACAAGATAATTCAAAAGATCCATTAAGAATTACAAACAACATCAATTTTTAAGGGTCATCCAAAAAGGGAGGTGGTGTATACAATATCAACTAAAATAATATAGTTAATATTTATATTGAAGATTTGAAATCTTCTGCCAAAATAAAGTAAGGTGGATCGTCAACTGCTCGAATTAATAGTCCCTAGAAAAAGTAATCCCCAAAGGCATTTTCGAAGTCTATAACACTCAAAGATCTAACTTAAGTCCCTTAAAGCAAAAAATGAGTTTGAAATAAATATGTTATTTCTATAAATTTTATAGATTATGAATATTATTCATAATTATTTAAATGTGCTAAACTTGTGAGGATTAAAAGCCGTTGAGCATTTTGCCATAGTAACTGATTATCTAGAAATGGCATCAGTCATATAGAAGTTCTAAGAGTAGGAATTACACTTACATCAATAAGATCCTTGAATGGAGTGGCTGAAATAGTTTGTTTTGAAGATTCAGGTTTCAAAGCAACTTATCCAAGCACACTTGATTCGATATAGTCATATTTTAATAAATGAGGAGCCAGTTCAGCCATTCTATATCTAACCTATCAACATATTCAACTGATCATACCTCTTCCAAGGTATCATAAGGCAAAGCGCATCCACATTCCTCAGATAGTGCTCTCAATATTTCCCAATCTGATTTAGCTCCAGATGGAGGTAAAGCCACTAATTTTGTAGTTTGTACTCTCCCTTCTGTTGAGACCTGATTCAATACTAAATATAATTACATAAGTTCCATTCTTTTCTGTATATGTAGCTCCTGGTAATATGAGATCTGCATAATAAGCACCTTCATCTCCATGGCTGCCGATATAGATTACATACGCATCCTTAGGGATATCATGAGCTCTTAGATTGTTATCAACTCCCAAGAGAATCACAACTTTAGCAGGGACACTACTCTTCCTTGCTGTAATACCTAACTCAAGAGCATTAATTCTTCCAACATCCTTATGTAAAAGATTGAATCCATTCCATCCCAATTATGGATTGATTACTGGTGAATTTTAGGCAATCTTTTTTAAAGCATTATGAATTGCATTTCCATCAACTCTCTCTAGAACACCTGCTCCTGTTAATATCATAGGTAATTTTGCATTTTTGAGTCTTGCTGCAAAAGGATGTGTGCCATTAGCAATTTCATCAAGAATTGAGGCATTATTTCCTAAATGAACATAATTATAAGTTAAGTCATTGGCTGGTCCAATCACAAATACTTTGAGATTGTTTTTTCTTGTGGCTCTTAAGATTCTTGAATTCAATAAAGGGGATTCTACCTTTGGGTTAGTACCTACTAATAAAAGAACATCTGCCTCTTCAATGCCTGTGATTCTTGAATTTAGTAAGTAATTGGCTCTAAAATCAGCATCTAATTATGGCACACCAACTCCTCTAATTTCAAAATTATCACTATCAAATTTATTCAATAAATCTTTTAAGGCTACAATAGATTCGCAGTCTGCAAATTCTCCAATGACTCCTACAATTTCTTCTCCTTTAACTGATTATAATTTCTTAGCTGCTTATTGAATAGCATCTGGCCAATACAAATCAGTGAAGTTGCCTTAAGCATCTCTAGCTAATGGTAGAGTTAATCTTTGTTTTTTCAATCCATCAAAGGCTTGTCTTGATTTATCATTTAACCATTCCTCATTGACTTCCTCATGAATTCTTGGTAACACTCTCATAATTTCAGCTCCTCTGGTGTCAATTTGAATAAGTGGAAGGATAGTATCAAAAACATCAACAGAATCATAGGACTTTAATTCCCAAGGTCTGGATGTGAATGCATATGGTCCATTGGTTAAAGCACCAACTGGACAGACATCAACGAGATTTCCTTATAATTCACTAGTGATCATTTTGTCAATGTATGTACCAATTTCAGTATTTCTTCCTCTTCCACTAGTTCCTAATTCAGTTACACCTGCATATTCATCAGAAAATCTGATGCATCTTGTGCAATGAATGCATCTATTCATACTAGTAGCTACAAGAGGACCGAAATTCTTATCCTCTACAGCTCTCTTGTATTCGTTATGTCTGCTATCTCCATATCTAGATATTTAATATCAAGATAGATACCCGTATTGTTCAGAGATATCTTATAAATCGCATTCGCCTCCTTGATCACAGATGGGACAATCTAATGGATGATTTGCCAACATGAATTCCATAACACCTCCTCTTGCTATTCTGGTCTTTTCACTTTTTGTAAGTATTCTCATTCCAGGTGCTACTTATGCTGCACATGCTGCAACCTTTTATAATATTCATATATAATTTATACAGGTTTAGGTGATTTCTCGACCTCTACCAAACACATTCTGCAATTTCCTGCTACAGCCAATCTTTCATGATAGCAAAATCTTGGAATAATTACACCTGCTGAATAACATGCTTAAAATATTGTTGCCGATGGATCAACCTATTAAGTTTAAACTTAATGTAAATACTTTGTGTGGAACATCATCAATGAATATTTCTATGAGACTCTATTGTGTTGAGAAGGCTGATAATTGTTTTCTCAATATTTGTTATCCTTTCTACAATGAGAATCTAATCATTGTTTTTTTATAAATCAAAAAATAATATAATGTAAATATTAATTGTAAATTCTTGCTCATTTGAAATATTTAATCAAGATTGAAATTTAAATTAAAAAATATATTAAATGGCTTAAGAGAAGGAGATCGAAATAAAGGAAGAGAAAGAATAAACATAAGAACATCATCATGATCACAATCACGAACATGATCATGATCATGACCACGACCATTCAGATGATGGTCATGATCATCAAGGAGATGACAAAGACAAGAAGGCTAATAGAGGAGAGAAGAAATTCAAAAAAGCCATGCTCAAATTAGGAATGAAGCCTGTGACTGGAATCACCAGAGTTACAATTAAGAGAGGAAAACAATTCCTACTTTATATTGATAACCCAGAAGTCTTAAAGTCAGCAAATGTTGACAACTCCTTCATTGTTTTTGGAGAAGCTAAAGTAAATGATCCAACTAGTCAAATTGGCAAGAAAGAGGCTGATAATTTAGCATCATAAGTGTAATAATTTAATTTATAAAATTTAGTACCAAATAAGTTGAAGAAAAGCAAGAATAATAATAGGCTCAAAATCCAGAATAAGTCAGTGATGAAGGTATTCCCCCTGAGTCAATTAAAATGGTTATGGAGCATTGCAAATGTGATAGAAGCAAAGCAGTTGAAGCACTTAGAAAATCCGATAATGACACTGTCTAAGCAATTCTCTCCTTAACTGGATGATGATTTATTATATTTGAGTAGATATATATAGTATAGAAATCAATAACAATAGAATTCGGAAATTCGTTTAAATTATAAGCATTTCAAAATAACTAGTTTATTAAAAAAATACAAAAATACATTTCAATAATTATATTTATATTTTATTATTATGGCTGCAGTATCTCAAAAGATCTTCAATAATTAATTTGTGATACAAAAGAAGATCTCCTCAGGTTCATTCGGCGTCGTGTATCAGGGATATGACTTAAGATCGTCAGAGCATGTGGCTATCAAAGTAGAAAAGCAAGAAATAGATGATTTATTTAGTTTAGATAGAGAAGTAGAGTGAAAAATATTCTAAATTTAGATTCAAATATTGAGAAATCTACATGGATTGCCGTAAGTTCCGAAACTGAAATGGGCTGGCAAAGATCAAGGGAACAATGTGATGGTAATTCAATTATTGGGAAGAGATTTAACTCACTATTTAAGATAAAGGAAACGTTTTAGTTTGGCATGCGTTTTGGGTGTAGCTGATTAGATGTTGACCATTCTCGAAGCCATTCATAGCAAGTAAACTTATAATTCAAGAAAGGGGTATCATTCATCGAGACATAAAGCCTGAAAATATATTGGCAGGTAAAGATAGAGATCAGAATACTATTTATCTTGTGGATTACGGAATCGCTAAGCAATTTAAAGATAAAGATGACAAACATATGTAAATCAACTTATTAAAATAAAAGTCCTTACATAGAAAACAAACCTTTTTTGGGAACTTCCAGATACGCGAGTATAGCAGCTCACAAAGGCTAGGAATTATCAAGGAAGGATGATCTGGAATCCTTAGGATATATGTTAATGTAATTGACACTGTAATATAGAGATTTTTATTGAAGGGAAGTTTACCTTGGTAGAACATAGGTTATAAAAATGAGGATGAGAAAGTAAAGTTGGTAGGATTGATGAAAATGAGAGTTACAGCATAAGAATTATGTTAAGATTTGCCAATTGAATTTATGCGATTCATAGATTTAGTTAGAAAGATGAGTTATCGCGAAAAACCAGATTATAGGTAAATCTTAAATTTAAATATTAATTTAGATATTTTTAATAGTTGTTTTAAAGAGTCTCTATATAATAACAGGTAGAATATCGATTTGATTGGTATGATGAAAGCAATTTCGAGAAAAAGTCAGGATCAACATCTCCTAAGAAATAACAGTCTATTAAAATTTTAGATTAATCATATTTGATTCAATAAATCTATTCGCCAAATAAAAAAAAGGCCAGTGAAGAATTCGATGACACTGGACCATCTAAAAGAGAATCAAATGGAAGACCATCCATAATTAATAATAATTCTAATAATCTACTTATGTGTGATAGCAGAATGAATCTGAAAAATAAAAGTGTTAGTTCATTCAATGAATCCAATTTATAATATAGTGACATATAACCTGATTTGAGTTGTCTCATCGCTTATTAAAGGAATCTAAGATATGGATCATTTCATAATGAAGCTGACCCTCAAAAACAACCTGATCGAAGTGCTTCAACTTAAGATAAACTAAAAGTTAAACACAAGTTAAGTTTGGATGTCAAACCGAATTGCTATAAATCTCTTGTTGAATTCTAATTAGGATTAATCAACAATCCTTCGATTATGGATTTTACAGTAAATAGTCAGAATTAATTGAATGAAGATGAAAGTCCATGTCTTGATGATAAATTTAACATACTAAAAGTCAGCTCAGTTGACAAGTAACTATCATTTTCTATACTCTTAGTAAATTCAAAAACCCAATCCAACTCTTTAGATTAAATTTCAAAGAAAGGTCAAGTATTAAGAATAATTGAATAAACTTTATATTTATTATTTTATGAATCAACCCTCATAGTATGGTTAAGCATATCCACCCAAAGTGCTTCTCTTCCATGATCTATTGTAATGAGCAACGGCATCTAACAAGTGAGTTGGTCCCCAAACGACAACAGAAATATCCTATTATATTATAGTATAACAATATGATTACCTTATCCCAGAAGTGTCTAGTAGCAACTCTAGTCAAATGACCAGCATCAAGAGCAGAGATTCTTCTAGCAAATTCACTTCTTGGCACTCTTCTTCCCCAATAGCTAAATCTTACTGGAATATAGATACAAAACTTATTAAGCAATTTCTCTTGATTATTTGGCTGAACTTTCTTAACTCAATAATTCATTAAACACTTTAGCTCTGGCTCTGAAAACTTCAACTTAGCCTACAGATGAAGCATAATCAGATAAAACCATTTGACTGATATATGCCATTTATGTTGCAAAGACTTCATTACCAATAAAGTAATTTCCAAAGAGACCTGTGTCTGAATATGCATAATAAACGCATCTTTAATATGTAACATCTGGTAATCCACCAAGGAGTGAATGCATAGTGTTATATTATCTGCTTGGAGAATTCAAATGGAATCCTGTGTGTTTGTCAGCTCTATGATCACCAATGAGTCTTTAGAAATGATGGAGAGCAAAAACATCAGGGTGGTTCCATCCTGGAGCATCAAAGAATACACCAACATTCAAGTTGGTTAATTCATCATCTTTCATTAACTAAATCATTAATCAAATGTGAATACCATAATTGATGGAGTAGCATATGGTTTTTCGGAATTAGGTACTTCAGTGGGAGCAGATGTACCTAATCCTTTGAAGGCTTTATTGACTGCAGAAACCAAATCTTCATGGTTAACATTACCAGCAGCTGAGACGATGACATTGGGTGCAACAAAATTGGCTTTGTGGAATTATCTTATTTATTCTTCTGTAACATTTGGAATATTATCTCTAATTCCTGCTGTTGGTTAACCAAGATAATGATCTCTGTAATTTGTATAATGAGCAGCCTCAGCAACTACTTTGTATTAATCATTGATGCTAACTGATTCTCGATATATTCCTTCTCTTTCAGCTTCAATTTGAGCTGGGGAATATAAAGAATTTGTCAAAATGTCTCCCAAAAAGGAAACTGCTCTCTCAAGTTCATTTGGCAAGAAAGTGAGAGTGTAAGTCTATAATTCTCTGCCTTATTTAACTTTTAAAGACCCTCCCAAGTAATCGATTTCTGCTTCAACTTATTCTCTTGATTTTGTTGTTGTACCCTAGCATATACATTATTCCTACTCTTAAATTTAATTTTGAAATGAAGTTTGATACTCCAGAACTTTCTAAGGTTTCAAATCTTGATCCTGCTTTTACAGCTACTGTAATTGAAGCTAATGGTGAATTGTATAATTCAGACACCACTCTGAGACCATTATCTAATTGAGTCAAGGCTTAAGCTCAACATATAATGCGTACCTGAAGGTCTATCGTATTTCAAGGCCTCAGGTATTTCCCCTGTTGGCAATTCTCCAAAGTCCACTAATGCTGATTTAGAAAATTGCAATTGGAAATTTCTCTCCACTTTAGTCTATTGAGCTTAAGTTGTAGGGGCTTTCTTTCCTGATAAGCTTTCAGCTGTGCAAAATTGAGCTAATTTGCGCAGAGAATTCAATCTGTTCCTAAACATATCTCAATTAATTTATTTATATTTCAAATAGGATTATTATTAAGACATCAATATTCTTTAATACCATAATTACTTATGATGTTCTCTTGAACAGAATTAAATTTCTAAATTTCATTGAAAGAATGTTATTTATTTCTATTATAATTGTGAAGCTTTAAAATAAATGTTTGCCTATCTATATGAATTAAAAACTCAGATCATTTCATTTGTTTTTCTTTCAATCGGTGGTGATAAATGCTCTTTGATCTAAAATAAACATATTAAATACCTTTAATTAAAGCGCTATATTAGGCTGCTAATAATATTATTAGATTAGGAATATCTAAATATTCAGCTGTCGTAAGCAATTCCAAGACCTTCTTCTCATCTATCATTTCTTTGAATAACTCTTTAAATTGTTCTGAATTTTTTAAACTAAAAGATTAATTTTTCAATATTACTCTTCCATAGATCCGATATTATCCTCTTTGTCTTTAAATATTTCTTTCATTTAAGCAAGAAAGTGACACAGATTATCAAATTCTTCTTCTGTCGTATCCAATTCTATAGATTCTTGATTTTTGTTCAAATCATAAATCATTTAAAGGAATTAGGAATATTTGAAGGCAACACTCTCTAAAATATTTTTACTTTCGGATTTATTGCTAAATTTCACTTGAAAATCATTTAAATTCGTCTCTTCAATTCTTTTAGAGATTTAATTGTTTTATTAATTATTTTATTTCATGTTCTTTCAGCATCATTAAATGAGCTAAGAAATAGTTAGTAATTCTCTGAAGTATAAGAGTTTCTTCATTTAAGCATTATTCTATTGAAATATAATATATATTTTTGAAAAATAGATATCTTAAATATTGTTTTATGCAATAATAATATTTCTAAACAAGAATTTATTAATATTTCAAGTAAAATGCTTACTTAATGAAAATATTGATGATTAGTAAAACAGCATATTAAAAAGAATAATTATTTACGCTTAGGTTGTAAGTAATCTAATATCTTTGACTGCATTGATAATAATTAATCTTGTGAAGAGATTCAATTGATTACCGAACCTAAAATACAAATTCATTTAAAGAATTGCATACAACACTCAAATTCGATTTAATTCTTAATTGATATTAGAATTTATTTTAATTAAAGAAAAAATGTATTTTGAACTATCAAATAAGTTTTAATAGATATATTAATTCAAATATATAAATATTAAAAAGTCTCTAGCTTAAAATAATATCATAGTGGTTTTAGTAATTGAAATTTAAAAACTATTTGTTATGATTTTAATAATAATTCTTGATAGAGTATTTAACCCAAAAATAATTAATACTATACATAAATATCCTTTAATTTGAATATGCAATATTGCTGTTAAGAAAACCTATAGTAGACTATATAAAATTTAAATTATCATACTAAATTAAGAATGGCAATGAAGTTTTTTCACTAGATAATTCAGAATCAGCTATTAAATTTAAAATTCGTGAGTGATCAAATAAAAATCAAACTAATTGGAGTTATTATCCACTGTCTTATTCAATATTATAGTTTTTGACACTCATTACAAGAACATTAATCTTGAATGTTTAAGTATATTTGATGAGGAGAATAAAAATCGACAATCGAGGGTTTGAACTATTTTTTTCGGAACTCATTTTTTTTTATACCACTATCAATATCTTTAAGGTTATTGTTATAATTAACAAATTAATGTGGTATTCTAGGTTTAGTTTTTTAATGCATTTCATCAATTTCCTATTTTGTGTACGAGTTTTTGAACTTGCTGTTGGATTTTTCTGTAATACTTCTAAAACCACTTTCGTGAAGAAATAAAGGAGGAATGTATGCACTTTTTAAATTAATAATTGACTTTTTATCAGCTAAACTAGTAAAATCAGATATTTTTCTTTGATTTTAATTTGGACTTCCACTATTTGATTGATTAAGCCTAACCATAGGACTGTCAAATCCACTTAAATATAATTATTAAAAATACTATAATGAATTGAATCTAAAAGATGATTCCTTATTTATTATTTCACTACTTTCAGGGATGAATATAGAACGCTGTTATTAATTCATAGGATGTTCGTCAATATCTTGAAACATATCATCATGAATTTACAAAATAACTTCATTTAAAAAGTCGAAAGGCAGTTCCCCATACTCTTCATTTTTGAGAATTATTAATTAATTAATATTTTCACAAGAATGGCTTTTAAGACCAATTTTTTTTTTATTTTTTTTTCGATCAGCCAGAATTCTAAAAATACATTTTTATTTGTTTGCTTTAACAGATACAGTTTAATTTAATGGGCTTTCATTTTTTTCTTAATCAGAATCTTGGATTAAATTTCTGAAAATGTTAGTGATTTAAATCTTCTTTTTGGCTCTCATCAATTTATCATAGAGATTAGCCTTAACTAATAAAACATTCTGTTTAGTAAGTCTTGGCGAATTTAAATTATCAAGAAGTTAATCTGCATCATCATTTACTGACAGAAATAATCTTTTCAAATCTTTTGTAAGTTCCTTTGCCATCTTATTGCTTTTATTTAATAAATCTTAGATCTCTTTATTTCTTTCTTCAATAATTTGTAACCTTTGATTAAAGAAACTGAATTCTTTATTCTTTATTGAATCTCTCCTACCAGATCTCATGCTCTTTTTAAGTAAGCTAATCTATTCAGCCTCTTTTTTACTCCCATAAAGTTCTTAAAATTCAATATTGAGAATTGCCACTGGCAGTGAGAAGATAACTGTATTGGCCATTAATGCCATAATGCAAGTTACTATTATACCAATAATAGACTTTGGAACATAATCTCCATATCCAACAGTTGTCATTGTGACAATCCCTAACCAAACTGCATTTTCTATTTCTAAATCATTCTCTGTATGCTCTGAATAATATAATACTATGGCATAAGCAAGAGTTATTTATAAAAAGGCTATGATTAAGAAGTAAAACTGAGAAATGCAATCTGCTACACTTTTATACAGAATGTCTACTCCTTTCAAATATCTCTTTATTTTTAATATTCTTATCACTTTAAACAATTTCAAAATTCTAAATCCATTTAATGCAGTTTTACCATACATCAATGAAATTATACTAAGTGGAGCTATTGATAACAGATCTATCATTAATTATTAATCTACCTATAATATTCATATGCTAATATAAAAATGCCTTTAAGGGATACCCATATACAGTATAAGTCGACAATCGAAGTAAATATTCAATAGCAAAAACAACAAAAATAAGGATTTCACAATTATTGCTTAAATCATTATAGGTTTAATTACTAGTTCAGAATAATGTATATACTTGTCAAATAGCGAATCACAAAGTATTTAAACTTAAGATAGCAAAATAGTAAAACAAATAATAAATTATATTAATCCCGCTAATCTACTTGATGAAGGATCTTCTAATAAGATAAATAATATTTTTCTAAATTAGTTCAACTATTCTTTGAAATCGTTAATCCTAACCTAGATATCTTTTGGTGGTACATGCATAATATAAATTTAATCTAATAATATAAAAATTAATTGAAAAATTTATCTTCACTAATTTTAATCCTGTAGAGTGTTTCGATGCATACTCACAAGTTGATTAAGCAACTAATTACTAAATTATTTTTCTTTATACTTACAGATAAAATTCTGTAGCAATTTTCAAAAATCAAAAGAAACGATTTAGAATTAAATTTTAATAAATTAAGAAACTCTTGTGTTTATGATAATTTATAAATATAAAACTCAATTTAAGTTAAGTAATTAAGAATTTTAATTAATTCTTAGCCTAAAATAAGAATTAATATAATGAACTTTAATAAAACACTTCACATAATAATTATATTAGAAGATATTAATGTATCAAAAACTTTATAAAAATTAAAAGAATAAAGTCATTAGTTTTTTGAAGATTTAAATATCAACAACAAAAGGAATTAAAAATTATACAAGAGATGATTGATCACTCTTAATTAATTTATATCTACGAATTCAATTTTAGATACTTATTAGATTATTTTTAGGTATTATTTATTATGAATTAGTTATATTTGATTTATTAATCTATTATATTCTATAAGGAATAGAAACAATACACATTTTTAGTTAAGACAGTCATCTTTAAAAACCTAAGAGCTTTTATGTATTGATTATTCATGAATTCTTAATAATATTATATATGAGCAATTATCTATAATCTTTTGATTTAGTATATTGATTTTGTATTAGAAAAGCATAGAAACTAATCTTTGAATGAAAATTGATAATGCTCCATATATTGGTAGGATCATAAAAATATAAGAAAATGATATATAAAAGTGGATTTCATATAATTAATATAATTATTAAAGTTAATGATGACCTCGACATAATCATAATTTAATTTCATAAGGAAACAGATTCCAAAAGCTCCTAATTCTCGATAATTCAGTAGAGAAAAGAGTTAACCAATGTTGAATCCTATTACCCCAACTGTATGAATGATGTTTATACATAAAAGGCGAAGTTTCGCATTCATCATAATAATCAGTTTTTAAGTAGAGAGAAGATGCAAAAGACTAGCAACAACTTTTTTAATAACACGGCTGAAAGTACAAAAATAACAAAAGCTTAGAATTAATCACTTCTTCGAAAACCAGAAGCTGATTATAAATAATTGATATTTGATAAAGAGGATTAAGAAGAAGAACAGCAATTCTAAGTACTTTGCTAAACTTTGGATAAAATTTTGTGATTTTTTAGCAAAATAAAACTGTTTTTTAATTTAAACTCAAGCTATTCATTTTTTTCATTTTGTTTTATTTAATAAATTTATTTCAAAATATTTTTATAATGTACAGAAATTATGATCCAACTGCATCGCCTGCACTTTCACACTAATCCTAGGATGATTACGAATAAAAAATCAAATAATTGCTGAGAGCCAATGATAAACTTGTATGTATTGAACTCATAATTAGAATGTTGTTGTTAGAGAAGCACTTGCTGAGAATGAATAGCTAAAGGGAAACATTGATGTGCTCTACAAAGAAAATAAGGATCTTAACTAAGTCAACATTGAACTCTGTGATTAACTTGAAAAAATAAAAAGGAATACAAGATAACATTCGATGCATGATAAACCTATAAATGATTATGAATAGGAAATCACATAATTAAAATTATTGTTACAAGAAAAATAAAAAGAGGTTAACTCTTTTAAAATAAGATATAATGAAGACTTACAAATAAAATTGGATATTGTGGATAAAGGAATTAATGTAAGATATATATTAAATATATATTAGTCTAATAAATTGAAATAATTGGAGGAGTAAAACTAATAGTTGATATAAGAATTAGATTTGATAACCAAAAGACTCTTAGAGAGAGATAATGCTTAAGGGAATGTTGATTATGAAGAATTATTGAGAGAAAGAGATTAAGAAATAGAAATACTAACTTAATAAATCATCCAAATTTCTAATAATAAATAAGTCAAACAATTTGATCCAAGCAGCGAAAAGAAACAAATAACTGAGACTGAGGAATATTATGGTTAAATAATAAAAGAATTATAAGAGAAAATCGAATAATTAAGAATAATAGTTATAGAGAAAGATGATTAATTGAATCAAGGTTAAAATCAAAATGTGCTAATTGAGATGGAAACATTATAGGTTTAATTGGTATAATACAAAATAGAAATAGAAGGATATAAGACTAGAATGTAATACATTCAAAACGAATTATCAGAGAAGGATCATTTAATTGAGGATTTATAGAATATTATTAAAGATTTAACCAAAAAGCTTTAAAATAAATACCCAAATGACAATCAAAATCCTAATTAAAGAAATCCAGGAGAAGCAACAAAAAATGCTGCTGATATTTACTAAGAAGATGAAGATAATTAAGACAATCCTGATTAGAAAGATCAAAATGAGGAGAAAGAGAAAAAGAAAAAGAAGCACGGCTTGGAGGGAGCTAAAAAAAGAGATGATGAGGATTCAACTAAAGAACTCCAAAAAATTATTGCCAATTTGAAAGCAGAAAATTAAAAACTATAATAAGAATTGAATTAAGCAATGTTCAAAATAAATCAATAAGAAGCTCTTTTAAAAGAATAAGACAAGTAACTGAATATACTAGAATTAAGAGAAAAGGAAATTAGGCAATTAAAGGATTAATTAAATAAATAATATAAACTAGAATAAGAAAATAAATAATTAGAAAAGAAAGTTGGAGAGTTAGAATAAAGAGTTTAAGATTTAATGCTTGAACTTGAAAACCATGATTCAGATAATAAATTGAATTAGAAAAGTTAATAAAAAAAAGAGGCTGAATACTAAAAGGCACTCTAAAAATAAAAGGATGAATTATTGGCCAATTAAAAGAAGATAGATTAAATCAATAAGCAAATGCAAGATGAAATTAACTTTTTCGAAGATTAAATGAAAGATCTACAAGAGTCTCTTAAAGTAAAAGATCAAGAAGTTAAGAAACTCTAAGAATAAATTAAGGAGCTTACAAAATCCTTAGAGAAGAGCAATACTCAAAGTGATTAAATTGAAAAATTGCATTAAGAAGCTAATTCTTAAGCATAACAATTAGAGGAGCTCGAATAAAAAGTCTAATCATAAGAGTATGACATCAAGACTAAGGAGCAGGAAATCAAGAGACTTAAAGAAAAGAATAGGGATTTGCAATTATACTAATTAAAACTAAAAGATTATGAAGAGAATATTAATAAGTTAAAAGAAGAAATTGATAAACTTAATTAGATTGATAAGCAATAATAGGAGGATATATACAAACTAGAGTAGAGTAATAAAACTAAGGAGTATTAATTAACCAAATACTAAGAATAAACCAGAGAAATGACTAATAAAGTAAAGGAGATAAATGAAGAAAAAACAGTTGAAATGAGAAAATACTTAATACAGAATGAGGAGTTATAGGAACAGATTAGAATCCTTGAAATTGAAGTTAAAAAGCTATAGAGCAATATTTAAGGTAATTAAAGAACTCCAGAAAGAACAACAAAATTATAATAAGAATTGGATGAGTTATATGATAAATTAAATTAATAAATAGGAGAAAATGGAGATCTTAAAATTTAAATATAACATCTTTAGACATAAATCAAATTAAAAGATTAAGATGTTAAGAAGTTATAAGAAAAACTATAAGAAGTTTAATAAGATTAAAATAAAGAAAATGATTTAATTAAGGAGATTCAAGAACTACATCAATAAATAAATAAACTTGAATAAAGTACCAAATAACTCTAAGATTAAATTAACAAATTAGAAAATCTAATTAAATAAAAAGATTAATAATTGAAAAACCATGAAAACGAAAAAGAATCTTGGAAAGATAATCTGACCAAGTTGGAAAACAAAATTGATGAATTAGAAACACAACAAATAAGAGAATTATAATAGTAAGATAAATTAAATAGAGAAACTATAAAAAAATTAGAAAATCAATTAAAATAAAAGGAACATGAATTAAAAAAATTGTAAGATGAGAATCGATTATAATAAGAGAAGATTTCGAGTTTGGAAGCAATGATCGAACAAATTAATGATCAATACCATACTTCTTAACAATAATTAAATGAAATTCAATTGAAATTTTAATTAACAATCAGAGAAAAGGAATTTGAAATAACTAAATTGAAATAATAATTAGGCAGTCAGAAATCTCCTGAAATATAAGCAGAAATAGATTAATTACATCAGTAAATAATTGAGAAAGAGACAGAAATAATAAAAGCAAGGGAAGATACATCAGAGTTGTAACAAAAAATAAGGAATTATGAATTAGATTTTAAGAAATTATAGGAAACTATTAAAGATTATTAAAAAAAGTAAGAAAGAATTTCTCAATTAGAAATCTTAAATAGTGAACTCAAAATAAAAGATGAAACTAATTAAGTTAAAATTGATGATCAAAATTAGACTATCAATAATTTAGAAGCTATTATTTAATCAAAAGATTAAACTATTAAGAAATTGCAAGAATAGCAGAGAGAATTTACAAAAAAGGGCGATTAATTGATAAATATTTAAAAGAAATTGATAGAAACAGAACAGTAGTTATAGGAACATATAGAGAATGATCATCTAAATTAAGAAAGAATTAAATCTTTAGAGTAGTAAATCTCATCGAAAGATTAAGAATTGAAAAAATTAAAAGATCAAATTAAGGAAATTTAGAAAGAAAATGAAAAGCTTTAATCAAAATAGACAGAGATGGAATAATTATAATAAAAGCTAACAGAAAAATAAAGTAAAATTGAAGACTTAGAAAATTAGATTGAAGAATTATTAAAAGAAATTAAAAAAAAATCTTAGGAAAATTAACTCCTAGAAGAAAAAGCTTAGTAATTAAAAAAGTTAGAAGAAAAGTATAAGAAATAATCTAATTTGGTTGAAGAGCATAAGCAAAGTAATGACTAACTTGAAAATAAAGTGAAGTCATTGGAAGAGTAAATTCAAATAAATGATGATGAAAAATCAAGTTTAGAAAGAGAGATTGAATAGTTGAGAAAAAAGTTAGAGGATGAAAAGAAGTAGTTTGAAAATAAATTAAATTAATAGGCAAAACAAAAGGATGAAATCATTGCAAAATTAAAAGAGAAAATCGCAGAGTTAGAAAAATTGGAGGCTGAACATTTTGAATTTACTTAAGAGGTTGAAGACTTAAAAGAAGAGTAAAAGTCTAGAAAGAATATAGAATCAAAGCTTTAAACAGAAAATAATGTTTATCAAAAATAAATTAAATAATTAGAATAACAGATAAAATAATTGTAAGATAAATTGAAAGAAGAGGAGGAGGCTAATAAATAATTGTAAAATGAGATGGACTAAACAATGTTGAATATCAAAGTTAAAGATGATATCATCTATAAGTTATAAGAATAAATTAAGAAGTTAGAGTTTTCTGTTAAAGAAAAAAAGGAGGAGATCAAAAAGTTCAAATAAGATATTTCAGAAAGAACTAGTCAGATTTCATAAATGGATTTGATTGATCGAGAAAAAGAGGAATTAAATGATTAAATTAGATTAAAAGAGAAGGCTGAAGAATCACTAAAATAAACCATCACAACGCTTTAATAATAAATCACAAAACTAACAAAATAAGTTTAATAATTGACTTAAGATAAAATAGAGCTTTAATCATAAATAGATATATTAATTGATGTAGAGAATTAAATAAAACTTAAGGAGATAGAAATATAAAGATTAATGCAAATAGAGAATGATTATAATAGATAGAAAGAAAAAATTAAAACATTGGACAAGACTATTGCGGATCAAATTCAAAAAATAAAAATTTACTAAGAGTATGAAAAATAAACTATTGAGCAAATAAAAAATTATGAGTAAGATTTAGATGAAAAAGAACAAACCATCCAAAATTTAGAACAGGAAATTTCAAAATTAAAGTAATAAATTGAGGATTATTAAAAATAAATTGCTAAAATTTCTAAGGAGAAAGAAAATGTCAGTTAAAAGGTTAAATCAACTGAAGTAAATCAATAGAAGAAATTGGATTAATTAGAGGATGAAAAACAAGAATTACTAAATGATTTGCAATAATAAAATTCTTTAATTGAAAATTTATAGAATCAACTTAAAGTTCTTTAGGAAAACTATGATAAATTGAAGAAAGTAGAGAAAGAAAAAGAAGATATAAAAAAAACAAATGATAACATTGAAAAGAAATATAAAGATTCAATTAAGGAGTTAGAAAAAGAAATTTAAAGGTTGAAAGACGAAATGATTAGAAAAGAGCATAACAATTCAAAGGAAATCGAATAGCAGATTGATAAAGCCTAGAAATTAAAACAATAAAACACTTAATTAGAACAAACCATTAAAAATTTATAAAATAATGAAAAGAAACTAAAATAATTAGAGGAGCAATGTAATTAAATAAATGAGAGATCTCAAGAAAAATTGAATAAAAAAGATTAAATAATAGATGATTTACAAAAATAAATAAAAGATTTGAATGAATAAATTAATAAGTTGAATAAGATTTTAGGCAATAATTCTTAAGATGAAGGAGATGTGATTGAAGATTTTGCAGAAGATGTTGATGTAGATGATAACAAGAAAACTAAAAAGAAATACGAGAAGGAATCAAAGAATGATAAAAATGATTAGAAGAACGAATAGAAGACTGAATAGAAAACTTATCGTTAGTTGGAAAAAGAGATTGAAAAATTGACATAAGAAAATTAAAATAAAACATAGAAAATAAAAGAATTAGAAGAATAGCTGAAGAAAAGTTAAGAGTAAAATTAAAAGGATACTTAAGAAAAATAATAAAAGAATTAAAAAGAAAACGAGTAGAATTAGACAATAAAGAAATAAGAAACAGATATTAAGAAAAAGGATGAACAAATAAAGAAGTTGTAAGAGGAGATTTAAAAAACAGAAAAAAATAATAAAGAGAAGGAATATTTAGAATAAATAAAAGTACTTAAATAAGACATTGATAAAAAGACTGACCAAATTACTAAGTTATAGGAATAGATTCAAAAATTGCAAAAGGATGCTAATTCGTAGAAATAAAAAGATGAAAAATATAATAAAACTGAATAAGAACTAAAAAAGAAAGATGAAGAAATATCTAAATTGAAAGAAAAAATCGAAAAAGATTAAAAGGATAATAATGACAAAAAATAGAATGAAAAGAACCAAAATGAATTAATTAAGAAACATCAAGAGGAAATCAAAAAAAAAGATGAAGAAAATTAAAAATTAAAAGAGTAATCCAACGATAACAATAAATTAAAAGACTAGATATCTAAATTAGAAAAAGAGAAATCTCAAACAGATGATAAGATAAAGAAATAAGAAGATAAAATAAAAGAACTTCAAAAATAAATTGATGATTAAAAACAAAAGACTCCAACAAAAAATAGAGAAGATCCATAAGGATAATCAGATAAAAAACCAGGATAGTCAAATGATGCTAAGCTTAAAGAATAAATCAGCAAATTAGAGAAACAAATAGATGAACTAAAGATTCATATTATATATTTGGAAAGCCTATTAAAGCAACATGGTTATGATCCAAATAAACTCAAACCAGGAAAGACAGATCCTGACTCAAAGAATCAAACACCTAAAAAAGATGAGAATAACAATGATTATCCTGATTTGTAACAAGTCAATGTTGTCAATGTAATATTTAATATATTATTTTTAGATTAGAAGATTAATGGCAGAATATAAATATGAGAAGGATCGCTATGAGAATAAAGTAGTTCAATATACTGATGAGTTAATTAAACAAAATAATTTGGAAAAGGATGCTGAAGAAAAAATTAAATGCCTTGAGGATGATCAATTTGTTTACAATGACCCTGACAATCAAGAACCAAAAGTATATGTAGTAAAAAATGAAGCAGGGTCGAATAAAAAAGTCAAATGAATTCTAATATGAAATAGTATATGTTTTATTGAGAACTTTTTCATATAAAAAAATATTATAAAAATACTTAAAATTATTTGGATAGAAACTAAGAAATGTAATAACAAGCAGAAGTTTTATAAATAAGTATGGTATAGGAGGAAATCACAATTATAGAATTCCAAACTCTTGATGGTCCTGATTATTAAATCAGAGTAATAGAATATATTAATTAGATTAATGAAAACACAAAAAGGAAATTCGGCTAAGTGAAACTCTTAAATAATGAAGAGCGTTTTGTGAAAATCGATGATGAGGCTTAGAAATTTAAAACAACAGTTTATAAAAACCTTTAAAAGTTCATAGATGCTCATAGTTCAGATGATGATAATTAAAATCACGAAAAATTACCCTAACTTTCAAATAAATTATAAGGTAATATTGTTAATGTAAGTTAGATATAATTGAAGAAAGAGATTATCTAATATTTAAATCACTTAAAAGAAAAGACCTATTTGACTTAGCATGTTTGGCTGAATTTTTAGTATATAAAATTCTAGCTGATTTAGTGATGAAAATAATACTCTTTCATTTAGCTGGTACATTTATATATTTATCAAAAGGGAAAAATAAAGTAGAGATAGATGAATGGTTAAATAAAGAGTGAATATATAAATATATATAAATTTAAAATCATAAAAAGTAAGTCACTGCAAATCAGAGGCAATATAATTTTAAAATATATCACTGCCTAATCGAATCTAACAAACTTTAATAGAGTTTTATATAAATTAAGAAATGAATAAATTGTTCATTAATTTCAAAACTTTAAAGCTTCATGGATCTATAAGAATTGAAATTATGACCCCAACAACATACAAGATTATTAAGATGATGGAAACAATTCTTATAATAAAAGTGCTTTTATCTGTTTGAAATTCTTTTTTGTCTAATTTAATGCAATTATGATATACTATCTTCATATTATAAAAGCTCATTTTCATCATTTTCATATTGATTGTTAATTTTGATACTTCTTTAACTTTCCTTGTTATCATTCATAATATAAATTAGCTATAAATATAATTAGTTATTTTAATTGATAATTGAATATAAATCAATCCAGACACATCCAAACTATTACACCTATGCAAAGAGCTGTGGTTAAAGTTATTAAGAAAAACACTAGAAAGTTGCTAGGTCTGTATCCAGAACTTTATGTTTAGTCAATTACTATTAATCTTCCTGCTCCATCAGGGTATTATTGTTATAAATACATTTAATTGGTCACATCTTATGATAGGTATTACTATTATTATTATTATTATTATTATTAATATTATTATTAATATTGATATTGTTATTATTAGTAATTCTATTAATTATTATTTTGCATAGTTATAGGGTACTAATCTTACATTTACACATACATATAATTGTCTTATTAATTTTAATTCATAATAAATTAATTATATTAATAAAATTATGATTTAATAATTTTAGAATTTTAATCTTATATTGATTTTATTAATACAAAAATTATTATATATTGTCTAATCCGTATTTACAATTTATTTATTGGTGCCTATAATTTTAAATTTCTCCAATTATTTAAGGTCATCTGATATATTTTATGTATGAGAATATACAAGAAAGTCTATTAGTTTAAGTTTTGAAATAAATTTTGTACATGATAAAGATTTAATCTATAACGCTCTTTAAGTTTTACTATATATAGATTAACACTTGCAAAATATATAAATTTTTCTTGATTTATGTTAAAATTTTGTTATGATTTAGTTTCTAAACTTGAGAGGAGGTATTTAATTAAGGTTTTTTTCGATTGCTAAATTGGTTAATCACTGAATTCAGATAACGTCGAAATTAGAAATTGTGAAATGAGATTCAGTATTATTTTTTAGACTTCCATTTCAATTCAAAATTTAAGAATAATCTAAAAAGATAATATAAAGCTAAGAGTTAATCTTCATTTGAAACCCAAAACTATTTTCAAAAATATCAACAAATTTCTGCATGAATTTGTATTTATTTTGATCATGATGGAGTTTATTCATAGAATAAAAATTAGTTTACTATTAAATCCAAGTCATCCTCATATAAGGTTATATTCTTTTCATGTCAAATCCTTGGTAATGATGTGGGCATTAAATAATATAAAACCAAAGCTAAATATAATATTTTACAAAGATTTACTTATCATTGAATACCAATAGCAATAACACAATAAGGAGGAATATACTTGGGCATTAAGAAAATAAAGTGTTTGATTGAAAATTATATAAATAATTATTAAATGAATTAGCCTAAGAATACTAGATTCATAACTTTTACAATACCGTATGCCTAAAGTCAAGACCCATAGTTTCCTCCGTCAAATTTATTAGAAATATCGTCAACTCCTTTGGGTTGGCAAAGTTGTAGGTTTTGCCAATATCCATAAGAATTAATATTTCAATTCCAATCTGCCATAACTGTTTATAAAATGTAAATTCTATCTCACGAAAAGAAAATACCAACAAAGATAGAGGTTTTTATTGGAAGACTGTAGGGTAGAATGGATTTAGAAAATGCAAGTTTTAAAAAGATTGGCTATTTTACATTTCATTCCAAAGAACAATCAAACTGGTAAGCCAGAGAGCTCAAAACAGTATCAATCGATGAATCTAATTGCAACTATCTAAAACTATTGGTGCATCGTAATCATGAGAATAAGTTTAATCCATTTAATCAAGTTGGTATTGTTGCAATCAGAATTTATGGAGAGAAGGCAGAACTTCCTCCACCCAAAAAAGCAAATAAGGTTTAAGATAAGGTCTTGGATGAATTATACAATCCCCAATAAGATAAACTGATTGACACTAAATTGCTGGCTCATATTATTGCACTTGAACATGTAAAGTATTTCTTAATATGAGAGTCCAAAGATTATGCAATCAAGTAGGAAAACTATTAGGAAGCCAAAAAACTCAAGAACAGAATTACTTAACTAAGGTCTTTAGGAGTCTAATTGAGAGATCTGGAAGAGAGAAAAAAGGAAGTGCTTTAAAATGAGGATTATGATTAGGCTGAAGCAATCAAAGAGTAAATTCATAAATTGAAAATTGAAAATGGACTTGTAGATGAACAAGGGAATGAATATAAGCCAAATATTGATAAGATCAGACAATAGGAATTGGGAGAGTAGATAGACAATTAGGAAGATAGAAGAAATTCAAAACCATCAATCAAATAAATAGATAATAATAAGATAATTGAGGATAGTTTTGATAGAATGCCACAGGATGAATAAACATATTTAATGGAATAATTAAATAATAACAATAATAACATTACTCATATTACAAATAATCAAAATGAAAATGCAAATACAAGTTATTAATAACCTGTCTCTTTTGATTAACAACTTAAAAATGATAAACTGTTAAATTATGATGAAATGGTAATTCCAGCTCTAAAGAACAAACAAAACAATAATACTTAGATTTTGGAAGAGTACTCAGAAGTGGATAAAAGTAAATAACAAATTGAAGAATTGAGTTCTGAAAATTAGAAATAAGTTGAAGCTATCAAGCCCTATTATGGAATTGATTTCTGTAAGAATTACTTCTCTAAGAATTGGGCCCGTAGAGAGGAAGGAATTAGATGGTTAATTGAATAATTTAACAATCCCACTCAGATTAATTTATCAAATATTGATGGAGCCTTTTAAGCTACCTTATTATTGATCTACAAAGGCATTCAAGATAAAGCAGATAAAGTAGTTTATGCAAGTCTATAACTAATGTAATAGACCCTACTGAAATTGAAGCCAAACAAATTAAATGATGAAAGCCCTATAATTTTAGATAATATTGTACTGGTAATTATACTCATAAAATTAGATTCTCATGGAAAAAATGGGTGACATTAATGAGAGACACAAAGAAGAGTGCAAAAAGATTTTACTAACTTTAGCAGAAACCTAGATAATGGGTAGTGCTGGAGTAATCAATCATTTAGTAAAAGGAATTACAACAAAACCAAATTTATAATTATCATCAGTCAGACACATTTAGGCCAGATTAATGCTCATTTACAATTTAATCTAAAAATATAAGATTAATAATGAAAGAGTTCCTTATAATCCTGTTATGGATGTTGCTCTTAAATATTTAGATCACTCTGCTGAATAGGTTAGAACTTGTGCCATTTATATAATAACTGAGATTTATAAAAATTAAGGAGACAAGGTTAGAGAAAGCATAAAAGGAATTAGACCTGCACAATAGCAAATTCTAGAAGAATTATTCTATAAAATAGACAATGGGGGTAATGTTCAAACATCCTTTGAATAAGAAAAGAAACCTTAACCAAAGAAGAAATAATAACAAAATAATCCTGATTAAGTTTTTTAGCAAATTACATAAGCTTGTGAATTTTGTGGTATTGAAAATAAGGAATTCATCTAAAGTTAAAAACTTGATATGCATTTGTGGAAGGAATGTGTCATGCTTACAACTTGCTTATCATGTGCTTAAGTTGTTGAAGTTTCACAATTAACTAATCATCATTTTGAAGAATGTGAATTTGCTAAAAATTATAGATAATGTGAAACGTAATTTATTATTTAGTATGCTTTAGTTGTGGTTGTGCAGTACTCGAAAGTCAATTGGCTGAACATTAAAATAAAAAGATATGTAATTCATCACCTGGTGATACCTGTCCATTATGTTATAAAGCTATTGGATTAAACTGGAAAATTCATTTAGCAATTTGCGAGCAGTAAGAAAGAAATAAACAATAGCCTGCTCCTTAAGAAAAAAAATGATTATTTTTAAATTTTTATGATATTAGAATACTTGTTTAATCTTTCTAACCAATTATTATTATTTTAGTTTAAAATCTGATGATAATTAATTATATGTACTCTTAAGTGTTTATTTGATGATCTCATATTAATTCATTAAAATAAAGTTATAAATTATTTAATATTATTTTATATATTTTTGGATTTTTAGTAATTTTTTCAATTAAGGTGCTAATACAATGTTAAATACCCTAAAGAATAAAAGGTTTGATGGTCTGATTTAATAATTTGATTTTTCTCTTATGTTAAGATGTTTTACATTAATTTTTCTCATTATGAGATTTATCAGAAAATAAAAATTCTCACCAATATAAGATTATAAATAATAACCAATTTATTGGGAGTTATAATCACCAGTTTTATGCTATTATGCAGGTTTAGAATTTTTAATCTCATTACAAATATTTTTCAGGCAGAATCTAAATTTATTTTCTTAATTAGAATATTAATGAAAGAGGATCATTTTATTAATATCTTTTTATTTAAAATATTTTCAGAACGATAAAAATACTTTAGATATAAATTATACCTTAATAAATAGATGTAGTATAGATGAAGGATAATGTATAATAAATTCAAGCTAATTAATTTTAGTAATGGATTAATTTAACAATGACACTTAAATCACTTCCCCATCTTACTGACTTTTAACTTTTTTATGAGCTTCCTTATTTCGAGTTTAGTGATTTAAGTGATGATTTGATTGGCTGATTAGAATTGGAGAAATTTTCTATTTTAATTTTTTGAGAAGTAGTCCTGCTTCGATTGTCATCTTTGGGTGATTTCTCTTAGAAAAAACTTAGAGTTCTTCGGCTTACTTTGATCTAAGGAATAAATTGATTGGGCTCAATCAGATCTAGACTAATGAATGGTAACTATGTGATCAGGGGTTAAGATTGTAATTTATATATTGATTCATTCTGTTCTTGCTTGTAAGTCTCGTTAAAAATGGCTCTATTCTTTGTAGACATTATAGTTTAATGGCCAATATATTCATCACAAACTTCAGTAGTTAAAGTGAGTTATTGAGCTTTACATAAATTTCCCATTTTAATAAATTAATTATAATCAAAGTAATTTTTTCAATTTGGCATATTATTCTATAAGGAGACTGAGCTCATTTCTATTCGGCAAATCATAGATTTTAGGCTCTTTCAAATTAAGTGCTGTTTCATGTATTTTCTAAATAGGAATAAAGATATACACGCTTTTAATCTTTTTCTAAGTATGTATGCGAAATGTACTCCATCCAAAGTACCCTTTGCTTTTTGTTGTATTCATCGATCACTTAATTCATTATAGGTCTACAAGTAAATGAGATTATCTTACACATCAATGACAACTTGCTGTTTTTCAAAGAAGAATTGGTTTTCTCTTTACCTTTTTAAATCATAAATGATATCAGCGATATTTTCTTTGATTAATTTCCAAAATTTGTCTCTAAATAACCTCTTCTTTGTTTTGAGAAGACGAAATTTTCTTTAAATGAATATAACTAAAATAAATGATGAACTGTACCTTTATTAAGAGTACTTTAGTGTTTATTGAGGATTGTTAGAAAAAGGAGAATTCTATCCATAAATTTAGTAATGACAAATTCAGCTTTTTATTTAGTTTTAGATCTAATAATACTGGCAAATTTGTTTATGACACATCTGCATTTGAAAATGGTCCTCTCTTTTGCATTGTCACCATACTCTTTAACATCTATCAAAGCTTTCGTTTTGATTGCCCATACCAATAGCTTTCCTTTTGCTACAATCTTTTACTTTCTTCTTTGCTCCTGTAAACAAGCGTATACATATTCAGAAATAACGAACAAACTAAATATTTGAATCCAGTTCTTTTATGCGAATTCAATCATAGCCTTCTTCTGCTTAATTTACTTTTCTATCTCTCTAAATTGAATTATCTAATCCTTCACTAATAATTTTGATATTTTGTCTAATTATTTGTCCTCAATAAGAGATTATCGCATGGATTTGGCCATTTTTTACTTTTATAATCTTTCTGATTATACTGAGAGTATTTTATTCAATCTATGACTAACTTGATGGTGTGCCACAGACAGATTTCCCAATATCTTATCTTTTGGTTGAGGTTTGAGTGTTTAAGGGAAATTATCTTGAATTAATTCAGAGGGTTCGAGTTATTATTTGACAGGGGATTTAATGATTTATGAGTTGCCAAATGAAAAGTTGATGGAGAATTCGAAATCTACTTCAGAATAGAGTGTAATAAATAAATATTCTTCACTAAAATAATGCTGATTTTTTTCAGAAAAGATTTTGGCAAAGCGAGAGTGTATTATGTATTCAGCATTGAATTTAGTGGGAAACTCTGCTTTTGTCGATAGGAATATTTTTAGAGAGGATGTTTGAACTCTATCTGGAACATTGAAAAAGACATGTATAGGAGACACTTTGCCTCGTAATTTCATTCTAAAGTAATTGAATTTGAATCGAGTTATTTTGATTCGATTTTAGTCTCCGTGCATCAGATCCGATTATATTAGGCTATCATGAGTTTGAATTAATTAATTTTTGCTTTTGCGTTTAACCTCCAAATACTAATTCGTCTAATAAGAAATAGGTTCTAACTTCTCTAATTAATTGATAGACCTGTAATTTTTTTCAAATTCACTATAAACTTCAATGATTTCTTCGTCGAGTTACATAAGTTTCGAACTAATGTCCCCTAAGTTTATACGATTTCTGTTTTTAGATTAGGTTGTTGTGCATTCAATGGAATACATCGAGGAATTGGCAGATTGCGATTAATTTATATTGTAGTTCAGAACCCGATTCAATTCTTATTGTTTAGGACTAATTTCTTTAAAGCTATGAATGTTTTGGTTTGATGTTAGCAAAAAGGTGGATGAGGATCTAGAGCGAATAAAAATCTTAATTACTTTCTAACTGGACTGACAATACTCAGATGCGATTTATTTATCGATGCTCTTTATTCGTTGTTTTTTATTATCATATTATTAATCATAATTTTATAAAATAAGAAATTCAAAGATAGCAAATGAATCAAACTTGTCATCTATCTATGGATATCGCTGATTAATTAAATTAATAATAATGAATGAGGATATCTAGAGTTTTATATAGGGAGATAAAAGTCAATGCTATTCAAATATATGAGAATTATGAATTAAACAATTTTGAATAAATCTTATACCATTATAAAGAGATATTATTTTATTTAAAGTTATTCATATAAAAATTATTGAAATTGTTGGATTTTATAATTATTAATTGAGTAAATGAAGATAGTTATCTGTAATTGATATAGATATAGTGTGGATCATCAATACAATTAATTAGGCAATTAATATTTATTAATATATATAATTCAAAAATGAAAAAGAGAGATCTCAAACTAGTTTTAATTGGAGATAGTAAGAAATTGATTAATCTTAGGTGGTGTCGGGAAATCATCATTTGTTTCAGCATTAATAAATTAAATACAAAACAAAGCATCTGTTTTAGATAAACATCCACCAATCAATTTACCTCCTGATATGCTCAACCACCCTGAATGTATAACTACTCTAATCGATACAAAATGTGCTCCTCATTAATTACCCCAGGAGATTTAGATAGCTGATGTGATTCTCCTAATGTATGCAATTGATGATGACGGATCGAGTGAAAGATTGAAAAGATTTTGGTTGAAAGAATTAAGAGACAAAGAATACAAATAGCCTGTAATAATAGTAGGAAACAAACTTGATTTATTGGGTTTGGAAGAGGATCGAGATTATCATAGGATCTTCAAGGTAATCAAACAATTAGTGAAGGATTTCAACGTATTAAATTGAATTAATATAGTCAGTTGAAATGGGAATCGAGTGTTCATCCATAAAACAATAAGGCATCTATGATGTGATAAATTGTGCTTAAAGATCATTCCTCTATCCATTAGCTCCTATTTACAGCATAGCAGACAAGGCATTAACAGAAGGATTTAAAAAGGCATTGACTAGGATATTTAGGATTTGCGATAGGGATGGAGATGGAGTATGGAGTGATACAGAACTGGAAAAATTCTAAAAGAAAGTGTTTAAGAGATAATTAGATTATAGTGACATTGCTGGGATAAAAGACATGATAGAAGAGGAATTGCATGATAACTCAAACAAAACAGTCATTACTTTAGAAGGATTTATAGCATTGCAAAAAAGAGGGATAGAATTAATGAAGATTCAAATCTGTTGGACTATACTACGCTTTTTTAGGTACAAAGATGATTTGACTTTGGATGAGAATATTTTCACAAATGAGTATGAATTTAAATGGAAATTAGATTAATATTTGATTACGATGCAGGTCAAACTGTTGAATTGAGTGAGATTGCCTTATCTAAATTGAAATAGATATTTGAAATCAGATGCAATTCCAGGTTTTAATAAGGAAATACTCTAACTCAGTAACAATTTGATGATATATTTTACCCAGTGATGTGTAAAACTAATTTTCCTCATCTTTGTCAATATTATCCTTAGGAATAAAATGTTATCACTTTAGCTCAATGGTTGGCAATGTGGAAGTATTCAAATCATGATATCCAAGTGCCTTTTCCTTCTTTAATTACAAAGAAGCCTACAAGTTGTTGTGTTATATTGGAATTGAAATGAAATTATCAGACACCTTTAAGGAATAAAATAGGAAGGATTCTTGGGTTTCCGTTTAAAAGAATATTGATAGAAAGGTGTTCCATATTGCCATTGTCACCAGAAAGAAGGTTGTATACTCTTCCTTATCTCTTAGGGTTAATTTGAGTAATGGTTTTGTAATCAGCCCCTCATTATCACATCTATTCAAAGTAAAACATACGCTATTAGTTTGTATGATGAATTGGAGGCTGAATAATAAATTGAAAAAAGACAACTAAGCATTATAGACTTTTTACTTATAGAAAAAAATTGTCACTTTTAAACTGCCCAACTTATTCCTAATTTGCTCTATGATGATTAATAGAATTTCTGGACCTAAATTGTTAAGGTTACAGAGATCTTACATAAAAAGTATTCACTTTCATTATACTTATAGTCCATTTGGTTATTCTAACTCTCAAATGTAATAATTGAAAAAACAAAATAGCCTGTCTATTGTTGAATTAGCTAGCGTAATAACACTCCTGACATTTATATTGACAGGAGGATACTTTTTAGGTAAAAAGGTATTGTAAAAGAATAAATGAATTAATAAAATAATTACGATGATATATAAATGCTTTTGTAATTACCTATCTACATTTAATTGCTTTTATGTTTTCTTATTAATTGTTATTATTTTTAAGCTAAGTCGATGTCTTAATTTAGTTTAACTTTTATATATCAAAGATATAAAAAGTTTATTAATTATTAATTTTAAATAGGACAATTAAATGAAACCAAGAGATAAGGAAGGTTCAAATGAAAATCTAAGAGTCGTTATTAGAGTTAGGCCTCCAATGGCCAGAGAAATCAAGGACGGCAAATTTATATCCACTGTATCTCAATCTCTTATCTAACCCAAGGTTTAAGCAGCACCGGATAATCAATAGCTTTGCATCTTTGATTATCACGCTATCGAGTTGGTTCCAGATGAGGACTTAGAGGCTTTCGTTTAAAATCCAGCCAATTACACCATCCATTAGTTCACATTTGATTATGTTTATGATTAAGAGAGCACTTAAGTGGAAGTCTATGAGACTACTGCAGCATTGTCAGTCGATTCTACACTCTAAGTACAGTATGGAATTGCTATCGAAGGGATATAACTCCACGATTATTGCTTATGGTCAGACAGGAACAGGAAAAACCTACACAATGCATGGATTTTCATTCACTCCAAACTCTGATTAATTAGGAATAATACCTCGATCTCTCCATAGCATTTTCACCCATATTCAAATGAAGTCTAATTCTAGCACTACATTCATGGTGAGAGCATCATATTTATAAATTTATAATGAATCTATCAGCGATCTCTTGAGACCTGATCATCAATAATTGAATATAAGAGAAGATAAGAAGAGAGGGGTCTTTGTAGAGAATTTATCAGAATGGGCAGTACGGTCTCCACCTGAAATCTATTAATTGATGCGAAGAGGTAATTCTAAAAGAGTTACTGCGAGCACAAGAATGAACGATACATCATCTCGAAGTCATGCAGTCTTCATAATAACAGTGGAACAAATCGAAGAAACCCCAGATGGCAAAAGAGCAAAGGTTGGAAAATTGAACTTAGTCGATCTGGCAGGTAGTGAGAGAGTGAGAGTGACTGGAGCAACTGGTATTCGTTTGGAAGAATCTAAAAAGATCAACCAATCACTTTCTGCCTTAGGAAATGTTATAGCTGCATTAACAGAATTGAAATAACCAAAATCACATATTCCATATAGAGACTCAAAAATAACAAGATTATTAGAAGACTCATTAGGAGGAAATTGTAAAACCACCTTTATGGCAATGATATCTCCAGCCATTGATGCATTCAGCGAATCTCTATCCACTTTAAAGTTTGCCAACAGAGCCAAAAATATTAAAAATACGCCCATGGTTAATCAGGATTAAGATCAAGGGGCCTTACTCAGAAAGTATTAATTAGAAATACAAAAACTCAAATAAGAATTAGATGAAAGGAGTAATTTTCCTCTTGATAATATGGTCTCAGAATTGGAAAGAGAAAGACAAAAAGCCTTGGAAGACAAATAAGAGGTCCAAAGTGCATATGAGTAAAAAAACAAGGACTTAGATTAAGAGAGGTAATTGAGAAAGTAATTGGAAGAGAAAATCTCGGCTTTGAATTCTTAAATGCTTGTTGGAGGTTAAAAAATTGAAGAAACTCCTTAGTTTTAGAATGCTTTAGAAAAACAATAGAAATTGATTAGATAACAATACTAAGAGAAATTACAAGAACTAGAAAAAGAGAGATAAAGCATTGAAGAAGATAAAGCCTAGACAGACAAATACAAATAATTGTTACTAAAGTAAAGAGATATCATGATTGCTTTGACTAATAGACTTAATGAAAGGGATGATACCATTCTACAATTATAAGAAGAACTAGATGCCTATGAAAAACTTCAAAAAGAATTAGAAGATATCATTTAAACTAAATAATCAAGGGTTGAATAATTAGAAGATATTATAAATAAAAATAATTTAGAAGTTCCTAGTAACTTTATTGTCAATTCCAATCAAAACACAATTAATAACAAACAATAATTACTTCTAGCTGAAATGCCATCTTCCAAAATGTTATTAATTGCTGATCCTTCTTCAAATAGTTATATTCAAACTTTACCTTAATAATCCACTCTTCATCACTAATCAGATGCAGTATCTTAATATGAATTGAAAAATTAAATTGAAATCAACACTAAACTACAATTAGACTTGAAAATAAGCAGAATGGAATAGGAGAGATACAAAAAAGAAGTGTCTTCTCTTCAAAATCAGATATAAAAATATGAGAATGATAATACAATTGATTAAGCAAAAAGTATCATATCCTTATATTTTAGAATCTGTTGATACCATTGTCCTCCAATTATCAAAACCAGCTAATGGAAATTCTTTATCTCTGGTTGCTTAAGAATTGCAAAAACTATAAAATATACTAACTGAGAAAGAAGGATCACCTAAGAAACCAGTTCAAAAAGTTTAATAGGAATCGCCCAATCCGAAAAATCAAGAAATCATAAACAAACTGATTTCAAGGCCTTCTAAATCAAGTAATCTGCTTATTCCTTAATAAAAAAAGATAAAGTAAAGATCAGATGATGAATTATGGAATTGAATTAATTTAAATCATCTTAGTTATTGTAATTATATTAATTTAATCAAGTACTCTATTTCAATCATAATGGACTTTCTTCATTCCCTATTTCACAATCTCTCTGTCACATCTAGGTCCTCCCACTAAACAGGAAATTACTGTTATTGGATCTATGCTAAACCTTTTGCTGTAATTCTTATAGTCAAACTCTTTTACAATTCTAGTTACTTATTCATCATCCAAATGTTATAACTTAATATATTTTATGATTTACTTTTATTTTTAGTTTATTTAGTTAAGAGTTACATTTATCGTAAGAATGAATGGCTTGCTCCTTTAAAACAGTTGAGGAGTCGTTAATTTGAGACACATCCATAGATCCTTATTATTTTATATGTTATTTGATTCTTTTTTAAGTCTCTCTATAAATGAGTGTCCCATTTGTCACTGGCAAATTCTTTTGGTTTAACCTTGTTAACATATTTTCTAAATTCTCTACATCTTCATTTGTTAAACCTAAAGTAATGGGACCTAACTTATCGAGTTAATAAGTATTTCGGCTACTCTTGGTTGCTTCTAATCTTGCCTATGTCAAATCAATTGCTGATAGTTTATGACTATCATAAGGGAAGATGGATGGCAATGACGATACCTCTAAAGAATCATTATGAGATAAGCTTTATTGTATTATAGCCAAACTATTATCAAGGGATTATTCTTGTTTGTATTATTTGAAAGATTCACTCAACTCTTTTTCTAATTAGTCTATTTCTTATAACATAAGAGCTTTCTTTATGATATATAAATTATACTTGCAATAAAAATTCCTTTGATTTTTAATCTAAATATTCTGGGAAACATGAATAAGAGGATTTCTCATTTAGTGAATTCAGTCTTGATACAACCCAGGCTATTCCTGTGTTTCTAACATCTTAACCATTTTTCAGGACTTAGAAATAAAAGTTTATAAGACATCTTTATAAATTCTTATTCTCCTTTTTTTTAATTTGGATATCAGAATCTATTTATTCTAATGTTTTTTTATTAAAAAGTATTTTATGTTTATATGCTATTCTGCTTTCTCTTAAGACATTCAAATCTTATTATAACTCCTTTTCTTTATTTTACTAAGACATAAATTGGTTGACTAAAGACATTCGGGATTTACTCATTTACATACTGGTTGGTAACTTAGGATCCTTCATATCTTATATTTCCTATTACAATTGTTAAGATAACTATTTAATTTGAATAACTTTATCATGAAAATCATGAGTTTCCAATCTTAGTTTCTCTTATGCTGTGACTCTAGCATCAATAATAGTTTCATTTTGTCTAATCTTTTGAATTAATTTATTGGCTATTAATTATGATTATTTTTTATAAAATTTAGCCTTTTCAGCTTCTGATTTGAATTACGAAATCTGAACTTTAACAAGAGTATTATACATTCTTTAAATATCCTCATTGGTGTAATCGAAATTTGTAGTAAGGCCTTTCTCTTCATCAACATTAAGTTCTCCAATTTCTTTAAGTTCATTTAAGGCTACTGTTGATGCTTTCTATAGATATTATTCCACAGAACGTTCAACACTCAGATCTCCATTTAAACCCTTAAGCTATTTGGCCTTAGAAACTGCATTTTTCAAAGCATCCTTATAAGATTTAGGAGTATTTTGAGAATTCGTAGGTGAGCTTGATTTGTCAATCTTTAAGTGCCTGGTTCCCTATTGTCGAAGCAAAGGCTTCTTTATCTCAGTTTACGCTCTCTCTTTGCTTCTAGGCAGAGAGATTAGTGCTTCAGTCTCTACTTTGTTATTTTATAACTTCTTCTTTTATTCCTTCATTTTCTTTGTCCATTATTTAAGGTCTGTCAATTAATCTTGAGATTCATCATATTCTTTTGACTGAGTGGCTAGGGATTCCTCTTTAACTTTTTATTTCCTCTTTAGTACTTCACCATCAGAATTGTCTTCCAGCTGTTCATAAATTTCGGAGAGAAGTAACTGTTTATCTGGCTCTTTGGCTAATTGAGATCTGACTTGCCTTTCAATTTCATTCCTTTCATTTTTTTTGTATAGTTTAGTTATCTTTAATGCTTGTAAGTCATACATACTGTGAACTGATTTGAATTGAATTCCTGGTTTGTCTTCCCCTTTTGGGATGTCATAACTTTTGATAGAGTTAAATTGATCTTGGAGCAGTTTCTTACAGATATCTTGAATGGCTAATTCACCAATACAGTTTGTGAGAGATTTGCTCTTCCTCATTAGTTCATGTGCATTTGATACAATTTTTATAGCTTTGTATCCTTTATGCTATCCTACTTCCCCTTAAACCTGCATGATTTAATTCATGCGCTATCTGCGAATAGATTACATTATTAAATTAATTATGGAGTAAGCATTCAGACATAAAATTTCTATTGCACCGATGATTGATATTACTTATGAACACTTCAGAGTGTTCTTTAGGCTACTGACTAAGAATTGTGTTCTATACACAGAGATGATTCACGAAAATGCTATTAATTTAAGTCGAGTGTTAAAGCCATTTCCACTAGTATTAGACTATTCATAAGTTGAACATCCAGTGGTTTGCTAATTGGGAGGCAATGACCCAGAAAAATTGGCTAAGGCTGCTTAAATTGCAGAATAAGCAGGATTTGATGAAATTAATCTTAATGTTGGATGTCCTTCTGAGAGAGTTTAGGATGGTGCTTTTGGGGCTTGTTTAATGAAGGAGCCTCATTTAGTGGCTCAGTGTATGAAAAAGATGAAAGAAGCTGTGAAAATACCATGTACATTGAAGTGCAGACTTGGAGTTGATAACTTAGACTCATACGAGTTTGTGAGAAATTTTGTTGAAATAGTATACAAAGAAGGTGAGGTTAATCATTTTATAATGCATGCTCGTAAAGCATTCCTAAAAGGGTTGAATCCACATGAAAATAGAACAGTTCCACCACTGAAATACGATTGGGGTATAATTGCTATACATTTAAAATAGTTTATTAATTAAAGAAAGAATTTCCTGAAATTAAGTTTACTTTAAATGGGGGTATTAAATGTACTGAACATATTGATTAAGTTTTGCCAAATGTGGATGGTATTATGATTGGTAGATCAGCCCATGAGAATCCATGGATGTTTAGTGATTTTGATAGACTATACTACGGTGGAGAGAATTAGAATTACAATAGAAAGGAGATATTAGAAGTAAGAATTATTATGTATAATCAAGCAATATGCAGAGTTTGTGGAAGAGAAGAGGGCAACTGGTTGTAAGGTATCAACTCAAATGTGTGTAAAACCAATAATTAACCTATTCAATGGTGAATCCAACAACAAAAGATATAGACAGTTCTTAAGCAACACTGATAATCACAAATTGGGATTTAGAGGGATGATAAATCAAGTTATTGAACATATGCATGAGTGGAACCAGGAAGCATTGTTGGTCAGACCTAATGATTATAAATTCTGATATTAAATTTAATCGTTAAAAAAAAATGGATATTGTAGAGGAAGTTTGTAAGGATAAAACCGTGCGTTAATATGTGAAGGGCAAGTTCTTAGGGAAAGGAGGGTTCGCAAAATGCTATGAATTTTAGCATGGAGAATAAACTTATGCTAGCAAAATCATTAGCAAGGCAAGTCTTACCAGATCAAGGGCAAGATAAAAATTGATGTCTGAAATCAAAATTCATCGTAGTCTTTAGCATCAAAATATTGTTGGGTTCAATCGATATTTTGAGGATGATGAAAATGTTTATATATTATTAGAATTATGCACTAATCAGACTATGAATGAGTTACTCAAAAGAAGAAAAAGATTAACTGAACTTGAAGTGTAATGTTATCTTATGTAAATACTAATTGCACTTTAGTATTTACATAAGCATAAAGTTATACATAGAGATTTAAAATTAGGCAATCTCTTCTTGTCTGATAAAATGGAAGTCAAATTGGGAGATTTTGGGTTAGCTACTCTTATAGAATTTGAAGGTGAAAGAAAACGTACTGTTTGTGGTACTCCTAATTACATTGCACCAGAAATCTTGGAATCTAAAAATGGCCATAGTTTTGAAGTTGATATTTGGTCATTCGGTGTTATAGCTTATACTCTTTTGGTTGGCAAACCTCCTTTTGAAACCACTGATGTCAAAACAACCTACAGAAGAATCAAAATGAATGCATACTAATTCCCTGAATCTTGTATAATTAGCAATGGAGCTAGACAACTAATAAGTAAGATCCTAGTTACTGAACCATCCAAGAGATTGACTCTCTAAGAAATATAAGATCATGAATTCTTTCATGGCCTTATTCCATAATTGTTACCTTTGAGTACCTTAGCTTGTCCACCATCCTCGTAATACACGAGGTAGTATCAAAAATAGTAATCTACCAGTATACCAAAATTTGAAAACACTGAAAAACGACCTCTTGATCTCAAATAACGTCCTCACTATGCAAGTATGGATAGAATTCCTTTACGTTCCAATATTGAAAGTTGTCTTAATTAAAATTATGTCATTTAAGAACCCTAAGTCTATGTTAAAAAATGGTATTTATTATATTTATTTCTCAGGGTTGATTATTCAAGCAAGTATGGATTGGGGTATGTGTTTAATAATTTGCAATGTGGAGTCTTTTACAACGACTGTTCCAAAATGCTGATGTTGAATGACGAGTAATTTTATCATTTAACATTATAGCAAATACATTTATATTGATAGAAATGGAGAAGAAAAGGAAGGAACTCTTAGAGAACAAACTCCTGAGATGTAAAAGAAATCCACTTTGATGATTCATTTTAAAGGATATTTAATTGAGAATGAAATTGTTAGTGAAACTGATCAATAATTTTGGTAAAAAGTTTATGTTAAAAAATGGATGAAGGCAAAACATGCCATCATTTTTCGATTGTCTGACAAGACTGTTTAAGTCATTTTTCACGATAACACACAGATTATATTGACCTAACAATTAAAAGTGGTTACTTATATTGATAAAGAATTAGTTAAATCAACATATATGTTGAATACTGCTTTAGAAAGTGAAAATAACTAAATGGTCAAAAGACTCAAATACACTAAGGAAATTCTAAGTTAGATGCTTAGTGGTATGAATAATCATGGAACTGCTCCTTAGGTTGAGGCTTAACAGCCAAAGCCGTTGTAAGAAAGGGCTAACACTTTATCTTCGTTAAATTAACAAAACCTATATAGTAGCACTTCAAGATTGAAAAATTCTCTTCACAATAAATGATTATTCTATAACTTACTAAAATTAAACATATAATTACAATTAAAATAATATAATTTCCCTATTAGAGTTTTTAGTTTCATTAATTTTAAATTATATTTTATAATCATAAATTGCATAATCCATATCAATCAAATTATAGATTTAATTTGATTTACAACACTCTTAATGATAAGAAATGGAACTTCTATGCATTTTTTATACCTCAAATTGATATGGCAAAAGACATTCATTCATATAAATACCAGCTCAATTTTATTAAATAAAATGGATTTTTATATTTATTCATTAAAGACTCATGTGACGTTGTTCTATTGATTATGTTATTTCATTTATGGTCTAAAGACTTGATAATAATCTATTATTTGATTATATAATTTTTATATTATGAGAAGTCATGCCAAATAGTTAACGATTATATAAGAAAATCATTTCTAAAACCAAATCTTGGAAATAACAAAACTAATACGTATAAACAGTTTTAAAACTAAAGGTTAGGGAAAGTACAAAACTGGATTTGCATTAATTAACAAGGAATTTGAGAGATCATTGATTATGCAAACAGGATGGCGCATTCGTATTCAATTACTAAGAAGGGGAATAGTGTGCCTGATCAAGATTCTAAAGTAGTATTCTAGAGATGGGAACAAATAAGAAAGTTAATTGAACTTGGTGAGAAAGTTACAGCAATTCCTATTGTTTTATGTTGAGATGTTACAAAACTAGGCTCAGGAATATAGTAAAAATTGATAAGAAATTTAATAGAAAAGTTTTATTTGAAGGATATTCTTTATAGATTTTCTTAAATTTAAATGCTGACATTTTAATTGTCAAAATAACATGAAGATGTTCGATGTGTACTTTACTGGAAGCCAACTTGTTATTATAAGGATTCTCGATTCAATAAATTAAAATTTTAGTATAACCTAATGGTAGGACATCTGCATTTTCAGTTCAAGCTATTCGAGCCTGCTATTTCCTATTATTATGAAGCCATAACTGAATGTTAATTTCTTCTGATGGACATAATTAATCAAGATTACCACCTTAAAACCTTGGAAGATGAATATTTCAAAGTAATTTCATGGATTGTTCTTACACTCTATATTGTTGGTTTTATTTATGAATTGCAATCAGATTATAATAAATTATTAGAAACCTATAAAATAGCATTGTGGTTGTCACAAATAACAAATAATACTGGTTTATCCACTTTCATTGATGAACAATATTATCAATACTCAAACAAAGTAAGATTTGCAAGCCTAATTATTTTAGTACAGAAAATTCATGTTGGAAATCAAGGAAGTCAATTAAATCTTGGCTCCAATATTTCCCCAATCCAATCATTAAAATACTGAAGACACAAGCAATGATTATTGGACCAAAATAAACGATGGGTTTTATAGAAAATACAATAAGGAGATCAATGTAAACTTATATTCCATCTTACAACAACCTGAAGATTCTGTTTATAATAAAAAATTGTTCAGATTAACTGAATAAGAAACCACAATCTAGTCCAATATTCACACTCCTCGTTAATACGAGAAATGTAGAACATTCAATTCACTGGATGATGTAAAGATCAGTAAACAGACTACTAATAACCCTTCACCTCAACACTCTCACAGAACTCCCATTATAACACATTAGAAAAGTAAATCTTTTAAGTTCACATCCGACATTGATTAAATTCTTAAGAGATTGCCGCAAAGGGAAATTGAAACTTTTTCTTCCCTGAAGGCAAAAAAAGAATTAGACCTGTATTACCAATAAAAAGTTCTCACTTCTTTTGAAAGTGCAAATTAGATAAAATCTTTAAAATCAGTTAAACAGCAGATATCCTCATAGGAAGAAATAGATAAAGTGTGCTAATCGGATCTAATAGTGGGAAAAAAACTATTAAAATTTTAGAAGTACACTCATCAAAGAGTAGCAACTCATTCGAACATCATGAAGATTATTTCCGATATATCCAAAGAACAAGAGCATTTAGAAGGTATCAATACAGCTAGATTGGCATTATAAGGAACTTAAGACATAGAGGATAAAATGAGATTTTAAATATAATAAATCATAAAAAAATAGTCTATATTTAATGAAGGAGAATTGATGGTAATATTTATGTCATTCTAATTAGAATCTTAAATCATTGGTTTCGGATTATGAGTAAAATTTATCTAAAGCACATACAATACACGAGCTACCTATTGAATAATCACAAATTTCTAAAAGATTAAGAGAGAAAAATAACTTAATTGTTAAATCAATTGATTAAACCATCAAAAGAATACCATTAGAACAATTGAAAACAAGAAAGTCTTTTTTATCTCGTGTGTAAGAAAGTATGCTTAAAAAATGAATAAATATATATTAATTTTATTATTATTTATATTTATGGGAAATAATGTAGTTATTACTTAAGAAACAGGTATTATACTAATTAATTCCTAGTATAAATAAAAGAAAAAAAATGTCATGACAAATATGATGATTTCTTATTGTGTTAGAGAGAGTATGGATTTAATGACTTGAAATGTAGAAGTAGTGAATTTTACTATTTTTAGATTATTATCTCAAGAAATATGAATAATGTATTAAGAAATTAGACAATATGAAATTATAAATTTAACGAACATGAATTATCAATCTATTTCAATACCTTAAGATCTAAGACTTTTCAGAACTAGAGCCTCACAATCAATCAAGTAGACCTTTCCATCTCTATCTTAATCAGCAATTTCCATCCACATCTCTACATTTTCCCTTGTAGGTTCAATCTTCATCCCCATATTGTTATAAGTTTCCATCAACAATAGAATGAAATGCTTTTCTGTAATGAATCCATTATTTTCTGAGTCCAGCATTTTAAATATCCTTCTTGCCACTTGTAATCTAGCTTCAGCTAATTTACTGTATTTTTGAGGTTTATTTTAAGTTACAGAAGGTAGAACACATGACTACTTTGCAACTTATTTATTAGATTGGATAGAAGTTGAAGAACTTTAGGTTGACTTTTAGGACCCCCATCTCCTGTATGGAGATTGATATTATCATTTTGAAGGTGTATCTGCTTTATCTTCAGCCTTTAGAGTATTTAATTCAATAGACTGTGCTGTTTTATCGTTTGAAATCAGCGATTTCAGTAGTTGAGATTTCTCCACCGAAGTATTTAAAACATAAGAGTTCAATATCGTCTACTGATATTTTTCCCTTTCCCTCTCCCAGTTTATTAAATAAAATCGTTTACTATCAAATATTTCAGCATATCCTTTTTTTTGACATCAGTTTGAGATGGACTAAAATCAATATTGATGGATTTATAGCAATCAGATTGTAAATTACCAGCATCTTTTATCTCCATCAAATCATTTTTATCTGAATCATAATGCTTTATGACTTTTTAAATCAACTCTTAACATTGATCTCTATTTATCAATCCAATAAAACATATTTCCTTAAATATTTATTAAAAAATCTTTATTATTCATAATATTACAGATTTATTCATTCTATTAAACTAATATAATTCAATATTTATTTATAAATTCTATAGATTATATTTTTATAAATTTTGATATTTATTTAAATTGTGACACTGGCTACCATATCCATTTTCCACTTTATGTCATCCCAAGGTAATATTTTTAAGTAAAATCTTCTAATTTGAATTAAATTTAATGGATTATACAATATATTCTAGTTTTACTTTTAACATTAGTTTTAGAATTCTCATATGAATAATTAGAATTAGAAATTAAAATATCAGACGTTTTATATGGATAGAATTTCAATCTTCTATTCAGTTACGAAAGGCAAATCGAAAAGTAAATGCATATTAAAATTTTTAGAAGACTAAACAACCTCAAAAAAAAGACTTCTAATACAAATAAAAAATATTGATATGTATGAAGAAGACTAAAGAATGACATCCATTATGGATTAAATCCCAAGAATAATAAATAGTATAGAATGATAGTTGATATAATTTAATGGACTAGTTGTTCCTTAAAACTGAGATTCATTCATACTATTCTTGGTGGAAAATTCATCAAATGATGTTTATCTTAGACTCGCAACAAGCAGATATTATCTATAGATCAATTTAAAATGACAAAATGACAAAATCACTCTCAAAAGAAATATCATTAGTTATTATATAGGTATTATTTATAAATAATATGTCTAATTAATCTTATTTTTTAAACTATCATAATGCTTTCTATTTAAGTATTCAAAATTGACTATATGCATATATCTATTTTTGATTTTATTGAAATTTATTATAGAACAATGTTCGCTTATAGGTTTAAGTAGTTTGGATTCTGATGCTAGTAGAATTGAAGAGAACTTGTTTATAATGTAATTTTTTTTATAATAATAATCAATATTATTTATTTTGTTACGCTATTTAGCTTTCTAAAATGAAACTCCCTTTGGTTTAGAACAACTATTGCAAATCTACTCCCAAATAATTTACAAATTGTCCTTTCAAGATTAAAGCTCCTTTGACTTCCAAAATTGGATTTTGGCATATTCTGAGTATTGTACGATCAATGTTAGCTGAAAATAATATTAATAAAAACCTTTATTTCTAATTGATGGATTCTAATTTGATATTGTAAATTAAGAAATAATCTCGTTTTAAAAAATATATTTTGGTTGAATCTCCTTTACTGTTCTAATATCCCATAATCTGATAGAGCTATCATCACTACCAGATGCTACTGTAGTACCATCAGGTGAGAAACACACTGAATTAAAACAATTTGAATGTCCATCTAATTTGGCGAATTATTTTCCTGTTTTAACATCCCATAAACGGATAGACTTATCATTGCTACCAGATGCTAAAGTAGTACCATCAGGTGAGAAATACACTGAATATACAATCATTTTATAACCGTATAATTTAGCCTTTTATTATCCTGTCTTAGCATCCCATATACGAATAGACTTATCTTGACTGCCAGATACTAATAATATACCATCAGGTGAGAAACATACTGAGTTAACCTCATTAGTATGACCATCTAATTTGGCTAATTATTATTCTGTTTTAATATCCCAGAAACGGATAGACTTATCTGAACTACCAGATGCTAATATAGTACCATCAGGACAAAATTAAACTGATTTAACCTAATCTGTATGACCATCTAATTTGGCTAATTATTATCCTGTCTTAACATCCCATAAATGGATGGATTTATCTGAACTACCAGATGCTAATGTTAAACCATCAGTAGAGAATTAAACTGATTTAACCCAATTTGAATGACCATCTAATTTGGCTTTTTATTATCCTGTCTTAACATCCCAGAAACGGATAGAGTTATCTTCACTACCAGATGCTAATGTAGTACCATCAGGAGAGAAATTGACTGAATAAACTGTTTCTGAATGACCATCTAATTTGGCTTTTTATTATCCTGTCTTAACATCCCATAAACGGATAGAGTTATCCAAACTACCAGAAGCTAATGTAGTACCATCAGGTGAAAAACACACTGAATTAACACTATTTGAATGACCATCTAAATTGGCATTTTATTATCCTGTCTTAACATCCCATAAACGGATAGAGTTATCATAACTACCAGATGCTAATGTAGTACCATCAGGAGAGAAATTAATTGAACTAACCGAAGTTGAATGACCATCTAATTTGGCTTTTTATTATCCTGTCTTAACATCCCATAAACGTATAGAGTTATCATCACTACCAGATGCTAATGTTAAACCATCAGTAGAGAATTAAACTGATTTAACCCAATTTGAATGACCATCAAATTTGGCTTTTTATTATCCTGTCTTAACATCCCATAAACGGATAGATTTATCATCACTACCAGATGCTAATGTAGTACCATCAGGAGAAAAATTGACTGACCTTACATAATCTGAATGACCATCTAATTCGGCTTTTTATTATCCTGTCTTAACATCCCATAAACGGATAGAGTTATCATAACTACCAGATGCTAATGTAGTACCATCAGGAGAGAAATTAATTGAACTAACCGAAGTTGAATGACCCTTTAATTTGGCTTTTTATTATCCTGTCTTAGCATCCCATAAACGGATAGATTTATCACTACCAGATGCTAAATTAGTACCATCAGGAGAGAAACAAACTGAATAGACAGTTTTAGTGTGACCGTCTAACTATGCTTTTTATTATCCTGTCTTAACATCCCATAAACGGATAGATTTATCATCACTACCAGATGCTAATGTACTACCATCAGGAGAGAAATTAACTGAAGTAACCGAAGCTGAATGGCCATCTAATTTGGCTTTTTATTATCCTGTCTTAACATCCCATAAACGGATAGAGTTATCATCACTACCAGATGCTAATGTAGTACCATCAGGAGAGAAACAGACTGAATTAACACAATTTGTATGACCATCTAATCTATTTAACTCATGTATTTTTATTTTCATCCATTTACAATTTAACAATTATGCTTAATTCAAGTTCATTCCGCTAATATCTACATTATCAAATTCTGATTCATTCAAATTACAACCTACAAAATTTCCACCAACTAAAGAAGTATCTCTAATCTTGATATTTTCAAAAATTTATTCCCTCAAATTCACCTTCATTTTGACTAATAGGTAGAGAGAATTGGATCCACATTAAATATTAGCTTTTTATCATTAGCTGTCAAATGTACTAGAAATTTCAAAAAATCAATGATTTGTTTTTCTGAAGATATTTTTTTTCATCACGTTTTTACTAATTTATTCATTCTCTTTTAAAGAGTAGTTCTTTTTATTAAAGTCTATTTCATTAATATTTAAAATCACATTAGCGATAAATTTCAACTATGTTTAATCTTTAATTTATTTAGAAAAGAATTCTAAACAATTTGTAATTTTCTCTTTTTTCAACATAGCAATTATTTCATTTAAGAAGGATCCGTCAATATTCTTAGTCTAAATCAACACCTCATACAAATCCTTCTTTCTCTTATAAACCTGTTCTATTAGTGTTATTGATTGAGTGTTCTCCTGTGAATTACCTACCATTGTAATTAATTACATAATCGATTTCCTTTCTTTATTTAACCTTTCACAAAATGCCCTAGTTTCTTAATCTAAACAAGCCTTTGTAAACTCTAACCTCTTCAAATAAGAATTTTTCTTCTCTTTCCAAAAATCTAATGATTTTCCTTCTACAATTTGGACTAATTTTTCTAAATCAGTATTTGACAATTCTGTTGGATTCACATTATTGCTAATGATTTTTTAATAAGATTTATCTTCCATCTCTATCATATCAAATATCTACTTGATTGATTCTGTTAATTGATCCCAAATTTACTTCAACATATTCTAAGTTGAAGAAAGGATGGTCTTGAAATTCAATATTTATGCTGTTAATTCTAATTCATTATTAGGTTTAGATAATTCTAATTTCTAGGTCACTAATTCTTAAAATTTTTTAATTGGAGCAATATATAATTTCACATCCACTTCGTGTTCAAAAAGACACTCGCCACAAAGTTTCCTCTAAAATTTACACTTGTGGGGAGCTAAGCAGATCAGTTATATTTGATTTCCGATATGATAAGCGCAACTCATAATCTAGTAAAAAAAATAATGAATTTCTATTACAATTCTTTTTTCGAATTATGCTTTCACTTATGGATTATTGAATAAATATGCCAACAATTCTTAAAAACATGACTTCACAATCACCAAGATTTCTAAGTTAGGACATCCATACCATAGTTCCAAAGTATTTATAATTTAAGATTATTTATAGGGTTTGATCAAGATTGGTATATAACTATTTCTCTAAGACGCCACGCGAAGGGAGTTGAGTTTGATTTCACTATCCTATATGTACCCTCTCCATAAAGTGATACGCGAAGGTTAAAAATCCGGATCGCGAATTCCGGAAGACTTTCTGCACTCTCCAGATCATCTAGCCTTGTCCTTCCACCTCCCGACAAGCTGTTGGGGTATGGAAGCCAGACTGTTTTCTTGACCTTTCTGCCTGTTGCTACTCATGTTTATAAAATCCTAAGATCTCCTAATGTAGACTAAAACTTAATTATCATAATAATCAAATAAAGTGATTTTCTCTTTCTTTTTCATATTTTAACCTAATAGTTTAAAATTAAAAGTAAAAACATGATTTTGAAATGCTTTGATTCTAAAAAATACTAAAATAGTAATTAATCATCATTATATTTTCCTTCTTAATTTCCAAAAGAAATTTATTTGGTACTATATCCTTATCAATAACTGGTTATTTGTTATAATTGGACTATGAAATTATAAAACGAATAAATATCTCCAAAGTATTTTTAGATGTCATTTTTGAAACACTTACTCTTATCGATGTCTGATTATGATCCCTGATAGTTTTTAAAAAATTCTTGAGAAGCGTATCTACTTTCTCTTCTTGATTTTGGAAATAAAATCATCATAAATAAATAATATGAATTAGAAATATTTACTTATATATAAATGATACTATTTGACTTTTATAATGTTGTAATATCTACGAGAATCAGAGTAATAATTAGAATATCCATTGTAATCTTTATAATTTTAGATAATATAATTCAAGATTCTCGAGAGATAATTAAAATATGTATTTATATTTAGATATATCTTCTGTAATAAATGTACTTAATAGTGAGTCGAATTGATTAATTAAAAATAATGTTTGTTGAAGATTATTATAGGAGACTCATAAAATAGGAATGTAATATAACTCCTAAGGAAATTAAGACTGATAGGCCTTGGTACCCAAGAAAATTCTAAAACGAAAGCAAGAGAGACTAATATAAGTTCTTTATGCTACCTCCCAACAAAATGGTTACTTTACTAAAAAAAAATAAATTGTCGGCTCCCAATGAAAAGATTAAAGAATTCTTGCATAACCACTCCTTGAAAAAGATGGTTGATTTTGGTGAAACCCTTCAAAGTACATTGGATGTGAAAGTACAAAGACCGTCGATTTAAATTCTAACTCCTAAAAATAATACTGTGGGACGATAATTATTTCCAGTTAAAAGAAGGCCCCTCTGTTTACCTTCAACAAGAGTTATTACTGAGCCTAGCAAGAAATCATCCTCGTAATGCAAGAGTGTGCATAAATTAATTCGACTAAAATAAAGCGACCATTACCAGGAGGAACTTTATGGCATAATTAAAAAACTTAATTATTCTCCTCTGAGAGTTGATGCAAGTTTTCTCAAAAAATAGATCTAGCCTCCAAAGGTTGTTTAACCTCAACCAGATATAGAACCTGAGATTCCAAAAAGTGTATTACCCTATCCTCCAAGAACAAAAAAATAATTACGCTCATTTCTTTTGAGGGCTTTGAAGAAAATCAAAGCTTTGGGTCTTACAATTAAATATGTTATGGAGCATAAGATATTTTCAAAAAAACCATATGAGAAATAGTATTCAAAGGAATTTATTCATGCAGCCAAGTAGAATAAAATAGAAGAAATAGAAAACTATCTTCAAATCAACCCTTATTTGGTGTTTGATTATGATTTCTATAACATGACAGCACTGCATTGGGCTTGCAAAAAAGGGTATCTGCAGATAGTAGAGATGTTATTGAAATACCATTCAGATATTGATGGAGTCGATATCCTATATCGCACTCCATTGATTCTATCGATTCAAGAAAATCACTTAGATGTTACACATTTTCTATTGATGAACGGAGCCTACCCCTGGAGTACTGCCATAACAGATTTGAAAAGTATTCTCGAGCAAAATGAACGTGCTAAACTTCTCCTCACGAGGGTTAGAAGGGTAATTATTTAGTGTTATTATTTGTAGTTATAAATAATGGCTAAATGGACTCAATCAGGAGAATATTTGAATCTAATTTGACTATAAATATGAATTTAAAATTTATAATTAATAACTGGTTTAATAATTAATAAGTCACGTGACATATTTTTGAATCATATGAGTTGGTAGTGAATTACTATATATAAATATATTTAATAAAACTCAAACTTATCGAATGTATGCAGATTGTGAAGACTATCTGTCTTCTACATCAACTTAAGACGATTACGGAACATTGAATGTAAAGTTGAAGACAGAATTCTGTAAATATTGGACCGAAGGAAAAATATGTCCATATGGCAATAAAGTAATACATTATTGTGAGATTCTTAGTGTTACTTTGCACATGGTGAAGAATAATTGTTGTCAAAAGACGTTCCTAAAAATTATAGAACTAAAGAATGTAAAAATTTCTAAGAATTTTTTTGTAAATATGGTCAGAGATGTCAATTTTCGCATATGCTAACCAAATACTAAATGCCTCAATTGAAGTATTGGACTTCAGTTGAGAAAATAGAAGTGGGCTCAATTAAAAAAAAGTATTAAATATTTGGAATAATTTAGGCATCGCTTAAAGATATTTAAATCGATAACCAGTGGAGTTTATCACAAACAATAGAAACAATAATGATTTTATTTCTTATCCCAATTCATATTTAAATAACAAATTACAATGATAATATCAATTAATTGTTCATCATTTGTTCTTCAAGAAATTATTTGTAAATTCCCAAATGATTTATTAATGATCAAATCCTTCTTTAAAACTCTCCTAACAATCTTAGATATAGATATCTCTCAAAGGGTCTGAGGAATTTCTAAAAATATACAATAACATCAAAGCATTAAATTCTGGATGAAATTGAACTCCCAAAATGTGATCACCTTAGAATGCATAATTTTCACAATGACGTGCGCTCATTACAACCTCAGTGTTCTTAGGTAATTAAGCTACATAGTCTCCATGGATTTAATACACATTGAGATTGTTTATTAGTTGATCCTTCCATTTGAATTAAGTTGAAAGAGCTGTTCTCCCTACTTACATCCTATCCACATGATTCATCTTTTAGGCCTCTCCCCCCAAACTATGAGCTAAGACTTAATGTCCAAAACAAATCCCAAAAAGTTTTATTTTCATTTTGTCTGCTTCTCTTAAAAACTTAAATAGTGGTTCCTTCCATTCTTCACTCAAATCATAGGCTGCACTACTAGATCCTGTGATGATAATACCATCCAATCCTTATAAATCTGGGAATTTGTTCTCTATAACCTGAACATTTAAAATTGTATTATACCAAATAAACTTCCCAATCCTCATTCTCCTCTTTATAAATACCAAAGTGCATAGCTTCCATTATATTGACATATTCTTTATAATATAGTGGCTCTGTTATCAATAAGGCATATCGTTTTTTTATATCCTTAGGTGTATATTATTTAAGAATATCAGGAATTATTTCAGATTTAAACCCAAAGTTAACATTATAATTTAAGAGAATAACTTTTTCTTATGATGTTGCTTTTAATATTACTCCTTGATTGACAATACCCAAAAGTTCTTTGAATTCTTAGGTTAGGAGAAGATCTGCATAAAGCTCTATTGTTAGATCCTCCTGAAATTTTTATTATTATTGCATCAGAAAACGAGCAATTGCAAAAAAGTCATTCGGATCAAAATTTGGAGAATATTTAATAGAGTAGAGTTCTAAAGCTTCTGATTTGTAGATGAAGTGATTTTCTGACTGTATGATGAGAGTTACTTATTTGTTAAATTCCATAATAACTTCTATAATATTTAAATAACAAAAAATAAATTAATTATATAAAATAATTAAATAACTATTGATTTAATCTTTTAAATCTTGAAGTTTCTTTTGTTCTTAAATTTATCTATGAGAACAAATTGTCTCTAAAATCTTTTATTTATTAATTAAAATTTAAGGAATTATCATTTTTAAAGATGATATATCATCCTTTACATTGATTGAGGTTATGATGATTATCTCAAGACTTCAATGTTTTTCAAATAAATAAATGTATCATTAATAATCATTCTGGAATGACATTTACATGGATGAGACTATTATCCTAAACACCAAAATCATTCAAAGTCATGTCTTTTCCTTCCATTTAAACAACTTCAGCTTCCTCAGTTACCTTAAATAAAATTAAAAATATACTTATATTGATAAAGCTATCTATTTGATCGGGATGTTTACCAGTTTTGAAATCATCATTTTCACAGGTTGTAAACCAGTATTTCCCATTAATTTCTTTGGTGTAGGCTTATCCTTTAGTTTTCCAACATGATCTATGATCTTTATTGTACAATATTAAGGTTATTGCACTTGTTACTTTGCTTGTGTGTATACTCCCTTAACAGTTGGATCAATTTCATAAGGATTTCCATATTTTTTAATTAGTTCAATTACTTTAGGATGATTCTATTTAGCGTAATTGATAAAATCATCATAATCATAATAGTAATGTTTGACATTCTTCAACAAGAAATATTCTTCAAATGAAGATTTCAAGTAAAATATCTCTGAATCCTTTCTTTCAAATTTTGTAATTTCACTGCCATTAATGATTTAAACACTAGAAACCTCTGCAATAGCTCTTTATCTAACATATAGCTTTCCGAATTTATCAACTAATGGATTATGTTTAATTGATAGAGAATTCAATTATAAGTTTCCTATTTTATTCAAGAACTATGCTTATGCAAAATGATTGTGATCTAAAGCCAAATGTTTAAGAGCCTTAAAATCAGTAACCAAGGGCAAATCCTTCAGATTATTCTTATTTAGTATGAGTCTATCTAAATTTGGTAAATGTCCAAAAGATTTTTAAATGCATTCAAATTATGATAAATCAGTTTATTCTAAGTTTAATACTTTCAAGGCTTGTAAATCTGTATTTCTATATTACAAATTCTCATAATCAACTAAAATATTTCTACACAATAATAACTATTAAACCATTGGAAATGCAGGGATTATCAAGGAAATATCCTACCAAGTCAATTACATTCCAATTAAAACCAGAATTTCTACATGTTTACCACAACCATCTACAGGAATTTCTAAGTGTTTTCCTTACTCGTAATCATAAATCATGTAATCTTGTGTTTATGTGAATATTTGATTTTGAAACTATTGTTATCCAAAAGTTTCAAGTTTTGATAATTTATTACTTGAAATTGACAATTCTTTTAAAGTTGGTAACTATGATACTAAAACAAAGATTTGATGCCAAGAATGGAACAGATTATTCTCCAATCCCAAAATTTTGATATTTTTAAATATACTTCCAACAAAACCAAATGGTCCCATAGTTGAAACATTTTAGGACTCTAAAGATAGTTCCTACAAAGTCTCTAAATTATTCAGCTTTTTATAAATTTCATCAAATCCATAAAACTCAACCATCTTCTTTCTTTTTTTCATTGTTTCAAAAAATGCTGTGTCATCAAATTCAATTTTCACTTATTTTTAATTTATAAGTGTAATAACTTTGCTCTTCTCGTCTTAATGGTTAGCCAAATCTGAATGTTCTTGAAGGAATTCATCTTTTACTTGTTCCTACACCTCCATTTCTTGTAATAATTATGGAGGGATTTCTTTGAAATATTTCAAAAATAATGCTTCCCACAATTTATTACCAAAACTCACCTTCTCTTTCTTTAACAAACTACCTGAATTAGCCCCATCAGTTGTTTTGAAATATGTGTACCCTTAAACAGTGCCATTATGTCTTCCTCTATCGGCCTAATCCCATTCTACTCCCAACCAAATTTCATCTCCTTTATTCTCATGCACCAAGGGACCTTCGTATTTCACAGTGGCTTTTTCACCTTAATACACTATTCTCTTATTCATATTCAAAATAAATAATATTAAAGACTCTCCTAAATAGATTGTAGCTTCTTAATAAAAGAAAATAATTCAACTGATTAATTCTTATTTATAAAATGCAGTTTTTTGCTTGGTTTATTACATACATCTGTATTTACAGAATTAGGACAAATATATGTTGATTCATATAATTATTAATATAAAACTAGACATTTTTAATAAGATACTCCAAAAATTATATTATTTAATAATATCATCAGATATATCAATTCGAGATTTTTTAAGGAATTTGAACTTAAAACCTAATTGATTTCACTTAATTTTTTTCAGAATGACCATTATACTCCTTATATGATATATTCTCAATTGTGTTTTAGTGGAGAACAATTTGTAATAATATAAATTGAAATGGAAATAAAGTATAAACTACCTCCGCTTCCAACCAATATCGTTGATATTTATAATAAGATGACTAAACAAAGAAAACAGTACTATAGAAGGTAAGCCTCACAGATGTCAACGATATGCAAACTATTAAAAGTGTGTGTAGGAACTGTTGTGTTAGCATTTCCTGAAGGATTTAAAAAGGTGTATCTTACAGGTGGAATATTAGTATTATTTATTTGTGGCTTACTCCAGTACTATTCTTGGACACTGCTTATAAGAGTTATTGAAGAGAAGGCTGAAATCAAGAAGAAAGAAGAATAAGAAAAATAATAGGCTCAAGCTCAAAATAACTCTTAGGTCATGGAAATAGAGATGGTCACATAGACATTGCCTCAAGTGTCATCTCAAAGATCCTTATCTTAAAATGGTAAATAAGAAGAAGAATTCGAGGAAATAATTGGTGATGACATTATAGATGATATTGAAGATGAAGATAACAAAAAAATAAGGTAGGAAGAAGAAGAGTATCGCAAATAGGCTAATAATCCTCTTGCAAAAAAGGCTATTAAATTTGAAAAAATGAATATGATGGGCGTCATGCTTGTCATAGATCCAACTAGTAGAGTTTTGGTCATTATATCCAAAATAATGACCATCCTGCTATTTTATGGCTAAGCTTTAAGTCTATTAATATTCTGTAAGCAAACCTTTGATTAGATTATACCTAATTTTGCTGATAACCCTTTGAATACTCTTTATCTAGCAATTTGTACAATAGCTTTCATAATGGCATTTTCATTTATCACAAGAATGGAAACCCTAAAATAAACAACAAACATTGGTTCCTATTTAGTGTTCATTGTCATGTACTTCTTTACTTGTGTTTGTCTATATTAAATAAAGAATTCTGGGTCCTCAGAGAATAACCCTACTATTAGATATGGAATAAAATTCTCTGAGCTTCCTTTCTTTTTTGGTGTTACTCTTTATTCATATGATATTAATGGTATCCTTACTGAAATTAGAGAAGAAATGAAACATCCAGAGAAATTCAGAAAGAATTTAGCTTCCTCAATGCTGATTTGCTGTATAATTTATACATCATTTGGAGTATGTGGATATTTGGCATTTGGGGACTCTACCTAAGAGCTAATAACATCTAATTTGTTAAATGTAGTTTCAGATATTGGGTTAGGTATTCAAAATGCTTTCTATGCATTATAAATGACGTATGTTTTATCCATGATTTAAACAATCTTATTATAAAATGTTGTTTGTATTAGATTGATGGAAGAATTGCCATTTGACTTTTAGAAATCAGATGTGAAACCTATTTTGAGCATTTGGTCTAAATTTGCCATTCGTATTCTATACATTTCAGGTTGTGTGGTATAAAATAAAGAAATATTTAATAGTTTGGTGGATATTATTTGACTAATTTTAGTACTATAATCTCCTTACTTGGGTGTATACCATCTGTATATCTTGGATTTGTGATGCCATATTATTTATATAAGAAAGTGTTCGGGAGATAGAAGATGTATCTGGAAATAATAAATGGAACAGTGCTATTTTTTGGAGTGGCGGGTGCAATATTAGGAATAATTCAAATATTTGGTGCCTTGTACTGATTTAAGCTATTTTAAAATTACTTTGTATATTTTAATAAAGTAGATTAAATAAATTTAATATTTATTAATTATAATCTAAATAACTGTGCGAAGACAAAACACAAGGGATTTCTTTGGGAGAGTATTATGATATTGAATAGATTTATATAAATGAAAATAATTAAAGCCCAATATAAAAAAAAAACTGAATTCACTCAATGTTTTATCCAATAAAACTTAGGAATGCTAAAATAAAAATTATTACGATATCAATGCAAAAATGTAAATTAGTAATTATACGCAATTTTTGTTCTAAATATTACAAATATTCACTATATAAAAATTGCTTTTTCAATATTTATTTTTGAAACATGATAATTATTCTAAATATCCTAAATTGCATAACCAAATATAAATAATTTAAAGTAATTATACTTTAGAGTTTTAAACCTTTCTCAAACACACACTCATAGTCTTGATAATAATTTTTTTTCAGTTTTAAAATTACAAATTCAGAAATTTTTAAGAGAATTGTTCTTGGAAGTTAAACTTTGATATCGGAGTTGAATATCATATACTAATTTAAATATAAATCATATGTATTCATGCATCTTTAGATATCCATATATAAATAAGACCAAATAAAATGCAATTACAATCTAAGCAAAATAAAAACAATAATCTAATAATTTGCTTCTATTTATCATATCATTGTGATAATAAACATGCAAAAATCCATCATTTGATTTATACTTTTTGAAAACCAACTATAACTTATTTTCTAAATTTAGCAAATTAATCATACCATGTTTGAGCAATGCATATCGTCCATTTTGCCTTTTTACGTAAAAGTACATGTTTTTAGCTCCGTTTAAAGACTCGTGAATTTTATACATAACAGGATATAAAGTAGAATCCTTATTAAATAACCATCTTAATTCAAATTTCAATCATGATTACCTATTATCATCAATCTTCTTTAATTTTGTTTAAGGATATGGTTCAACAACTACTGGAATGTAATTTTTACAGGCTGAGAACTCTTTATTTTACTTCCTGTTAATTAATCCTTCTTCCTCAGCATTAACTTTATCCATAAATATTTTATTATTCAAATATAATAATCAAATTTGAAAATAAGTTTTGACAATTATTCTAAAATTTGAGATCTAGTTTCAATACAATATATAACAATAAAATATGGTAAGAATTTAAATTTACATATATATAAATGTTTAGTATTTCATTATAATTATTTCCGGATAGTGTTATCAATTGATTTAGGCTTTTGTTCAAACAAATGTTTTTTTTAAGACTAACTTTGCTGCTAATTCAATTATTTCCTCTCTGGAGTTGGAGTTGAATTATAATTTTAGTTATTCTAGATTTCATCTATTACTGATTTTAGCCTTTGAATCTCTTTTTATTAATTAATATTCTCTCTTTCCATTTCTTCCATTCTCTTACTATTCTTTGTCTTGATAAATCCTGCCTTTGGTTATTCATATACTCCATGATCAGGCTAAAAGATATAATATAAATAATTACCTATCTCCTTAATAAGATGACTTCTTATTCATATTACTAGCATAGATTTTTCAATCTTTCAGTTGTCTGATGATTATCTTCAATTTAGGAAATCATTTATTAATGATGATCTCTCAATGAAACGTTTTCTTTCTAAAGTTATATAACTATTTCATGTAAATCAGCATTTTCTCCTCTAACTCTTTCTAATTCTCCAGTTAATTATGAATTAGTCTATTTGAATATTTCATATTCTTGTAAATCAGCAGCTGTATCAGTTTTATGTTATTCCAACTTTTCCTCCAACTTAAGCATCATTTAATTCATTTTTTCTTTTTCAACGTCATTAGCCTCTTTTTGCTTAGCTTCTTGCAATTTTTATTTTTGAATTTCTTTTTATAATTCATCCTAAACGTATTATTGCTTTTAAAGATTAGCTTATAGATCTTTGATAGTGAATTCAAATTCTTATTGCTATTATTCATGTTATTATTTATTTAACTGTTAATCATTTAATAAGTTCTTATTTTATGAAGAAACCTTCTCTAATTACTCACTCAATTGTTTAATAAGATCATTCTATTATTCTAACCTCCTTTATTATAAGGCGGCTTCTTATTTTCGAGACTATAGTTCAACAAAGGCTGACCTACTAGATTTATCCAGATCTTCATATTCTTAATCTCTCTGTAGAATTTATTACTACAATTGAGATTACAAATGATCAAGTTTCTTTCCTTAACTCATTTTCTCTTATTCTAATTATTCAACATATTTTTAAGCATCTGCTGACAATCTATCATTCTCCTTTCTCAATATCTAGAGTTCCCTTTAAAAATTGGTGAATTCACTTTAACACTTTTCAGCTACAATTTCTTTTTCTGACAACTCTACTTATAATTTCTTAATTTATTCTACATTTTATTGGTTTAGTTATTTCAATTAATCAATCTTCTTCTTCTGTCTTGCAATTTCACTCTCCTTTTATTATAGAGCATCTGATAACTAATTGCGATCAGTTTACAATTATTCATTAGTATGCAAAATAGAATCATTCTCTAACATCAATTAATCCATCTATCTTTATTATTTATTTGCTGATTCCAACTATGCCTTGTCAATCTAGATTCTAGAAATATCAAATCTAAGTGATTAGCATTGATCCTATTGAGTTTACAATTCTTATCTTAACTAGTTTAATTCACTATCTTATTACTAATAATGTACTGATAATTCCTGATGATCCTGACTTAATTGTTAATTCTGTTACCCTAATTATTTTATTTACTTTTTCTATTCATTAATCGTTTACTTTGCAGTTTACAACTATTAAGTAACTTCTTAATATTAATGTCCCAAATCCTATTGAGTGTTATTCAACTCCTATTCTAATTCTGATTTCTCTAGATAAACCTTCTCTAATTCTGCTTATTATTGTAGACTCTATTTCTTTAATTTGTCATACTCCAACTAAGCCTTTTATTAATAACTATTCATTTTGCTGTTAAATTATGATATAGAATTCTCTTTAAATTCTCCATATTCTTTTTATAAAATCGCATAATTAGTTTCTAATTGTTCCCTCAATTCAACTTAAGCTGTGTGTTCTGACTCTATTTGGCTTATCTGAACTTTGGCTTAATTAAGACTTTTTTGAGTTTCTTCCAATTAGCTCTTCATTAAATCCTTTTATTTGCGTATTTTATCGATTTCAGAGTTGAAATTAGCCTCTTTTTATTTAAGTTGATTTAATTAAATTTCAAATTCAACTTTGGATGTTTTTTCCAAAAGAGCCGATTAATTCAATTCTATGAGTTCCTACTACTTTTATTCTAATTATTCTTCATACTCTTTGATTAGATCATCTTTCTCTTAATCAAATTTATGAGTGATATTTTGATTTTCTTATTCAAGCTTTTCAATGATTTAATGAGATTCTTATAATTATTTTTCTAAAAATTGTTGATTTCGTAAGTGTTCTTAAAGTTTCTAATCTTATAATTTATTTGAAGATTCGATATTACGTTATAACTTTTGAAGTTGTAACTATAAATCTTTATTACTTGATAGTTGCTTTTGTAATTCTTAACTCTAATTTTATAGATCCTATTTATACTTAGCAATTTATTCTTGTTATTTTTTCTTATCCTATTATAAATTATCTACCATTAATTTATGTTCCTAAAGTTATTAGTTTAATGAGTTAATTTAAGATTTCAATTCATCCTCTTAATGTCTAGCCTAAAGTAATTCATCATTCAATTAGATTATTTGGACTTAGAACTATTCCACAGTACTAGACTATTTCCTATGTGTATTTCGTTATTATTCTGATATAGGAATCTACTATTTATATGATGGTTATCTTGAATGATCTTCATACATTCCTCCTCTTAATTCAATCATAGGCTCTTCTTAGGAAGGAGAGATAGATTTTCGTTAAGCATCCCCTTATTTTTATTATTATTATCTTTGATTCTATCTAAATGAATTAAGTTAATCTTATTATTATTATTATTGTTCAAATGTTGGAGATATTGATTTTCTTTGGATTTACTCTGGTTATTTATAGGATTATTGTCTTTAGCTATCTTTTCTAATAGCTCTTTAATCTGGGGCATTTCCCTCCACTTCGTATGGTACTATATTTTATCTTTGATAATCTGATTGCACTTATGATTAACGCTTTGAGTGTTAAGCTGATCCTTAGAGCTGATCGTACGCTTAATCATTTCTAATGGGGGAAATTTATTTTTGATCTTTATCCTAAAATGCTGAGGAATGTTTTCTAATGGGATCTTAGGCTTGAGGGTTCCTTTATTAAGCATTGGTATATTCTGGAACTTCGTATTAGATCTAATTAGATGATTGGTTCTTCTTTATGCTTTTTTAACTACCTTTTATAATTTAACCTGATTATGATGGTTATTGACCAAATAACTCGATTTACTGGTTTGGGGTAGAATAATATTACTATTGATAATCTATATTTTGGAGTGATTGACTTTAAGAAGATTATGATTCTATGACTTCTTTGAGCTAATTGATTTGATTTTGCATATATTGTTTGTCACGTACATATTATTGTTCTAGTATTTGTTTCTCTTACATAATTTATTCGGCTTTTCTTTCACTGGCCCTAGAGAGACTTCTACTCTAACTTTTTAATCTCATATCCGTTAATGCTTCTTCTTTCAAATCAAGGACTTTCTTCAACCTAAGACAATAGATGTAAAGATTACTTTGTGATTTCCTTTTTGGCAGTAAGTAATTCCCCTTTATATTTTGAGGCATGTTCAGTCTTCTCACGAACCAACTGCAACAATTTCTCATTTTCTTCAAGTAGTTTTTCCACCTTCCCCTTATTTGGAGATTGACTTTCTAGATTTTACACTCTTGATTCCAATTATTTCAATTTCTATTCACTATGTTATTTTTATGGCGATTCCGTGTGAAATACTTATGAATGATGTATGTTAACGACTACGAAAGATCTATGGATATAATACCTCTGTCAACCATTACCGGTGTTGCCATTACAGGCAAAGGAACTGGAGGCAATGATCTTGAGATTTATAATGGCGCAACTGCAACTCTCATTTAACAGAAATGTTATAATAATAATCACTCATACTCTAAACTTAAATCAAATATATGTTCCTAATTGATTACACTCTTTACTCCATAATACAATGCAAAACCAAAGTAAGAATAAACCAAGCCTCTATAAAATATATAACAATTGACTACTTCTTGAGTTTAGGAAATGTTATTAATCTATCTTCGAAATAGTAATCCATAAATGGAGATTGTAATTTCAGAAGAAAATATCTCAATCCTATGGTACTAACAATTGCCAAGAACACATTTGTATTTAAATCCATTAATCTGCATAGAATGACTCGATAATCAATAGGATTTTGAATCTTATTTTTATTGAAAATACTCCACATCATAAATTTTAATGCTTTCCATTAGCGATATTATTATTACTCTCTCACACTCATTAATTCAAATTCTTATGGAATATGTGGACCAGTCTTCTTATATTTTCCATCTTAATATTGATATTTGTAAATTGTGAAAGTCTCAGGATTTGTCACATAAAGAAATGGTTTTTAAATCATTCTAATTATATTATTATAATCAAATTCTAGTTTTTGGATAGGCACTTTAGATTCTTTTTTTGCCTGTAACATTCAAAGTTTGCTATTATTCTCTAAATGATTAATCCAGCGACATTTTCAATTGACTCAACTAATTAATTCATAGATCAAAAATTCTTACATCCTCTTAATGTCGAACTTCTTCTATCACCTTCAAATGATCATTTAATCTACTTGTTGATTAGATCTTACTAATCATGGCAGTCTATGGTCGTTAGGCCTATGCATGCTGCTATTACTCATTAAATAAAATTTCCCCTGGGTTTATGAAAGGTCTGAATTCTATATTTTGAGTAGCAGCTGCACTGTGGATCCTTTTTAATCCTTTGGGCAAAAACCCAGGAGGAACCCTACTACCTTTCAAACCCACAGAAGGTGTTAGGTACTACGGATACCCAACATTTATTTAAACTTCTTCATTTTAATTTTCATTGTTGTCTACCAATTTTTCAAATAGTTAATTTCTGAAATCAGCATATTATTAGAGCAAATGTTCTGATATCCCTTTTTCAGAATAATTTTTGGTTGAAGAAACAGGTCTCATAGTTGAAAACGCAGAAGTGGGTCTATGTTTACAAAGGGAGGTCGATACAGCCATGTTGTATGATCTCCCTTCTACTGATAGTAGGTTCTCAGGCTCATCCATAACTACATATTTCACAGATTAAGATTTCTTAGGTTTCGGGTGGAAAGTGTTCCCTTTCTTCGTCCTAAGTAATGCAGCCTCGTCAATATCAAGATTTTGAGACATGATAAATCGGACAGCTCCTTCATTTGCCAACATGCATATATCATTCTCATTTACGCATTATTTAGCCTTGTCTGCAATCTAATAATACAATTCTATAATACAGCTAAACAAATATCGAGCTCCTCTTTTTACTTCTTCACTTTTAATAGGGCAGCATGCAACGCAGTTGTATTAATTTTTTATTTCGGTTTGATACGGAACCTCTCTTCCTTTGGTTCTTTCTTTCCCGATACTATTTTTTGAAAGATCTCTTGTGAATTCATATTAAGAATCGATTTTGTTTGTTTGTTTTTTTTCTAGTTAACCCTTATATATGATCATACCTTGTCAGGACGATCATATCGAAACCTCTTTTTGTATTATCCTTCATCCATCTTTTCATCAATATAGTTCATCATTTCATCAGGGAAATCATGACGAACAACTATAGGGCATCTTGAAATTGCCAAAGTACTCATTTAATTTTAATTAAAATTATTTCCTTAACTATTTTATCAATACATTTATCAAATCACTTCGAATTCATTCAATCTGAATTATTTTAAGTCATATTACATCATGTATGATATTCAAAATATGAATATTCATGTGTATATTAAGTATAAATATTTAATTATTTAGTAATTATTCTAAAATTACAACTTAAGGAATAATCAAAAAGTTTCAATTAAGGAATTGATTAAAACCTGTTGAAATGAAGAAAAAAAGTATTTTATTTTAATTATTATTATTCTTATTAATTAGGTTATATATATTAAAATAGTATATTTAATCTTGAATATGCTTAATCTTTAAAAAATGAATAATATATTCATCAAATTTAATGGATTTACAGAAAAATCTAAATTGAAAATAAAATATCTTTGGATGATTCAACTTTTTAATTTTTTTTTAATTAATTCGGACTTATAAATTGTCATAGAGGATTTAGCAAATTAAATATGATTTGATAGGTAATGTATTATCATTAGATTAGAATAAGTTGCATTCTTAGATATTGAATTGGATACTTCTATTTTATAATAGAAATTAAGATAGATAGGCTCTAATTTATTGACTACAACGTTTTAATACGAATAAAGTTGTTGGATTATTTTATGTTTACTGAATTTGGGGAAGGTTTAGTAAGGAGTATTGCAAAATAAGAAAACCAAGTTTAATTGTTTGATTTAAAATGGATAAATTTGATTAATTATAGATGTAACAACGGATTAGAAGGTGAAATTGTTAGAGGATTTTATAATATAAATAAATATTATTATATATTATAATGTTCTGCTGCGGTTCAAAAAAGAAGAAATCGAAGTAGTTTTTTGGAATTTTAGGAAGAGTGCCAAGCCAGAGGAGCCATCCACGAATTCCGACACACATTCTTTTAAGAAGGAAGAGGAATCCCAAAAAGTGTATGTTCCACCACCTCCCCCTACAAAACCAATTGACTAAGTTTTTTATTAAAATTAATTCAAATTAGGAAATGCTGAGGCAAATATAAAATATTAACGACTTGCGTAATAGAGGTTTATATGAAAAAAGGTATTTAAATCCTAAGTTCTTAGTGTCGAATGTGAACACGATTACATTACTTAGTTGATAAACAAGGAAAATATACAATAGTAGTTTGCACTTGAATTTAAATGGGCAGTTAATTATACAAACCATCTAAAGGGAAAAAAAGCTGAAATTGGATAAATAAACAACAAAAACCTACTTGGACCCAATCAATATATAAGAAGTGGTTTACAATAAGACAAAGACTATGTGGTCTTAAATGAATCAGCTTGGAACTTCGTGATGCAAATGTATGGAGGAGGTCCAGAAGTCAAGATCATGCCTTCTCATAAACAAGAATCTTAAGCCCAACCTCCAAGTCTGTCCAGTACTTATTCCAAGCCTCCAATACAACAACAATCTATGAGATAAGCACAAACGAACTCAAGGTTCATTCAATAAAAACCAATGACCTAAACTGTTTCAGTTATAACAACTCCCAAATCAGTAGACAGACAAACATCATAGATTATAGAGCCACCACAAAGAAATGATAGTGCTTAAAACTATAGAAAAGGATATGAGGAATAGAAAAGACCTTCCATTTCCCAGGGCTAACTACCAATTGTTGGATTGAGAAATCCCAGATATTATTGCTACTTGAATTCAGCCTTACAGGTTCTTTTGAGCATTGACTCTCTTTCAGAGGGCATTTTGGCTGTACAACCAAAACAGGGCCAAAAGTACTTAGTTGCCTATCAAGAATTATTAAGAACGGTATGATATTTCGTTAAAATTTGTTTAATTAGATAAAAAGATCAGGCTCTTTTTCCGCAATTGCAGCTTAGAGTGTATGGGAAAATTGTTCTGGGAAATTCTAATTTAATTAATAATAAGATAGTCATGAATTTCTATTGTTCTTTTTGGGGAAAATTCAAGAGGAGCTTGTTGGCAAATACAAAAACAAGTAGGAGTTCAATTCAGCTGAATAAGCTTGGAGTGATTATACATCCAAAAATTATGATATTGTCGATACCATTTTTGCAGGGCAATCAACTAGTTAATCCTTCTGCAAATCTTGTAATTAAGTTTGTGAGGGTTATGATCCTATATGGGATTTGTCTTTGCCAATCAGGTAACAATTAATAGTATAATTTTAAGTAAATCATACACTGGAGTTGATTTGATGGACTGTCTAAAATCATATTATAGAGAGGAAGTTATTAATGACACTTGGAAATGTGACAAGTGCAAAAAAACTAATAAATCAGTTAAAAGAAGGATGTTTATTAGTTAGACTCCAAAATACTTAATTATTTAATTTAAAAGATTCACTACATTTCCAACCTCTCAAAAAATTAATGATTCCATATCTTACCCTGAAAAGTTAGATATTTAAGAGTAATGATAAAAATAAATTTAGATTTTGCTCCAAGGGGCTATAAACTAAATATAAACTTAAAGCACTTATAACTCATATGGGTTCTATTAATGGTGGACATTATAAGGCCTATGCTGAGAGATACGATAATTGGTATTTATTTGATGATGAAACTGTATCAAAGATTAATGGCAAATAATTATCTGATAGATCAGCCTATGTATTGCTTTATCAAAAATATTGAAATCTAATTCATCTGCTATATTTAAATACAATAATTCTCATTTATTTTCATTAATTTTTTTATTTTTTTTATATGGAATTTTCATAGAAATTTATCACGCTCTACTTCATACTATTATATCTACCCTGTGGAATCCTTTCGGATACGATACCTGAAAAAATACTCTCTTCTTTCTTAAATTAGGAATTATTTAAAGGAGAATGGTAGTCAAATGACCCAAGATTAATGTAATTTTATTATTTAACACTTGATTCTGGAATGATAAAAGTAAGAGTTGAAAATGAACATCTCTACTTTTTAGCTTTAAATCCAAGATACGGTGAAGATAGATTTGTATCTGGTGCTATTGCTCTTGCTAATTATTCTGAAACTACATAGTAACATTTCTATTGATATTTTAGATCATGGGGTGGAGAATCTAAAATATATTTAGAAGGAGGGGAATAACATAGTTATCTTTGGTACGAAGGCTCTTGTAATGGCACATATTAAGTCAAATTAAATCAGCCGATAGAAAATCTAGATATTGATACACTATAAATAGATGTTTATTTAAGTTCAAATACTGAAAATGGTTATCATTGCTATTCTAATATGAGTTTCAGTGTTAAAAGAGTATATAATTACGATTTTATCAACTGTCTAATATTTTCCTTAGTTGCAACAATAATATTGTTAGTCTAATACTTAGCAGGTTCAAAGTTATTAAGGCAAATGAAAGATTAATAGATCCAGCTTTAACAGGTTAATTTTAATTCAAATTATATTTAGCTGTCAAGATTGTGCTCATTATTATCTTGGATAAACGGACTAAACACATTTTATTTTTTTGTTGACCTACTATTTCAAAACTTTGTAAGAGTTTCAACTTATATTTAAGGAATATTATTATTTATTTCTTTTACCTACGCTTATCTTATTTGTGGGACTCTTCAAGGATTCCAACATATTTAACTTCCACTTTTATAGCACCTAATAGAATAGAGACCGAAGGAGAAGAGCAGAATTGGTAAGATTTATTGGTTTACTAATAATTCTATGTATTTTTAAATTATATTCAATTAGAGTTATTTGTGTTTGCAAATTTTGTAATATTTCAACTTTTTGGCTACACCTTTTATTTAATGCTTTTTTAAGCATTTATTCTTTACCCTCAAATCATTCATAATTTAAGATTAGGAATTAATCAATTTAACAAACTTTAGATTTTTGGATGGTTATCGCCTAGATTGTTTTTTTATGTAAACGTCTATTTAATCATAGGTCTACATAAGAAGTTGTCCATCTAATGTAAAGGATACTAAGCCAAATTACCTTTTTGTTGTGGTATTTTTTGCTGTTTATCTATTCTCTCTATTGATTCTCGTATTGCAAACTAAATACAACATAAGGTGTTTTAAACCAAAAATTGAAAAACCTAAAACTTTTAGTTATTTGCAAAAAATAAAAGTAAAGGATTCGATCGAATGCCCAATTTGTATGGGCCCTCTTCATTCTAATCCAAACGAAATCGATGAACAACCCTTAGATCAATCATTGCTATGCGAAATTATGGTTACACCTTGTTAACATATGTACCATCAACAATGCTTACGAGATTGGATGGAGGTTCAAAAAAGATGTCCAGTGTGTAGAGGTGACTTACATTTAGAAGAGAACGTTGAACAATGATTCTAATACTGTATTCAAGTATTTAAGTTAGAAACTAAAATTTAATATTAATACTAATAATAAAGTCTATAAATATGATATTTATATTATTTAAGTATAAATAATATCATCATCATAATTTCTGAATAAGACTTAGTATGTCGGCTGCAAATTTGTCTCTAACGTCGAAGTGAGTATATCCACTTTATTAATACTAAGAATTAAGATGACAATTTTACTGATCCATCACTTCCTGGGACAATGCATGTATTTTTTTGATTAACAATGCAGTTGTATTTGATGATATCGTCATTTGGTGACCAGAAGGAATACACTTTTGCCCCCTCTCTGTGAGTTTTAGAATTCAATGCAGTCAACATTTGAGATGATGGTGAGAATCCATTGTATGTGCTGCATGTTGGTAATCCTGTTGCATAAGTGCAATCTACTAATCCATAGTTGGCACCTGCTAATCCAAAGAATGCTGCAATAGAATTTGTAATGGGATCTCCAACTGTGAATTTAGCAAACAAAGATTCAGAATATGTTCCACCAATAATGGCTGCTCTAGCCAAAGTGACTCCCATTGAATGACCAATCACAATGACTTTGCTAGCTTTGGTGTATGCAAGAACACCTTCAATGAACCTTCTGGTTGTCATGACATATTTTTCACTATGACTGTTTTAAGAGGCTAAGTTAGGATTTGCAGGGCCTAAAATTAGTTATTATTATAATAATTTACCCCATGTTGTAACATACAAGTCAGCTTTAGTGTATCCACCATAATTTTATAAATATTCAATAAGTGTAGTGAATCCTGTCTACCATCCAACAGTTCCACCATTTCCTGCACCAATGTCTGAGTTCCCATGGATGAAAACAATTGGATATTTGGAAGGAGCAGTTGTGGGTCTAGTTTCAGCACCACTGAAAATGTTAGATATTATTGAAATACCCATATGTTGACCATGTGATATCTGATCTAATGAAGTCATATTTTGTGTCGAAGCTTTTAATGAAGGATGCAAAATCAGCTGTGAATCCATGATCTATGGTACTAACATTGCCCTCATAGTTCATGAAGGTAGCTCCTCCTAAAACCATCAAAAATCCAATGGTCAATAGCACTGCTTGTGATGTCATACGATTTAAATAATAATCTAATGCTATTGAGAAATGTGCAATTAATATACGAACAAAGATACTTCGTCATCATTATTGCGTATCACTATGCATTATTTTATTAATAACTATTTTATATAAATCAGATATGCTATCCAATATCCTTGAACATTTATGCTGCCATATCTGCTAACTAGTTTTTTCTAGTCATATTGGCTCTCACAACATCTTCTAAGGTGATAGTCTATTTATCTGCCAATTCCTTCTTTATGTACATTAAATAAGTTGATCTACTCATATCTGCAAACTTGGGCATAAATTTTAGATAAGTTCTCTCATCGTCATCAACATATTGTTTCGATCCTCCTTTCTACTTAAATAGCATCTTTTTCAACTCTTTATTTTCAACATCCATTTTCCTTTCCACTGCATCTATTATCATTCCAATAACCTGATGGGACTTCTTCTACTGCTTCTCAATCTAATCCTTTACAACTCTTTTTGCCTTCTATAGCTTTTCTTACCTTAAAATTAAGTCTGTTCCTTAAGCATCCATTGGAATTAACGTTTAACTTTCTTAGGGACTTTCTTTTACACTCGAAATGTCCTTGTGCCTTTTAAGTATTGTCTTAGGTAAAGTAGTTTACGAATTTGATTTCTATTAAATTAAGGATACTTGCCCTAAGTTCTTGGGATCTTCAGTTCCAGCATATGATTATTGCACTTAAGAAGGCTATAAAGACACCTGTTGTGTTTATTACTATTTGTCTCCTTATTGTACTACTATTTTAACATTCTTCTTTTATTTTGTCTACAATTATTATTGGCTTTGATTATCTGGAACATCCACTGATATTTCTTTCTCCAAGGCTGATTTGAGCTTTAAGATCCTTTCTTTTTCTCTCATTTCCCTCATCTAATTGGCAAAGAATTTAGCTAACCCCAATGCCTCTCTATGCTTATAGATTAAATCCTTAAGTTTTTTCTTCTTACTCTTCTCTAACACTTTTTTTAAATAATTGGTTTCTTCTGGATCCTTTAGATCAATGTTCACATTAGTTTAAACTATCTTTTTACCAGCAACCATCTTATCTATCTTTCTCCTCTTTAAGTCCTTCAATTCCTTCTCTGCAGTTACCTTACCATCTATGATATGTGCTTGATCTTTGACTTTCGTATCAATCTCAACTTTGACTGGAGGTGTCTTAAAAGATTCCTTATAAAACATGATCTCTTCTTTGGCTTTCAGATTTAGCATCCTTTTACCAAACTAAAACTCCTTTTTATCGAAATCTTCTTTCTTTCTCAGAGTGAATAATTGTCCCAATATACTAAAATTACACTACTATTATACTCATTATAATCTCTAATTTCATTGGATTGAATCTTTCCATTCACCATTTTGTTAACATATACATCCAAATCCTACTTGTGATGTTCATCTCGATCTGGATGTTCTCTATATTCTAAATTTTCCAATTGTCTTTTTAACAACGCCCCTATATTGCTTACATTCTTCTTCTCTTCCTACACTTTAGGTTTCTAATATTCATTAAAATATTGAGTAGTTGTCAAGATCCTTGATTTATAATCTTAAGGTCTTTCTATGCCGATTTTAATTAAGCCTACAGACTTACCTTACTTTCTTTTTGGTTTAACTATTTTCCTATTATTTGGCTTTCTAGAGGTGGACAAGGGTCTTTTATCCTCAAATAATTTTGAGTCGAATTATAAGTTGTCAATGGATGGGGCAAAGAAACTGCCATCAAAAAAGCTATCCTAACTATTTGAATCACTATCAAAGATGTTGATTGAAGCATCAGTACCATGAGGTTATGACTATTCAACTATTTTATTATCAAATTATTATTTAGTTTTCTATTCTTCCTTTATTTAGGTTTTAAAATACAACTATTGATTCAATGATTTGATTTAGAATAGATTGAACATATCACTATTGAATTTCTTTAAATAGTCAGATTCGGATTGTTCTCTTTAATCCCTTTGAGTGTTTCTAATCTTATGCAATTCTGAGTCCAAAATAGATTCGGCTATGTAACTCAAATCTGCTAAGTCTTTTAGATTCTGCTCCAATCTGTGTTTGCCTTCGCTTGCCAATTTGACAATATGTTTTTTAAACTCATCAATTCCTTAGATGTATTTGTCAGCCAACCAACTGGCTGTAGTTAAAGTTTCAACAATCCTATGATAATTATTTTCTGCCTCATAACTACACATCATAGTGATTAATGCTGATAATGTTGTTATCACACATCTTTTCATTCTTCTTCTCTCCCTATTTTGGTATAAGTAACACTTATATACTTCTATTTGTTTTTCTTCTAGACGAATTTTTCCTAATTAATCCTAATCCTCATCTCTCCACATAAGATTACTATGGCTTCCTCTGCATACCTTAGTGATTCCTTATACTCACCTATCTCGTATAAATAATTTGCAAAGTATATCTTGACTCTCGCACATGCATTTACTAGATTTGGATTCGGAGTGTCTAAAATGTGTTTAGCAATTCTTTAGGCTTCCACCAAATAGTAATAAGCCACCTTCGGTTTGTTTGCCTTCTTAAAAATTAAATTGGCCATTAATTGAAGTTCGATCAAGTTATAAAAGTACTGATCCAACTCAAATTGAATGTTCAGAGGCTTCATGGTCTTGACAATCATATTAGCTATCCTACTCGATTCCGAAATCTCCTATTCGTAAGGGTTCAATTCCTTAGCTTATTTTTTACTTCTCTCCTTTTTTGGCTTGTCGTATTGATTGATTTTGTAGAACAGTACTGTGACTTCGTGTTCCTTAATCCTTTCCTCTCCTTCCTCATCAGAACTTGTCAAATGAGATACTTCCTCCAAACTAATATTCTTATTTAATAGGCTTACACAACTCCCTTCATCTCATTCGGTATCACCTTTTATATATAGAGATTAATGTATTTGTATAACTCGAACAGGGCTTGACTCCCTCGATGGAATATGTTGAGCATAGTCTCCGGTCTGTCTTGTTCGATATCAGGTTTGAGCAATCCTTGTTTTAGGATTTTGTTAATGCAATTGATTATTCTTCGATTCAACATTACCATCTCCCCTAATTCCAGATCCTTTCGCTGATTATAAAACTTCTCTAACAACTAAAATGCTCTCTTATAAAGTTTCTAATCGAAATATTTTATATCGAATTTACTTTCTAAATCATTTTCCCAGTTTCTCTATGAATGTAATCATAGCTACCCTACAATAGACTTTTTAATTTACTCTCTTCTTTGCTTTGCTGTTATTGCTATTGTTAATGCGAGGTATTAACAGAAGAAGTTTGCATTTAATTATTAATATTAGTATACAATGTAATTCTCTCTAATAGATTTAAATCGACAGACCTATGTTGACCTTCCTTCCATGCTTCAACTGAGTTTCCAACCCAACCAACAATGCGCGAATCTAAAATTAACTCAAATCACCTACCAATGTATTTAAATTTCAATCTCCCTATTAGTTAATAAACCAATTAACTTTTACATTCTTCGCGATTATATCCTTCAGGATATCAAATTGAAAAGGATTCAAAACCAATTTAACATCTAAGCTCAACACATTATCCCTATTGGCGAAGACTTCTATTTAGAAAACCAAGAACTTATTCATAATCTCTTTGAACTATTCTTGTCCTTCTTATATGTGGGGAAAATACAGTACAAAAACAGAGATTATTTCTTGCCCTTACTCAAACTGGCCATATACTTCCAATGCGAAGCTCTAATAAACTCCCTATTGAATTAAGAGAAGCCAGTAGTTATGAGATCCTTCTTCCTCAATTTCTTATGCGACATTTATAACGATCAAGCCCATCTACAAACCTTCAAATAAACGTAGAATTCAGAAAAGTTCCTGTAATACTTAATCTAAGAAAATTCCCCTAACATCAAGATACACATAGATTGGCATAACCATCGCAAGAAGGATGCTTAGGATAAGATTAAGAAAGGTACATACATGATGAATATACATATAGCATTTGCTCAAGTTAATCCAAAACTCTTTGAAGAATTTGCCATAGTCTACGCAACAAAAAGTCCAGAAGATATTTCTTATTTCACCCAACTTCTATTCTACATTGAGCAGTATGAGAACCCATAGGTTCAGCTATTGGAAGACATCTATATAGGGAGAATCTTTGAGTTGGTAGATGAAGAATTTTTCTCTACTTACTAGGATTATTTCACTAATAGATGCAAAGTCAAACTAGAATAAATAATAAACAAAATTAGGAATCCGCCTTATCATATGGAACACTCATTAGTCTGTGATTTATTGTATTCCTTCATAATATATTACTTAGTAACAGATCCTTCAAAGCTGGGTGTAATCATGAGATATGCTTGAATTGCCTCTTTCAATATATGATACATCGATAAAAATATGTCACAGAAAATCAGAAAGTCCCTCAAAAGATTAGATGTCTCTCAAGATTTCTAAATAAAGATATTTGCGATTATGTTTTTTAGAATGAAGATTACTTATAATTAAAGGAATTCCAAATAGATGATTTATTAAATAAATACCTTTAAAAGAAAGATTGATATAGAATAATTTTATTTTAAATTTATAAGAAGAAATGGAGATCTTAGCTCCAGCTTTCTATAATATATATTAGATTTTTGAGAAGTTTCTTGCAATTGAATTTCGTTTGATTCTAGATTTGTAATTGAATATTTTATTCGGAATTTAGAATTCTTATTTAAATTTATATATTATTCGTTAAAAAAAAACTATTTTATTTATTTTTTAGATAGAAAAAAACTAAATTATTAATCCAATATTAATTCTAACATAAATTTATTATTTTAAGTAATCATTTTGAAATCATAACAATGAGTGCGTTATAAAACCTTTTTAAGGCCTCTAAGTAGGGTGGTAAATAGATGTTAATACCACAATAAATGAATAAGATATTAAACATAACTTAAAGGAAATAGGGACATCTTAATTCTTGCATGTAGACTGAAATTTAGGATTCTCCTTATTTGTATAATGTTTAGGAGAAAATAGAAGGTGATTAAAACTAAAATAATCTATATTCTGAAGAAGAGGTAAAGTAAGAGTCTCCAAAAAAGAAACTTAAAACTGAAACAATGGAATCTATAGACTTTGGAGGATTGTCTTTAAATACCTGTTTAAGTCAATAATGTGTTGAATTTGGAACCTCAGACTCTTCATAATATCAGCCTAATGATTAATATTTCATTTTGCCAGAATAATCGTCTTGAGAATGAATTATTATTAAAAAAGTACATAACAAAATTCTATTTATATAAAGTTATTATAATCAAATATAGTATGATTGATTATATCCATAATTATATTAAAAAGAGATGAGTTAAGTGTTTTAAAGTCATTGTATGTAAATCTTTTGAGCTGCATACAATAAAAAACTGTAAATACTTATTAAAGAGAAATTATTAAAATTTACTAGAAAAGGAAATTAAGATTAAAAAGATGAAATTCTGCCTAAAGTAGTCTCTCATATCTACCTATCAGTTTAAACAAGCTTTCCACTCACTTCTGGAGTGTTATTTGGTTTTCTTGAAAAAATACAAATTCAAAATAATCATATTAAACAAACAAACTAAAAGAAATGGATTTTCCAAATTATTGTTTATATTAAATTTCTTATTTTATATGCTATATTTTATTAAATTATATTTCATTTTGTTGTTTCAGCTGCAACTCTTTTAGCTTCTTCAATGACATCCTCAAATGTACCTTACATATAGAATGCATTTTCTGGGTATTCATCACCTTCACCATCAAGTAATGCTAAAGTAAATGGAGAGATAGAATACCTCTGAATCCAGAAATAGTGTCATTAAGTGAAACGAATTTACCCTTTCTTCCTGAGAAGACTTCAGACATGAAGAATGGTTAAGAAAGGAATCTTTATACTTTTCTAGCTCTGGCAACAGTAAGTTTATCATCTTCAGACAATTCATCCATACCCAAAATAGCAATGATATCTTGGAGTGATTTGTAACCTCTATTACAACAATTTTTAAACTCCTCTTGTGACTGTATAATGTCTAAATAATATTAAATCTAATATATTACTTTTCACCAACAATATTTGGGTCCATCATACGTGATGAAGAATCCAATGGGTCGACAGCTGGATAGATACCCAATTCAGTCAATGCTCTTGGACAACACAGTGGTGGCATCCAAGTGAGCAAATGTTGTGGCAGGTGCTGGATCTGTAAGATCATCTGCAGGTACATAAATAGCTTAGACTGATGTGATGGATCCCTTCTTGGTTGTTGTGATACGTTCTTACAATTGACCTAAATCTGTTGCCAATGTTGGTTGATAACCGACAGCTGATGGGATACGTCCCAACAAGGCTGACACTTCTGAACATGCTTATGTGAATCTGAAAATGTTGTCAATAAAGAGTAACACATCTTTTCCTTCTTCATCTCTGAAATATTCAGCAACTGTCAAACCAGTCAAACCAACTCTGGCTCTGGCACCGGGGGGTTCATTCATTTATCCATAAATGAGAGCACATCTTGATCCACCACTCAAGTTGATGACACCAGAGGCAACCATTTCATGATATAAGTCGTTTCCTTCTCTTGTTCTCTCTCCTACTCCTGCAAACACTGAATAACCACCATGGGCTTTAGCAACATTATTAATCAATTCTTGAATTAACACAGTCTTTCCGACTCCTGCACCACCGAACAATCCGATTTTACCACCTCTAGCATATGGAGCCAATAAATCGACCACCTTAATACCAGTGATCAAGATTTCAGCACCACTACCTTAGTCAACAAAGCTTGGGGCTTCTCTGTAGAATTGGATATCTGATTTTAGTTTCGATTGGGCCTCTTTCATCAATTGGATCACCAATCACATTCATAATACGTCCCAATGTTTCAGGGCCAACTGGAATTGTAATTGGACCACCCAAATCTGAAACTGGTTAACCACGAATAAGTCCCTCTGTTGAATCCATGGCGATTGTTCTGACTCTGCTATCACCTAAATGTTGAGCCACTTCCAATATCAATTTATGACTTGTTCCTTAAACTTACAAAGCATTCAAAATAGGAGGTAAAGGACCATCAAATTACACATCTACAACTGCACCAATGACTTAGGCAATCTACCCTGTTGTTGCTGTTGCCTATTTTGTTGAAGTTGATGCTTCCTTCTTTGCAGCAGAGAATGCTTTACAAAAATTACTTTAAAATTATTACCTACACGCATCTATCTGGCCAATGCTTTTGTGAGCATACTTAATTTTAATAATTAAGGATATGTTTCTGATTCAAATTTTTTAATTACCTTATATAATAATCGCAATTATAAAAAATTAATCTTATAATAAAAAATTGACATTCTATACCCATAATCTACACTTATTGACATCGATTCAATTCAAAGATACTATGGAACTTAATTATTATGTAAAATATCTTATTAATAATTAGACCTAAATGATTTCAAAGCTCAAATGGATTCAAATTCTAATTAAATATATCTCTTTCACTTTTTAAAGAAATACATTATAAGAAAAATTGGTAACCCAGATAATTGCAATCTTAGCATGAAAATTATTGATAATCATGTAAAAAATTGTTTAGAAATTCTGAATATCTTATTTTTATTGATTGATTCCTATCTTATTAAATGAGAGGTTCAAGCATATGTAGGAGTGGGATTGTATTAGCTAATTATTTCACATTTTATTAATCCTTTCAAATTTTGCAGTAAATTTATATAGGTGCTATTTTATATATAATATATGTCTAGTTTATAATAAATGTGAGATTGATTCTGAATATTCTATATTAACAGAATCAATTTTTCTATTTTATATTATATAACATTATAATTAATAATGGAAACCTTTTTCACAGAAGTAGACAGTAAGAGTGATTAATCACATTTGCGAGAAATCAATCAGTTACTCATGCGACTAAATTTAGAATCACCGCGTACATAGCTAGCCATGAAAGAACTAAATTTAACTAAATATGATTGCTAACTTAAGTAAAATAGTGCCCAAATTATCATACAAGAACTTTGTCCAATTTCTTACATTATCATAATGAATCGAGAACCATGTACTTAAACCATTTACAAAATCTTAAAGGTAGCCAATAATTCTATGATATATTTAGAAAATCTTTCAAATTTAGTGAATCGCAGAAGAGAAATTATTGGTCCATCAATAAAAATTGCTCTAAGAACACCTAAATAATTTAAGCAATATAACTTTGTTAAGAAGGTTTTTGATCATGATCTCAAATAGCTATATCAATCGGAACTCTAAATAAAAGCAGCATAACAAAAGAATACTGATAAAATCTATAGGCAAGTGGAAGAGAAGTTAAAATCCATCTCTCATAAAGCTAAGTAGCACAATAACAAAGTTGAAAGAAAACTATCCTTATTAAGAGAGAGAAGAAAGCACGAACTTGATGATAGGTTAAGTAAAAGTCTTGATTTTGATTCTAAATTTGAACCTATCCAAAAGACCTTGTAAGAATCTAAAATGAAATTCTAAATAATGATGCAATCTAAGACTCAATAAACTTTGGATTATCATAGATAAAAAAAGAAGAATATTACAGATTAAGAAGAATTACGAAGAACTAAATTATAATACTCAATGGAAACCTCACAGAGAAGCACTTTTATTAGATAAGGCATAGCAAGCTATGACAGAATATAGTAGGCTTAATTGATAGAGTTGGATCAGTAGAATAAGGTCATTTAGAAAATAGGCAATTAAGTTGAAAAAACAAATTAAATGACTAATAAGAACTAGTAGGACATTCAAAAATCTCTACAGAAATTGAAAGAAGAATAAGATAGAAAGTTTACTAAAGTGCATAAAAATCTAAACTCAAAAACATAGATGCAATCTTTGAGGGAAAGCATGATTCATTAAGAAATATAGGATAAAATAATGTTCAGCAATGCAAAAGCTAAGAAAAGGTTAGATGAGATTCAATCAAAAATTAAATAGGTAGCGTAGCAAAAGCAATAGAAATAACAAGATTTATTGAATAAATACATAATAAAAATGGAAAGAAGAAATGACAGAATTATGGAAAAACATGTTAAACTTAGATAGAATCTGAAGAAAGGTAGCAACTCTCATAATCTCACTTAATAACAACATCAGCTAGTAATAGAAAAGGATGAATTGAACTCAGATATCACTAAAGTGTAAAGATTAGTGGTCAGCAAGTCAACGAAAAATATATAAGAATTACTCAACAACTTAAGATTCAATTGAATAATCATATATTTTATAACAATATTTAAAATTGAAGACTAATATTGATAAATCCTTTATAACTTTGAATATTATAACTCACTTAGTTGATTTCCTATATAAAACAAAAGCTAAAAATCCGGCTGTAACAGTTGCAAAACTAAGCTTTTACCACTGTTTTTCTGCAATAAAACAAGAGGCTGTAGTAGAACCCAATACTAAAGTCTCAATTATACCCATCTTTGTATCAAGCTTTTCTTCCAAGATATATTTAGTCATTGAAGAAGCAAGAACTGCTGATGCTGTAGTCTTCCAAATAATGTCAGAGAATCTAAAACTTAATTAATTATTTTCGTTTATCTATGATTTCTAATGTATTTCACTAGCTGCTAATTTTGAATCATTTGTTTTGGTTTAATTAGTTGAATTCTTAGCTTCATTTTGATCTTAATTGTTGCTCAACATAGTTTAATAAAGAGAAGCTCTTTCTTTATTTGCTTATTTTAATAATTCTCTGATTTCTTTTCTTTTATCGAATATTTCTTGATTTTAAGTAGTATTCTTTACTAGGTTCCAAGCTTGGTCAATATCTCTCCATGCTTCTTCATAGTCTTATTTTTATTAATATGCCAAAGCTCTTCTATACCAAACCTTTTAATTGGAAGGATCAAGTTGAATTGCCTATTAATAAAAATAATATCTACAATATTGGCATGAGTGATACATGAATTAGAATCACCAAGATTCAAAAAACAAGCACTTAAATTAGATAACAAATTTATTCTTAATTTCTTAAATTCTTAGAGTTATTCTTCTGGACATTAAATTAAATAGTATGGATCACACAATCCTATAGATAGATTATACTACTCAACAGCCCTGGCATAATTCTTTAACTGGAACCATTAGTTTCCTTAATTTTTTAGAAAAGTGGCTTCATCAAGAGACTTTTAGAATTAAAGAACAAGTTATGATTTTTAATCAATTTCTACTATTTTAGGGGAGCTTTGAACCTAAGAACCTTATAGATTGTTAGTAGGTAAACTTGAATTGGTTTCATCAATAATTTCTCCTTCTTCTACTTGCTTTTCTTCCTCTTATATAACTTACCTTTAGGTGTTATCTTTTTAATTGAAATGAAGCGTAGGTTAAATTAATTCTGGTTCTTATTAATTTTATTCATCTTTTGATACATCTAAAGCTTAATGTAGTTGATTATCTAGCTATTGCTCGTTTTAAATTATTTCCTATTAATTTAATTACTAAGTGTGAGATTTATCCAATATTTCAAATTGAGATTAGTCAACAACAGAATTTTCTACTCTTTCTTACTATTCTAATTTTTCTTGAGATTATGGAATTGCTTCATATAAGGATTCAACAAATTATGAGTTAGCATTATCGTGTTCTAAATTTTCATGGTGACTTTCATTTGATTATTTGTTATTTTAATGTTGAGGAACAGAATCTAAATGTTTAGAATTGTCTTCGTCTTTACTGATATTTAGAATTTAGATAGGCTATTCTGTTTCTAATTTAACCTAGTTTTATTTGTCTTTTTCACTATGATGCTGAACTTGGGACTCATGCTATGGTTCCTTATTTTAGTTATCATTTGCGTGTTTCACATTCTTTTCAATCTTTAAGTGTTCCACTTCTTCTTAAGTATTATTATTTTGATCTTAATCAGAAACCTTAGGATTTGATTACTCTTATGAAGAATCCATAAATAAAATGTAAATTTTATATCAATAATTTATTTAATCATGTTTTTATGAGCATTTCTCATTCATATTACTTATTTTGTTTCATTATTCTAACAAATTAGTTTGAACTACCATTTATTCGACTATTTCTATTGGTTCATACAACTCTACTTGTAATTCTTTCTAATTCTATTTATGCGTATCTATAATTGGGAGACCGTATGAAATAAATTCAATAAGAAGATCAAGATATCAAAAATTTACAAAATAATGAAATTGTTATCAATTGCAAAATTAATAATTTCATTAAAGAGACATGATTTTGTTAGATTTTAAATATTTTTACAAGTATTTTATCATAAATTTACAAATAATTCATTAAATTTCAGTATCAAATATGTAATGTGCAGTGTTTGTATCAACGGCTTGGAATATAATTTTAGCATTTCGATAAGCCTGAGGGTCCATTAATTCATCCTCCATAGTGAGTAACTTCCAATCTACTTCTAAATAGTAAATTTTTTTGTAGGTATATAATGCAATTAGAGAGAGGAATATATTGATTATAAATAAAATGATTATCAATTATGATGAGAGTTGATTCCATAATACTCCTAAAATAATAAAGAGAACAGCTATTGAGATGGCGAGTAGAACTGTAAAATTTCTATATCTCTTTCTTTGATGAAATCTAAAGGTTCAGGAAATGCTATACTTTTTATTTTTAATTTCAGTTTTAAAGAAACATAAACAAAAAAGACATTGTAATGTTGATATCGAAGAGGAAGGCTTCTTCATTTCAGCAATCACACAATCAGGATGATATTATACATCGTCGCATTTACATAATTTAACTAAGCAACTTCTACGGCAAATATAACAAATTTTGGATTAAGTATATGGTTAATTAGTAACAAGGGTTAATTTCACTTTTTTACTCGATCTCTTGGGTCTATAAATGGGAGCAGACTCTTGATCCTTGGCTTGATCTGCCAGCACAAATCTTCTTGATGATTTCAGGATGATTTCATCTTGATTTGATGCGGTTGAATTCAACATATAAATAATTTAATAATCATTAATATTTTATATGAAGTTAATTTATAATATGGACAGAATCAGAATCGAGGATTTATATGAAAGATAAGCAAGAACTAATTCGGTTTCTTATTCTTGATATTTTTGGTAAAAATATAAAATAAATTAATATATATGATTTATAATTAATAACAATTGTATTTAAATATTTTAATTAATAATAATTACATAAATTTACCACTAAATTCCAAAACAAAACAAATTGCTCAGACAGTTATTATGATATATTTCCATTCTTTTATGGCATCGATCATCCATAAAAGAGAAGTATCATATTATTAGATAACTTTTTCAATAATATAAATAAATTCTTCAAATACCGCCTCGCTAATTTTAAGCCTAGAATGTATGGCTTAGATATCTGATCTTTTAAAATATTTCCTACCAGACAATAAATATTCAAATTTTTTAAGGATGGTTTTCTATACATTTGCATCATTGCTATCAAAAACATTCTTGATTTCAACATTAGATTGCAATTCATCAGCAATCAAAGGGACAAACTCACAAATTCTAGTTTCTCCAACAATATCACAAGGTAGCTTTTTATTAGTTATGTAAGGTAAGATGATATCGAATTCTTCTTCAAAGTCCTAGAAGATGACTCTTTAAGGATTGAGTCTGGCCAGTAAATTGAACAATTTGTCTTTAATGCTCTAATACAATTGTATATTGATTTAATGTTAGCAATGTAATTAACTCAGGTCTTCAAGAGTAAAGCAGTTATTTTATTTGTTAAAAGCATAATGTAAGAAATATTTGGTATGCTAAACAAATTGATCGTATCCAATCTTGTGTATGAAATTCTTGTTAATATAGGGGTCAGTTTAACATAACTTAATGAATTCAGCACAGAAATTGTCTATACCAAACTATTTATAAACTAAGTCTTTGATGCTATCTTAATCAATCACAGCCGCTTTATAGGAATCAGTTTATTCAAGTATATAGTAGACAACTTCTTTTTCAGCGTGTTTCGACATGGCTCCTGATAGGTAGTATTTGAAAACTGAATATTAAACTGAATTAATTCCAAAGGCTTTGTGAAAGTCTCTCATAGAGTCCATAACATAATTAGTGGATTCTGAAGATCCTAAAATGAACCCGAAGATACGACTAAATTTAATGGCTTGTTCCTCTTGTTTGGTTCCTTTGAACAATGGACTCAATGAGAAATCTTCAAAAATTTGAGCATACATATTTTTAGCTATGGTTCTTATGCTATCTTTAACATTTTAAACAGAACGAGACTATTATAATGATTTGAATGCATACATTGCAGATAATGGCACCTCTGTAGTACTCCACTTTCTATGCACATTTAAATATAACTTCCATTCCAATTTTCATATCTATTAGTTTTTTGATATAGAGATACTTAAACCTGTTGAACATCTCATCAGTTATATTAAGGTCCTAATGTAATTACTTAAGACTTTCAAAGTGATATGCCAATTTATTTCCATTACTTAAATCTATTAGTGCTTTAACAACCCCTTTCATTTCATGGGCAGTCCCGATGACAGGCCCAATCTACTCATCCTAGGCTAGTATTTATGCGAATTCCTTTGCATAGTCATCTAATCCTTCCATTTTTTCGAATTCACTATGTCTTGTAATACTAGTTTTGGATCTAAGTTAAATGTAGTGATTGATACTTTTTTTCTTTAAATTATGAGAGAATGTCATTGATCGATTTTCCTGAAGAAAACGGACACTACTACTATTGTACAGATGATTGTGATTGTTATGATTGTTGAATTAGTTGGGTCTGATGATATTGAGATTTTTTGAGAACCACATTATTACTGACGATACTAGTGTTTTCATCTCTTGAGGTCTTAACACTGCCATTAGAAGATTTAACTTTGTTCTTAACAGTAAACAACCTTTAGAAATGACGACTCGAGCCAAGATCGAACTAATTGTTCTCTTCGATTTAGATTATTTAATTTTTTTGTTTCTTCTACGCCTATGGAGTAAGGGGCTTAGAAGCAGTTGATAATCTTTCAGAATCAACAATACATCTGGCAGAACCTCCTTTTTTTATTTGCCAAAAATTATTTGGTTGTGTGCAATCTAAGGAGGGTAACTTTGAGAATAAATGATCCCTTCTTGAACTTTATCCATCCTGGATTTCTTTGCTAGATTTGCTAACCAATATTTGGCTATATGCATTTTGTTTGAACTCATGAGAGTCTCCTCTAATCATTAAAGAAAGATAAATAATTATTAAATTATTTGTAAGGTAGTAATAACATAATATCATCTGAGAAATAGGTTTTTACTGGAACACATTTCTTGTTTGTCTTAATTATTTTACTCAGTGCCAAGTCTCCAAAATATCAAAGTTTCATCTCCAGCCGCAGAACAAAGCATAGACTAATCAGGAGATATGCCTAAATGCAAAACCCTCGATTTGTGAGCTTAAAGTTCTTAGACCAATTTGGCCTATTAAATTACTTCTGCATTCCATATACTAATTTAGAATTTGGAAAACCCATGTGATGAAATAAGTTCTCTATATCTTGGTAAAAACTATAAAGCACAAACTTGTGATCCCGTATCTATGCTTTTGAAACACAGTCCTGTGTCAGAATTCCAAAACTTTATGTTTTTGTCATTGGAACCTCCTCCACTAACTAAGATATTGGGAAACCATGGACACCATGCCATAGCCTTGACAGCTGCACAATGACCTTCACATGACAAACGCAATGACATTTATCTTTTGTCCCATAATAATAGTTAATTATCATTTGCGCCACTGCTTAAAGTAGTTCCAGAGGAATTCCATTTCAATCCACAAACCTCTTGAGTGTGTTTCTGAAATACTCCCACAACATTATTATTCTTTTCCCTTAGATCATGATTGAAAATAACGTTATCTCTGCCTGAAGTTGACAATAATTCAAAACTGCTACTCATCGTTGACACTCTCTCATTATGATAATATAACTAGGTTATTGTTTGTTAGGAACAAACATCAACTATCTTGATAGAGGCATCATCAAATCCCACTCCTAAGATATGATCATTGATCCAATGTACTGCAGTTACATTTGAAGTTGCTTATAAAAGTTATTCAATATGCTCTATTTTATAGATATATTAAGTTACAATTTGAAGCATTCCATAAATACACTTTATTTTGTAATCCCACTGATAACACATTGTTATTGCCCCATTCCAAAATATTGAGATAGAAGTCATCTGCAATATCTGGTGCATCCAATATTTTCTCAGGGACTGAACTAATTTACCTAACTGTTTATTAGGTAGGCAATCTGTATTAATTATGTAACTAATCCAAAAATGATATTGGGTAATTCTGCTGTTATTTTTGATTTCCAAAATTCAGCACTTTTTCCTCATTTATATGATACAATAACTAGGATATTGAATTCAAATACATCATTATAATTTGATTAAGTGTGTGATTGATACAGCAATTTCGATTTACTTTTCGGAATAAATCTGTCCATATATATATCCGTTAAATTAATAATTATATTTTAGAATTATATAGTTTTATTTTGTTTCACACTCAAATATTTACTTTAATAATGGCATTTTTGATTTTGCTTAGAATTCGAATGCGGTCATTTTAAATTGAATGAAAACGATATCTTTCTTCTTCCTTAATTCTTAATTTAATTTAAGTTAGGCAAATTATTAATAAAAAATATTAATAATTATATATAAAATGAGCAATGCAAAGTATTTTCATATTCAATACCTTTAGATCTGACGGTGAGAATTAAAAATTTATTATGGGCGATGAACCTTTGAGATTTCAAAATTATGTGGCCGGATAGGATGAACAACAAGGTACAAACATATTCAAATCTTAGTCCCATAATAAGATCAAAATTTAGAATACTACAATGAATATCTGAGACTATACATTGCTAATGTTGTCTTAACGAATTAAGTATTGTATGGAATTTATATTAGTTAAAAGAACTTTTGAATGAAAAGAATGAACTAGTCAACAAATTAAACAAATTAGAAGTAATTTTTAATATCACCAAAATTCAAGCGTCGAAATCAAGAGCTCAATTCAAATGTTGAAGAAACTGGAGAAGAAAGAAAGAAAAGATTGAGAAGACCAGCACAAGAAATCGAAAGGCATTTTACTTGTCCAGTCGAAAATTGCTAAAAGAAATATGGGTAAAAGTCCTTAATAAGTGTTTCTTAGAGCTGAAGGGTCTCTCAACCAGCACATCAAACTCAAACATCCAGAATTAGTCAAGGATAGAGCATTTTATAAATCAAATGAATAATCGCAATAACAAGGAGAGCCTGAATCATTGTCAGATCTAAAACAAGAATAAATTTAATGACACATAATTAAAATAATATAAGTTATTTTAAACATACCTATAAACTTTAAATCACTAATTTATTGTTCCTAATTTCTTCCTTAATATTATTGTAAATAATATCAAAATAAATTCAAATTAATTTATAATACACATTGCTTTCAAATTTTAAATACAAAATATTGAGGATCCGACCCTTTTGCAGATAGATTATATTCAAATACACAATTTAATAAATTATTAATTTAAAATAGATACTCATGATGACGCTGATGTTGAGCCTAATTTGATGGGATGGAGAACCTCCTTTTCTTCTTCATCCTTATACTTACCAGCAAAGCAATTCTAAAATACCTTAAGAATTTAATTTATTGTGATTGTTGCAGATTATTGTCTCTAAACAATTGAATAACCTTAAAATATGAGAAAGAAAGCTTACTTCTAACAACTTCATCAAATACTCGAGCATTCAATTTAATTCCCAATGGCCAAGCAATGTAAATATCATACTTTTTTAGGTTGTTGATGAAATGGAGAATCTTTTTGCTTTATACAAATCCTCTATCGAAAGTGAAAAAGATTCCACCATAACTAGGAGGAATTGAGTTAAACAAGATTTTTATAACAAAATAAATTAGCTTATCGGAATAACTTCTATATTGACTTTCTCCATTTAATTCAACATCTCCTAAAAATTGAATTGCCAAATCAACAATATTTGTGCATAAAATCATGTATTCTGTTTCAACTTCCTTATCCAAAAGAGCTGCATTAATTGTTGAATAGGCAATCTGAGCATCAGCAAAAAGATTTTAAATGTTTTCAGTTTTAAATTGAACATCAAGAATTGGTGCTAAGTTTGATGATTAGCAATCTCTAACTTTCTTACAAATCATTTCCAAATTTTCATTCTATTATTTTCCAAGTTCATAATCAACTTTCAGACATACAAATTAAATTGAGGGTTTATTCTGATATCCGTGTTGTTTAAGTTCCTCGGCTAATTTCAAAGGAGCTTCATCCTTAATTACGCAGGCTCTTTTCAAGATTGATTGAGTTGTCTAGAAAAATTCCAAGGGTGTTTTTTTATCATCCAAGATTTATTTTCGGGAGAATTACTCTTTCGCCAAAATCATCTAAAATGATAAACAGATATTAATACAGCAGATGTATAATCTTTCATTACCAAATCATTATAGAATACTTCCAAAATTTGCTATTCAAAGTTGCTTAGATTTTCTAGCTTTTCCTTATGAGTTTCATAGTATTCATTTTCTTGTCCAATCAATGGCTAATGTAAACATCTATGTTTAATAGTATAGATTACGATTTTAGGTAATTTAATTATGTTTCATCATTAAAGGTTGAAAAATCCAGGATTATCTATTTATGGCTTTACTCTTGATAGCATTCAGTCAATGAAGTTATCTAGATTTTCAAAATATCGGTTGTGTTCGACATAATAGAATTAAATAATAATTATTAATGAAATTTAGGTCATTCTTTCATTTAGTAATAAACTCAATTTAATGAATTAATGTAGAGAATTTATAACTCACTCATAAGAAATCTTACAAACGAGTAACTCTATTTTGTATTTTTAGAGATATTTCTTCTATAATAAATTTATAATTAATCAATAATACGATGAATTTAAGTCCAACAAAATATGACAGTCCATCGAAACTGCAATCTAAAATTGATCTAAAGATGAGGAAGAGTGGGATACCAGTAGCTTTAAAAAGATCACCATAATTTTAACTATTAGATTGTTTCATGTTGACATATTTTCATCTTCCATCCTTTGCAGAGTAAATTTTATAGTATGATGTATCAAGATAATTTAACAATAGGATTCTATAATTAATGAAGAGGGAGTGACTTTATTTTTGCAAAAGTTGTTTGTTTAGTTGATATTTTGCAAAAAGAAAGACACATCAGCAATAGAGGTCTATTAATATATGAAGGATGATTATAATACTAGATATAAAAATGTTGAAGAATTTTTAGTTAGATTTTTTGAGAAGGTTGATGAGTCAATTTCAAAATATAGAACCATGCTTAATGAATTTGTGGAAGAACATCCAATTAGAGATTTATTTATAGGTAAATTCAATAAAGGAAATGATGAAATCACATTTAATTTAATTAAGATGGATCTAGATGATGAGTCCTTTATGGAAGGATTATAAAAGAAATTTGATTCAGAAGATTGTTCAATAAAAGAATTGCCAAAAATATTACAATTTGAAATAACTAGAAAAGCAAATTTAGTGTTAATGCCTATCATATATTTGGATTAATTTATGTATTCTAATAAAGGAACTATAAAACAACATTAATCAGATATCAAAGAACTAACAATGAAAAGAGAAGAAATTGTTTAAAAGATTAAAAATATTGAAAATTACTAATAGACTTCTTAAAGCATTCCTTAGCTCTTACTAATGACTATCAATATTATCCAGGATTAAAGAACTGAACTAGTTGATGGAGATCCAGCAATCGAAGGATTTTTATAATTGATCATAGATGCAAACAAAGAATTAGATGTGTTGAAAGAAGAGTTACAAAAAATGGATTAGCAAATTAAATTAATTATGGGTAACTTCAATAAAATAGAGTATAATTTGCATGCTGTTATTATATATGATGGGGAATATGAATGTGTATATATCAATAATAATGAATAATGCTTTTTTTTTGAAGATGGATTTGTAGAAGTTAGAAAGAAATTTGAAATAGAAATGCGTTATTCCCCAGAAACTGTTGTTTATTTGGTGTATAAGGATAAGAATCTTTAAAGCGAATACAGTTTTACAGGTGGATAGGGAGATCTCTTAGATATGGATGATAGGAAACCTTATGAATCTCTAATTAGAAAAGAACTTTAATAGTATGCCGTATAGTTCAATCAAAAAGTAGATTAGGAATTGTTATTCTTAAAATAATAATAATAAGCAGAAGAAGTGTTTTAATAATATCTAACAAGAACCAACATCGTTATTCAATTGGTTTAGAAAAAGCACACTATTTAGGTTCCTCACTTGAATAATTTTGCTACTTTTTTATGCTATTCTTAGAAGAAAATTGATGACTACGTTAAATGGTAAATATTGGATTGCAGCATTAGAGATGTCACAGGTTAGTCCATTTCGGATATTAAGAATATGAATGCCTTCGCTTAAAAGTTGAGTGTGTTACTCCAAAATTAACCATAAAAGGCACCCACTTAATTAACAGTCAATAAAAAAGATATGTAAATCATGTAAATTAGGTTGACTGATTATGTTTAATATTAATAGAGCACTAAAGTATTAACATATTCTTTAGAGTGCATTCTTTAAGAAAAGAAATTACTAGCTTTAAATGCTATTCGGTTTATTTAAGAGAATGGATAAAATAATATTGTTGCCCAACTGAGTTAAGAGGTATTTAAGGCTTTCATGATTCATTTGGCTATTTTAACTTTTAAATTTCATCAACAACAAAATTATTGCTTATTATGGGAACATATCTAATGGATCATGGCTTATTGGCCATATATGAACTAACAAGATCATGTTCATTAATAGGTTTTTATAATGATTAAAGATTTGAAAAAGAAAGCCAATAAAAAGGCATTGAATTCTGATCAAGAAAAAATTATCAAAAAATTTATATCATCTGTAGATGACAAGAAGTTTACAGATATAGGAAGCAACATTTTATTAAGATAGGATCCTGTAATATATTCATAATATTTAAGGTCTTAGAAGCTATAGCTATAATTGATTGGAACTAAGATCATTATTATTGGTTACCAGTTAAGTCAGAAGACATTTCCAAATAACTACTAATGAACACTGCATTGATTTAATAGTATCTTTAACTTGAGTTTTAATTTGTAAAGACCATTATGTAATAATAATGTACTTTTACTTATGACGAAAGGATTAAAAATGATGCTCCATAGTTAATTATGATTGATAATTCTAACGTATTCGTTAATTTAGAAATATATCCTATCATATATCTCAGTATTACATATATATAAATGAAACCAATAAAAAAATTAAATTTGATTATAATTGTTAATTCAATAAGTTTTATTTTAAAAGATTGCTGATTAGTCCTACTAATTTACTGATTTGTCCTTTAGTTATTTTGACAAAAAAAAAACAAAATATTTTTAGTTTTTTCAATTTTAATTTTATTAATGAATTTCTATTAATTAGTAATATAATTTCACCACATGATCCAAAATTGATTTTAGTTTTAGATGATTATTTATATAAAACAAAATTTTTTAGTATTTTCTAAGGATAGTTAGTTTAATTAGAGGATCTTTTAATTAATTCTATTTTCATTATTTTAATTTTTTTTCTAATTGATTTTGCCAATATTTCTCCTTACATAATATTTGATATTCTATTAGATAACTAGTAATGTGTATATTAGTTTAATTTGAACTATATTGATTATAAGGCTCTGACTAAATAAAATCATACAGAACTTTAGCAAAACACCTATAAAATTTTTTTATCTAGAAGAAGAAAGCGATTTTGTAGTGAAGGAATGGGAATTTATGCTTTTTTTTATTAACCTATAGAATAATTTCGATTGTTTTAAGTTACTTATTTGGCTTTCAGTTTGAAAAAAATTATAAATTTATAAGATAGAAATGCTTATTAATAATTCAAAGAAAACATGATACTTATATAATTTTTGATACTATATAAATATTTCATAAAATCTATTGAGATAATTATATATAAAAGTACCAGAAGTATAACAGTTTTTAGAGATTGATTAAGTAATTTTAATCCCTATTTTTATGGTACAATACTCATTTCTTCTAAAAATAAACCCATTGTATTTATAACAATAAATGATCAATGGAATTTAAACTAAGTAATGTATAAATATACATAAGAGAATTGAAGATTGGTTTGAGCTTAAAATATCGACATTAAGATTGTTATATTTTTATCAGAATATATAAAATTTGTACATTTGACAACATAATACCAGAAGCAAATTTGAAGTATAATATATATTTCATCTGGCAACTAATTAATTCAGTCATAAAACAATTCTCTAAATTGTCCTTGAACCATATTTATGGCTTTTTTATAGAGCTCGAAATCAAATGTTTAATCTAATTCTGTGAATTCTTTAGCTTCTAAAAACCCATCATCATTTAATTTGCCTCTTATTTCTAAAAGGATATCTTCATTGCTTTCAGGAACTTCTTCAATCTCAGTCACTTTCACAATTGCTAAATGAAATCATAATATTATTTTACATCCATCCACCATAAATTCAACATAATCTCCTTTGCTTTACAATAATTTTCCAACAAGTGTTACATATTGCCCTTTGAATTTGATTATCATGTCTGCATTTATTCTTTGATAACTAGTTGGGATATCTGTCATAATATTATTATTTAAAATAAAAAATGCGCTCACTTGATAAATGCAAGAAATTCTGATACTCTTAGATTTAATTATATTTTATTAATACTAGTTAAATGAAATCAAAAGATCTGGAAGTTGAAAAGATTAATTTGTGAAATAGAGTTTATTTCAATTGAAATAAAATACTTTAAATATACTTTTTATTAGAATTTCTATTTCTATATTCATTATAACCTATAAACAATCACTCATCTAGATAATTAATTCTTGTAATTATCCCAATATTATTATAAACTAATCTTAAAAACTGAATTAAATTGATAAGGGAAGCTGTTATATCTTACGAAATTATTATAAATGTAGGGTGAGATGAGTTCATCCAAAATAATTAATTTTTTAATAAACTCTTCTGACTCTTTAATGGGTTTAATGGGATGTAGTTAAGTTCTTAAATCTGTAGATATAAATCGATGAGCCGACGATATCCATTCTTCTTCAATTTGATTAATCTTGTTAGATTCTGTTATAATTATCCCATTACTATAGGATGTTAATGCTAAAATCAAAATAACAATTTACTCATTTTAATTGTTTCAATCATAAATTTAATTTTAGGTAAAATAAACAAGTCTGGTTGTAATAGGCATGGATCAAAGTTTCTTTGTTTTTCTTGTTTGGCAATCTTCTTTTCATTTAATAACTATTTTAGGTTATCCAATTCACAGTTCTCAGCCAGAAAATATCGATAATTTATTTCTGGATATCCATTAATTACGATTGGTGTGGAGTGATGATAACTATATAAAAATGGAGATTTCAAAATATCTATTATTTCAATTTCCTTATCAAACATAGGTTTAGTAATTTCACTAATATTAGTAGGATTGATAATAAATTAAGAGTTCTTTAATATATTGTTTTCAAAAATCCATTTTATCTTATTTTTATGTAGGTGAATGTCCGATAAAGTGATTGGCTATGGATTAACAAGGAAAGTTGGGGTTAGTTTATTTTCAATAAAGGATTTCCAAGTTGAAGTGTAATTACCTTCAGTCTTGATAAAGAATGGATCATCCACAGGCAAATCAGTCAATATAACTTATGGTTTCAAATTAAATAGAGCATCTTAAACTATTAATTAAACTTCTTACCATAAATATATGAAGAATGTTGTGCATTATGTCTTTAAACACCAAATAAAATGAGATGTCCTTAAGTCCTAATTGGAGATGCTAAATTTCTGATTTCTAAATTATTAGGTACATTTATTTTTGTTTCCTCTTATGTTTGTTTCGTATTCTATTCCTAATTAGTGTTTTGCTTCTCATCATCAATTACGATCTCATCTTTATTTTTTTTTTATTTTCCTTTATACAGCTTTTAGATATCTTCAGGATCAACTTCCATACTGATTAAATGTTTCTCAAAATTTTTTTTCTTTTCCAATTTAATTTACTCTATTATTTCAGATTATTCTTCTTTTATCCTTTACAAATCATTGATTGATTAGTATTTCAATTTTATTAACTCATCTTCCCTTTTTATATATATGGTATTTACGATTTTGCTTGCTTCATTTGATTCATATAATTCTGAACTAAATCTACTTAAGCTTTCTATTATTTAACCAGATTTTGATATGCCTTTGTTTTGTGGATATTGGAAAAAAAATAACGAAGTTTGATCATTCTTTAAATATTATTGATATTATTTAATATATAATAATTCTTCAATCGCTTTCGATTGTAAACATCCTCAATGTGCCTAAAGCAACACTTCCTAAGAATTGATAGAATTCTTCCTAACAAATTTTAACTGTGACATACTTCGGTCTTGAATGAATCTTCTTATTGTAAATGTCTTCTATAATTTCTAATTGGTCTTAGAACATTTCTTTCAAGTTTTCTATTGAATGGTGGAACAAATAAATATCCAAGAGTCACTGCCCCTGCTGTTCCTACTGCTATTTTTGCCAAAACCATTTTATTTATTTTAATATTTTAATAAAATAAAATTAATCTAGATTTAACATTGTTATAAAACAATACTATACTGTATTGTCTGTCTATCATTAGTATTTATTGAATTCATTTTTCACATTTAATATAAGTAATTTATTAACTAAAAGAAAGAATCAATGAATACTACTTTATAGATTAAAATATTTATCTATGATATTTTTCATCTAAATTAATTGTTTATTTCTAAAGAATACTAATCTAAGAACTTAAATTTTATTTGTAATGAATAATACAATATTTTTATATTTAAAGAAAATCCTTGACTGCCATGTCTAAGTTATAAAATCTATATTTAGAATGAAGATTTAGAAATTTCATATTTCTTTTAATTACTTAACTTTAAAAAGTAATAATTCATCCTTTCTTATTCTACTCTTTGATATTAAGCTAGATCCTCCTCCATTAGCGAATTAAATGATTCTTTTGGAGTTTCATATTAATCATCCTGGATTTCAAAAAGATCAAGATTTTTAATTCCTGAAAATTTCTTTGTTTGAATCTATGTTAAAGGTGATCCACTATCCAATTATGAGATGATAGTATCGAATTCAAAGTTAGATTACACTTTTAAGTTTTTGGAACTTCTATTCATCTATTTGTAATGTATTATTTAATTTATTGTTCTTAATTTAACAAAGTGAATACTTTGTGAAATGATCTATTTTTATAATTTTGTAAGAGTATTTTATATTGTAATTATTTCCCTTAATTTCAACTTTATTGAAAAACTTAAAAGTTTTGGATATATGATTAATAAATATAGACTTTATTAAGTCATAGAATAATTTCTATACCAAAATTAGATGATTTAAAACATCATAATTCGAAAATAGCTAATATATAATATTTTGACTGATTCTATTGCTAAATATCTAAATGAAAGTGTATTAAATACAGATATTTATTTAATTCACAAATCTAAATATATACTAATAAAATAATATTAAATTAATAATCAAATTATTCTTTTCTTTATTTTTGTAAATGCAAAATTTGTATCAGTAGCAAGATAGTCGAATTAAGGGATTTTAGAATTACTTTTAGATTAGTTTAAGATAAACCTGCTGGTTTTTTTTTATAATTGACCTGTTTCATCTATCATCTATTTATGCACTCCTTCAATGTCATTAATTAGTTATTGAATTTTTTAATTATAGTTTCTTTGAGATGTTGGTTCTGTTTTTATTTTAAATTGAGACTTTTAATTCCTTAACTCTAATCCTTAGAGCTATTTAGAATGAGAATATTTCGATGATGATGGATCTCTCTCTGAACCTAAGGCTATAGTTTGATTACTAATTGATTATCTAGGGGAAAGATGTATCAATGAATATTTCTTATTAAATATTCTGGTTGATTGCCTATTCAAATTTGCAATCATTCTCTTAGATTTCTCAGCAAATTGTTTACTAACTAATTCGTAATTTGGATGTTTTGATTTGAGTTCGAGTATTTCACTTTTACTTATTTTCTTGGTTCCGACTGTTATCATTTCTGATTATTCTTTTTCTAAGTGATTGATCAATTAATCTACATCCTCATAAAAATTATCCGAGTTGTAATCTCCATTAACAAATGTGCTTCTCTGCCATTATTACTTTTGAATTTCACAAGTTGTTAAAGGATCCAATATTTTATTAGATGGTTTTACTATTGATTTTAGTATAGATTTGGCATCAATAAAGGTGTCGAGTTTGGTGAAAGGAGTCAGGAGATCATTAAATTTCTTTTCTTTATCGCCTACTAGTATTTTAAACTTTTGTAAATTCCTTTTTACAACAGATGCTACTCTTTGTTACTCAAATTACTTGTTCATATATAATAATCATAAATCTTTAATATTTACACCTGTTTTCTAATATCGATTTTAATCAGCATAAACCCTTTGGAAATCCAGTAAACAAATCAAAAATGCTAATTAAAATGAAGGGGCGTGTTTATATTTAGAATTTTAATTTTAGAAGGACATATGTGGAGAATTATTCTTTAGATTTTTTCTGATCACAAGTATTGAACAAGATCGAAGGAGTAGAAATTATATCTATTTTTATTGATGCTTCTCAAAAGAAGCTCTTAAAGAATCAATTTTATAAAGAGTAGCCATTAATAATATTATTATAAAAAATGTATTGTATTTTCAGCATTTTGCTAACTTTAAGGACTAGATAACTCTTGTCTTATTCCATTTTAAGTTTACTATATTTTCAGCTCTTTGAAAAACGGATATCCTTTTAATAATTTTATTTAAAGGATTGTGTTCTGTGTTATGAATTTTATGATTGATTATTATTTTCATTACTGTTCTTAATACATATTAATAAATAGATTCTTATTAGATGCTATTGATCATTTTAAAAGGATATATTTTAAATAGATAGCAATAAAATGAATTACACATATAATAATTATCAGAAATTCGGTGAATATAAAGTAACATCATTACAATCATCCAAAAAGTGTTAAGTCTCTGATTCTCTTAACATTAGTGAATCTGTCGATTCCATTTAATCAGGATTCACAAAACTATCTTTATTTTGGAAACTGATTAGCACTTATTTTTTCAAAGGTAATTTGTTAACACAATTTTGTTTGTTAATTATTATGTCAAATTGTTGCAATCTATTTACATAATTTTGCAATATCATTTAGAAAGATTTTGATTCTACATTTTGAATGATATTTTAAGCGTTGTTTATGATATCTTAACTAATATTTTCAATTTCTGCAAGAATTTCTTAAATACTGTACTTTAATGAAATTTCTTTTTTTGTTTTTGCAGAATCATATAATTATCTGGCTAAATCTAAGAATTCATTTAATTGTTATAATTTCTTGTTTTATTCTTAGTGATAGGTTCATCATATTTCAAAGTCCAACTTCTTTAGCTTTTTTTCTTAGGGATTAACTAATTAGTTTTCATGTCATAGATGAGACCTTCATATGCTTCTTAAATAGCACAGAG